CAGAAGCATTACATCACCCTCGTTTGGAAGAATGCTTAGCCTAATGCTATAAGGATTTGGATTTATTCGGAGAAGAATATGAAAGATTTCATTAAGATAATTTGGCTATCGCCAATCAGCACCCAAATATAATAAGAAATAAACATTAGATGTTTGAAAAGTCAGTATTAAGCATCTTTGAACTAGTTGATCCACAAAAGGAATAATTCTTACAAGAGAAATATAGAAGGTTAGCAGAAATCAAAATAAAATACCTAATTGCTAAGGAAGAATACAATAAAAAAATAGAAGAAGAGAAGTTAATCGAAGAAGCCAAGAATAAGAAAGGAGGTAAGCCTCCTGCTACCAAACCTAAAGATCCAAAAAAGTATTAATATAAACTATAATAGATTTTAATAAGAATTAGAAGATAGAATGAAATAATTATTAAAGGAATAACCGCCTTAAGAAGTAGCGAAATATCATAGTCCACTTGATTAATAATTTGTCTAATTTAGATCTACTATTGAAATTGCAGAACGCATGTACATTCCACCTGATGAAATGGAACAAGTAGTAGCTAAAGAAAAATCAGAAACAGATGAAATTGAATCATATTTATAGTAACAGAATGCACCAAAAGATCCTAAGGCAAAACCTGCAGCTCCTCCTCCTATTGAATTACCTAATTATGTTCCAGAAGAGGATGTTCCTAAGAAATCAGTGGATTTTGCTGAACCACCTCCTGTTAATGTGTTAAATTAAGCAGTTTTAGAGAAGGATGCAATAATCACAATAGAATATTTGTCATTATTATTGAATCAAACAAAATAGAAATTGTTTGATTATATAACAAGTTGTCTCAACTTCTAAAATTAATAAGCTAATGAAAGTGATCATGAATTTATCAAATAATCGGAAAATCAGAGGAATGAAAAGTAGGCTTAAATCGATCCTTAAAAATAAGAAATCAAAAATACGATCTATATTTTAAGAAGCCAATAAATTACTATGCATAAAAAAAGGTGAGATTAATAATTAATTAATTAGGTATGAACGATATGCAAAGTAATTAGTAGAAAGGATTGATGATCAAACAGAATAGATTAATTTCTTATTAGAAGGTGGATTATTGGATATGAAAGATTACATTTAAGAGTAGTAAACACTAAAAAACAATCTTTAATCAGCAACTACTTTAGCCAAATTGTAAGGAATTTAAAATACTGTTAAAGAGAACTATTTCAAGTTTGGAGAAAGTAAATTATTTTACTTATTATAGAAATCAATGATTTGGAATAGAAATTAAGTTATTTGGCAAATTAAGAATTGGATGTCTTGTTGCAAAAAAACAAAGATTTTATGAGAGATTGCAAACCAAATGAATACTTCAAAGAAGAATTAGAATGGTATTAATAAATGATGGATGAACATAATGCTACAATTGTTAAGCATAAAGAGAAAAGGACATAAAGATTAGAAGAAATTAAGAAAGTCTTGACAGCTAAAAGATAAGAATAGCTGGATAAATTTGAATAAGAATACATAATAGCTGTTGAAGATTTAGCAGCCAAAGATGGAACTGGAAAGAAGTATGGAAGACCTAAAAGAATAGCTTAAGAAAAATTAAGAACAGAAATGACTAAATGTGAAAAAGCATAAGAATGCATTAATTTGAAGATATAAGAATTGAAAGATCATTATGATTTATTCAAAAAAAAATAAGGTGATTATTTTGCAAATCTTGAACCCTCTTTTTCTATTAAAGTAAGAAAAATATTAGGTGGAACATTGGTTTGTATCAAAAGATATGCAGCTCATATTGAAGCACTTAAACCAGATAATAAGGTTGTAGATATGCCAAGAACAACTTGGAAGGAAAATAAGTTTGATACTATTTTAGAGAATGAAGAATAATAGGAAGATAAAAAGATGATTGAAAACGATTTAGAAAGCATGGGACCTTTATTTTATGCAGAAAAAAAACTATAAGAAAGTCTAATAGAGATTGAAAAGATTATTAAAGAGGAAGCAATTAAAATTTATGCAGATAAATAAAAATTCCTAACTGGAGCTGACAAAATTCCAGATTATCTTAGAGCTTATATTGAGAATATGTAAAGGAATATGAATGAATTCAGAATATAATCTATTAGAGAACTTAGGAATGCTTGTGAAGAATTATCAGAAATGTCTCCAAATATTAGTGAAATGATATTATTCTCAAATCATTAAAGATGGATTTTCACATTGTAAATGATTAATTCTAATTTATGGAATGAATTACAATAAGAATAGAATAAACAAGAGAATCTAAAGAAGACCCATTAGAAATAACTAAGACCTAATTTAGGCAATCCATAATTAAAAGAAGAATTGGATGATCTTAAATCAAGAGAATCAAAAAGACTTTCTGATTTTTTGGAATTATTATCAAAATATTAAGTAACTCTATTTGATGAGAATTTTAATCAAGGAGACAAATATTTGAAAGCCGCAAGTTAAAATTTTGAATATTTACTGCTTTTTTATGATTCGCTATTGTTATTTGAGGATTTTATTAAATTACCTGGGGATGAATAAATACAAAAGAAGCATTAGAATTTAAAAGTCTCTTTGAGACAGAAGTAGAGTGGTTAGATCATAGATACAAATTCAGAAAGATCTCTTAGTAAAACTTGGGAAGGTGTTTAATTGGAAATGTTTACTATAGGGGATAGAATAATTCAATATAATTGGCAAATCAATTAAGTAATAAAGGTTGATCCAAAGGATGCAAAAAACAAAGCTCCAGAAGCTAAAAAACCTGCTGCAGGAGGAAAACAACAGGAGATTGAAAAGCCAGTTTAGACAACCACAACGTATCATTTTTAATAATTTAGACCATTAAAATCATTTAAGACATTTAGATAGATATCTGCCAAACATGAGTTCTTTAAATCTATTAATGAATTTGTGATTGAATTCAAGAAATAAGTTGATTATACAAAAGATCAGATTAAATTACTTAGTGAAAGAGAGTTAAAGTTTTAATTCAAATGGGAATAAAGCATAGCTTCTTTGTGATATTAATATAATTTATATATATTTTTATGATATTTCCAACTGAGCCTTACATTAAGAAGAAGTTCTTTTATAAGAATATGTTGGCAGACAACTCCAAGATAGACTTCCTTAATTAATATAAGGTTTTATAGCAGTTGAAAGATAATCACAGTAGTAATAACAGAAATCAAATTCATACATAAGTTACATAGGTAAGTCTTTATAAACCGATGTTCAGTATTCATTCTCCTCAGACATCACAAACAATAAATAAATCATAAAGGCCAGGATTCAGTTCAGTAAGGCGTTTCCATACTCATAATTCTTAATAAACCCTTCTGAGCAGAAATCAAATTGAGACTCCTAAGCTGTAAAACAGAAAGGAAAGAAGGGCACCTTTGCATAAAAGAAAATTAGTTTTGAAATAACCATCTTTAGAAATTACTGACTATTTAGAATATCTGAAGAGCCAAAAGTAATCTAATACTACTTTTAAATATTCAGATCTCTTGAAAGAAGAAAATCCTATTATCACTATGAACTAGTAGAAATAGTAAACTTATAGGAAGTAAAAAGAAGAATAAAGAAATCATTTGCAATTATTATATTAATGGTAAATCACATCCATAATCCTCTAGTACGAACATAGTTTCTCGTATTTAGGATGAAAGTAATTTCTAGGATATTATTAATTCGTGTACTCATCAATATCCTAATCTACAACACACTATTGATTAATTGATTTAAGATATCGAAGTTGCTTCATCGATCTATACAAGTCCATCCTAACTTGGAGCAACTCTTGGTAGAATTAATGGAGTTGACCATAAAATATTTTATTTGCTTTTTAGACCTTTAAGCGAATACCCAGAATCAAATTAACTTTACTCTGTTGATGAAGAACTATGTAGAAAATATAAATTTTTAAAACCAACCAAATATGATATTTATTACAGAATCTTTGGGGCAGGTGATTTACCATTAGAATTTTAGGATTAATTAGGTCAAACTGAACCTTAAATTAGAAAACATAAGATAAGACATTCAGAATATTAAATTGCTTAATAAAATAAACATAACATCCCTTCTATTGATTATGATTTTGTTAAAAAGATTTCTTACTACTAAAAGAATTTATAATTATTCTTAAAGCAGAAATCTGGAGATATCTTGACCAATCTCAAATAATCTCTGGATGAAGAGAAAACAAACAGCAATATGTTAAGACATAATATACTTTCGAAATTAATTGATTCTGAAAATTAAATTGGTCATTTCCCATTAGTAACTCGATAAAATAGATATTTATTCGAAAAGGTTGAATACGATCAAAGATTACTTAATAAATAAAAAAACTGAAGAAGACTTTAAATAATATATATTATTTATTTATTTTATTTAATTTTTATAATAAACTAATCAAATACAATTAATTGTAATTATTAATAATAGGAACAATAATATTCCATTTTTTATAATTAAATCACAAATTGTCTTAGTAAAAATCTTTTTCAGAGTTCTCTTATTTAAATCAAATAAATGTTTAATTAAGCTTTATTAACTACTATATTAAAAGTAGCCCTCATATCAATTCAACAATTTTATATTTAACTTCTTACATACATTAAGACTTAATAGAGAATGTTTGAATTCAATTTATGATTAGATAAAGAAAGAAAATATTTAATCAATTTCTTGAATCTAAATGTATTATATTAATCAAATAATTGATAAACTTAATATTTAATTTATATAAATTTAGATATTTGTTGAATTTGAATAAAACTTATTCTTAATTAGGAGAGTTATTATTCACTATATTCAAAGTGAGATAACATTAAGAAGGATTTCTGAGGATTTTGTGAATTAGATTACTTTATTTCAATAAGTATAATGAAATTAGATTAGATTTTTAAATATTTATTTTAGAATAATCTGAAAATTTAAATTCTTATTTAGATAATATGAAATTAATTGCTTTTCATTAGGAATCACCATATGGAACACATCCAGTCCATGGTCTAGCGACATATTAATTGAAACGACCATCAAATTACAAAGTATTGGTAACTGTATTTTGGACTTATGTTTTGTATAACAAATTGTATTCAACTGGATCTCTGGCTAAAACCCACATGAAGAATTTTGATGGTTCACTAACGATAGCCCATTGATATTATTCATTGACGACTGGGCCTAATTAGACAATCCAATAGTCAGCATATTCGAAAGGTGCTCCATCCAAATGTACTTTTAATTAACCTGGTTATTCTGGATTTGGAATATAAGCATATCCTGTGATTTCCTTGATTTCACCTGAAGGAGATCCATATCTTTCCATATTTAAGACACTCAAATTTCCATCTGATTAGACACCATAGGTAGCTCTTGTGCAATAAGCATCTTTTTCAAATGTTAAATGAACCCAAGGGCTGCTGGCTACTTCATACCAGTTACCCAAGTATTAAGTAACATTAAGTGTTTAAACACTCTATAATTAAGCAGATGCCAATCCAAGAAGTACAACAATAATTAATTTGTTCATTTATTAATGAAAGATCAGGAATTAAATTCTGCTTTTCTTTCGAGAATAAGAACAATGTTCTTCTTAAAATGATGATGCGTCATTAAATTAATTATTAATAATAATAAAAAGTCATTTCATATTATTAATTTGGAACTTCTTCACTTCGATTGATTTTAAAAGTGAAAATTTAAATATTTCCCTTGCTCTATCACATCCAAAAAGTAGACGTAAAACACTTTAAGATCCAAATTACAAATTCAATTAATTATGTAAAGTTTGATCAATCTCAAGTAAAGTCAGTTTACTTAAATCATATGTTGCTTTCAATTTGAAATAATTTTGCTCGCTTGCTTGCTTCTTTTGTGTTTCTGAAGTTAGTTTTGCATATTTTTTGTTTACTGTTTGTTCAAGCATTAAATCTGGCTTAAGGAAAAACCTATATAATAATAATACTAAAAATGTTACCAATCTTCAAGATTTTCAGTGAATATTCGAATTTATGTACCATCATTATGGACTAACATTCTTTTTTTGTGGAATTCTTTGAATTTATTAAAAATTGGTTTCTCAGGATTAACAACAGCCCACATTGTACATCTTGGTTAAATACCATTACTTATATATAACAAAGCACCTTGACTGATTGTATCATCAGAGAACTTGATATTATTCAAAGCTATCTAAAATTTCATAAATGAAATTATTTTAGGGAAGAATATGATAGCAACTTCTAAAGAGTCTTCATCTTTGAAAGGAGGAGGCTAATCAGTTATTGAATAGAGAACACAGATTCTTTGATCACCTTCCATTTTATAACAACCTTCAATCTAGAATAACAATATAGTATTTACCTATGATTTATTAATTTTGAATATCAATTTAAGAGAAGTAAATTCCATTAATAACTTTGGATTTTCAAATTAAATATTAGGATTCTATTTCTTTGAAATATCCTCATCAGCCTCACAGAGTATAAAATACTTAGAAGTCACTACAACTAATGAAGGCAGATTGAGCCCTTTTTGTGTTTGATAATAGCATTTTATGAAATGCTCAACATAATAATCAGGTCTTTAGCTTCCTTATTATTCTTCATCATCCTTATTCTTAATTAAGATTGATCTATTTAATAGGCTTGATTGTAATTTTAATTGATAATCAAATGCAAATAAATCTTCCAGTATTTCTTAAATAAATGATTATCTTATAAACTTTTTGTTAAAAACTTCCATTTTCGTTAAGACAGATAGAATCTAGAATTTTAAACTTTTACATTTTACAATATACAGACCTACTAATTTAATCAATGAGGATCTTGTCTATGATTTAATTTTAAAGAACCTTTCATCTAAGCTTACTGCAGAAAGGAGACTTTTTTCTGATTGCATATCCCATACAATAATTTCTAAGAATATTGTAAAACCTTATAATGGAAGTAAATTAAGTAGGATATATTCATCGATTTATCTATTGATAAGTGTAGCTATTTAATTTCTTTCTTCTGTTCTTAATTTTTAGAAATCCTCAGAATAATCTTTTTCATAGGTTTCCATAATTTTATCTTCATAGGATATTTTAGTTAGATTAGAAGCAATTTTGCTCATGCATTCACATGTTTCTTTAATCAAAACCAAATCATCATAAGTCAATGGGAACTTATCCTCATTTTGTAGTTTAACAGAGATTATATCTAGCATATCTCTAATTGCTTTAGCAATAACAAAGAAGGATATTATAAACGACTTTTCTTTAGCACAAAAAGAATATTCTAAAATTACATTCATTATTTTAAGATATTTGGCTCCTATATTCCCATTATGCCAATCAGCCCATTAACAAATTAAAGTTAATTCTCTGATATATTCAGCTCTCTATCCCAATTATTCAGCCATTTGTTATCTTTGAACATTTGGTTTATTTTGATCCTAAGGACAATAACCTAACAAGGCATAGACTATTCTTAAATAAGCGCATACAGTAATGGTTCTTTCTTCNGGTTAAATACCATTACTTATATATAACAAAGCACCTTGACTGATTGTATCATCAGAGAACTTGATATTATTCAAAGCTATCTAAAATTTCATAAATGAAATTATTTTAGGGAAGAATATGATAGCAACTTCTAAAGAGTCTTCATCTTTGAAAGGAGGAGGCTAATCAGTTATTGAATAGAGAACACAGATTCTTTGATCACCTTCCATTTTATAACAACCTTCAATCTAGAATAACAATATAGTATTTACCTATGATTTATTAATTTTGAATATCAATTTAAGAGAAGTAAATTCCATTAATAACTTTGGATTTTCAAATTAAATATTAGGATTCTATTTCTTTGAAATATCCTCATCAGCCTCACAGAGTATAAAATACTTAGAAGTCACTACAACTAATGAAGGCAGATTGAGCCCTTTTTGTGTTTGATAATAGCATTTTATGAAATGCTCAACATAATAATCAGGTCTTTAGCTTCCTTATTATTCTTCATCATCCTTATTCTTAATTAAGATTGATCTATTTAATAGGCTTGATTGTAATTTTAATTGATAATCAAATGCAAATAAATCTTCCAGTATTTCTTAAATAAATGATTATCTTATAAACTTTTTGTTAAAAACTTCCATTTTCGTTAAGACAGATAGAATCTAGAATTTTAAACTTTTACATTTTACAATATACAGACCTACTAATTTAATCAATGAGGATCTTGTCTATGATTTAATTTTAAAGAACCTTTCATCTAAGCTTACTGCAGAAAGGAGACTTTTTTCTGATTGCATATCCCATACAATAATTTCTAAGAATATTGTAAAACCTTATAATGGAAGTAAATTAAGTAGGATATATTCATCGATTTATCTATTGATAAGTGTAGCTATTTAATTTCTTTCTTCTGTTCTTAATTTTTAGAAATCCTCAGAATAATCTTTTTCATAGGTTTCCATAATTTTATCTTCATAGGATATTTTAGTTAGATTAGAAGCAATTTTGCTCATGCATTCACATGTTTCTTTAATCAAAACCAAATCATCATAAGTCAATGGGAACTTATCCTCATTTTGTAGTTTAACAGAGATTATATCTAGCATATCTCTAATTGCTTTAGCAATAACAAAGAAGGATATTATAAACGACTTTTCTTTAGCACAAAAAGAATATTCTAAAATTACATTCATTATTTTAAGATATTTGGCTCCTATATTCCCATTATGCCAATCAGCCCATTAACAAATTAAAGTTAATTCTCTGATATATTCAGCTCTCTATCCCAATTATTCAGCCATTTGTTATCTTTGAACATTTGGTTTATTTTGATCCTAAGGACAATAACCTAACAAGGCATAGACTATTCTTAAATAAGCGCATACAGTAATGGTTCTTTCTTCGAATTTAATACCAGTATAAGTGATGTGTTCCTAAGTTATACTTAATGCTTTCTTTGTGAACATTGGGAAATGAATAATCTTATTTGGATTAAAATAGGGTTTCTATTTAATGAATCCTCTCAATGGATCAGTAGGCATTGGCAATCCTTGAAATATGGTTGTTAATTTCTCATTCATTCTTGTAGTTGATAATTTTTTAACTTCTTCCTGTTTATTTAAATTATCACAGTATTCATGGACTTGTTCACGAATATAGAAATTGATTGAATTGAGCATTCGTTCAAATATCAATTAATTTCCAAAGGTTTCAAGAAAGTATTCTTTCAAAGACAAAGATTTAGCTGATTGATTTCGACCAACTAAGAAACCCAACAAGTTAATTGCTCCTTCTTAATCGTAGAACAATTGATGCTAACTTATGTGATAAGCAGAATCCTCTTGGTTTTCAACAACTAGAAATGGATCTGCACTAGTTCTCATAGCATCCCATATTTCAGTTTATTTAGCTCTTCTATCCAAAGCTATTTTCTTCCAAATCTTTTGAATTTCCTTGAAATCATATAAACCTGGATTTTTGACCTTACTCAAATCTTCTACATCATCTTCAGGTCTCATTTCTAAATTCTCAGCTATTCTAATCAAAATTCTATCAGATACCTTCTTGTAAGGCAATAATGCATCCCTATTAAATAACACTGATATTAGGTATGTGTTTTATTTACCAATAAAGGATCTCTCAATATCAATGTCTAAGGTTTCAGATGTAAGTAAACTATCTTCATTTAGAAGCGAGGTCTTCATACATTAAGCCTAATAGAGTCCTTTCAGATTCTCTCTTAATAATGGCTCACAATGTAATGACTTCAAAAAATTGTTAGTTCCAAAAGATAATTCTACCTTCTCTTAATATTCTGAATTGTCTTCACCCAATTCCAATAGATCACGTTCTTAATTTCTCTCTAAAATATCAAGGGCATATAATGTTGCATTTTAACTGAACACTGTAACGAAATCTTCTCTGGATGATGATTTCTCTCCAACAACAATCTTTGTCAAAATCATCATAATATTAGCAACTACACTTTCAGTTTTACCAGCACCCAAATTCCTATAGGAACCTAAGAGCGTCACCAATTTACCAATTTCTTTAGAATCTAATTATGAAACCTTAATTGTTAATAGACATTAAACAACAGCCAATCTGACCATATCGCTAGGAGTGGCTAAAACAATGAATAAAGCTTCATCTCTCCCATTGTTATCTAAATTCTTACTTACTTCCATACAAATATCAGAAATTGGGCTATCATACCCAATGGCATTCTTGGAGAAAAATTTCAGTAGTTTGATGATGCTTCTAAATACCTCATGTATTTTTACATTAAGTAAAGAACTTAAATTTTTAGTTAATTTCTAGATAGTTGGATCTAATTGTTTCATCATCAATACATAATAGTCTCCTCCTAAATAATGCAACAGCAGTTCACAATTATGAGTTTTTAAGCATATGTATTTGACAATCTCATTGTTATCCACTCCAGGCTATTATATTTTAATCACTTTGTTCTTCAATAGTTTTCTAATATATATGGCTACTGCGTTTATTAAATAAGGATGTATAGCTGGGATTGTTGCCATCTATAGCAATTCATTCACCAAAAAACTCTCCTTTATTTATTATTATACAATGTTATCAGATTTCCATATTGTTCCATATACTTATATGAGAATCCCCACTTTTTCATATCTCAATAAAATCGTATCCTTGTTCTCTTTGGTCTCAGGATTCAAAAGGGAATTTCTGAACTTTTTAAACATGAACAGATATTTCCTTAGTTCATCTTCCACATCCTTAATAAAATTACATGCTGTCTATCTTGACTCCAATACTTCCTTAGTGCATATTGGACTCCTTTTCATTGAATTATTGATCAAATACAAGATCCCTATGTATTATTCATCCAATTCAGATTTCAATAACAATTTGAATAATACTAAACTCTTAGATATAATTCCTCTATAATGATACTCATTTGCAAATTTTTGGAATTCTGCTAATTAAGCCATGAAGTTTAGAAATAGAACATCTCTCTATTGTTATTCTTCTCTTAAGTTATCCATATCCTTCATATAATTGGCCATAATCTAATCCAGCCAATCTACAAAATTAAATTGAGCCAACTTTATTGGAACCATTTCTTCGTCATCTCTTTCTTCTACTGTTCTCAAAATACCTTCCATGACAAATGTAGGAACATATTCTAACTCCTTTTATTACTACAATAAAGGAATGCTATATTTCTAAATAATATTTCTAGCTATTAATGCCATACCAGTTCCACTTCTGACTATTTCCACCACCATTTAAAAGCATCTCCTACCAATCTCTAAACATCTCACAATTGCTAATTAAGCCAAAGCCTTAAGAATTTACTCTACATAACTCTATTGATTTTAAGCGAAAAGAAAGCAATTTTACAAGAAACTGTCTATGTACTCTGCAATTTATTGCTACTTCTTTGGATCCTTATCAAGAAAACACAAATCAGCTTTATTTGGTTAAACAATAATTCTATTTACCAAATCGTCTATCCTTCTTAAACAAGGGACAATTGCTTAAGGATCATTTATACATTTAGTTATCTTCTCACATAACTGTTTGGCATATTCCTAATCTTCATCATCAGGTTCACTATCAACAAACTCTACATCTCCTAATACTTCTTCAATATTGAAATTGGCATCAGGTACAAATAAATCTATAGATTTGGTATTCAAAGTTTTCAATATTCCAGATAATGTAACAGCAAATGCAGTTTCAATAAGAGGTTATTTTTTTAGGAATGGATTTCTCAAAATGTTCAGAGTCTATATTTTCAATTGCTTTAATTCCTCAAGAATGTTCTTAATATCATATCCATGAGCAAATTTAATTAAATTATCATTGATTAATAGTACTTCTAAGTTTTTTGAGAATTATTTGATATCATTATTTTGGATTGTTGTAATAGAGTTATGAGAAATATCAATATATTTAAGTTAAGATAGGGGACCGCAATCAGGAAATCGTTTTAATCTATTATGCTATAAATTTAGCATTTGCAAACTTTGTGTTTTTAATTTGACATCTTCTATAATATTGTTGCTTGCATCTAATGTTCTCAAATTATAAAATTAATTCACTTCCTCGATCATTTTCAATCGATTTTTGGATAAGTTGATTACGATAATTTTCTTTCTCAAATCCAGTTTTAGTTAATCAAATGCCACTATACGAACTAGTCCTCCCTCTTCTGAAAAATCAAGCTCGTCGTCATGTTTATCAATCTGATTTAAAATCTGATCAAGAGTCAATTCAATTTCTTATAACATTTGAAATATATTATTATTCTGTATGTCTGTAAAAATTAATTCAATTAATAAAATATTGACTTGATACTTAAATATCATAAGGGATGTTTTGTTCGACATAGGCCATTTCGATATGATTGTCCACAATATAAGTATGAAAGTCCCAGAATCTTTCAGCTGCAATTATCTTTAATAAATAATGAACTACCTTGTTTTTTATTATTTTTCATTCTGTATTTGTGAAATGCTTATAAAGCCATCTAACTAAAATGATTTTAATAAAGCTTAAGGGAAACAAGCATATCATTAGTTTCCAATGATTCTGCAATCATCTTTAGCCCATTATCATCAATATCATTCCTTACCATATCTAAATGTATCAATGTTCGCTAAATTTAATCTAATCAATTACATTCTTGCTTAGAGCCTATGCAATTGCTTTTGCTCCATAATGTCCTGTTCTATTTGATGTTAATATTAGACTCTCTAACACACAATATTCACCACACAAATATTTAGCAATAGCTTCACATCCCTTAAATGAAATTCTATTTGCTGTTAAGTCCAAAACTCTTAACTTATTATTTTCTAATAAATGCTCTGTGATTATGTATATGGCATCACATGTAAAGTTATGTTTTTGCAAAGAGATTTTTTCCAATCCCCTATTAGAATGAAACATTTTTCCAAAATGAATTGCTGTCTCCTATCCAATTGAATGATAAACTGGGTTATCCAAATTTAATATTTATAATGTATTATTCTTCCAATTCAAAATTGATGTAATTGCCTAATAAATCTAAATAAATTCTTTACTATCACACCATCATGATCAATTCCATTGTTTGCTAAATTTAACTCTAAAATTGTTTTATTATTAAATAACATCTCAACAATTGACATTGCCCCTTTGGTTTATAAATTGTTAAAGTTCAAATTAAGATGAGTCAAGGTTTGTATATCCTTAATTCCCTCTGCTATCAATTCTCCTCCTTCAACACCAATTTTATTACTCTATAAATTGAGGCTTTCCAATGAATTACATCCTTATAAAATTTATAGAGATTTAGTACCTTATAAAAATTTTGATAATTCTTGAACTCCTACATTAGTGATTTCATTAAATGATAGATCAATGTGTTAAATATTTTCCTTGTAATTTTACAGACAAGAAAGTAATAAAATTAAATCTTAATCTAACATCCGCTAATTGAAATTGAGCTTGTAATTTCCTCTAAAAATTAAATTAATATCGTTGGCTTTGGTTTAATATGTTCTCACTATTGCTTCATTCACAGGTTTCGAAAATTCAGAGCATTATCTTTTATAATCAGTTGCAATTTTAGGTCTAAAAATTGCCCAATCCATTATTTTAATTAATGCAATAATAATTAACTTCTTATGTTATTTTAGATCGTAATCAAGAATTTAAAGGAATAGAGTTCTAATTCAACCCTAGAAAGATTGTTGTTGAAACATCGATCCTCTAGAATCACTATCAAAGTATATTGATGCAGATAAGCTAAATGAAATTCTCAGTAATTATTACATTACTAGGAAGATTACAAAATTGAGGATTCAAAAAAAGGAGAAGAAGGCATGAAATTGAATTCGCATATTAAATATTATGATTTCTCTAGGCCTCCCACAGGTATTCCTAAAAAGGCTTTCAGAGCATATAGTGCTATAGCAAAGAAAAAGAAGTGAATACATATTAACATTATTATTCAAGCTATTTTAGTAAAAATTAAACCATTTTGAGAATAACCTTAATAACCAATCATTATCCTATATCACATGAATAAAATTAGATAAGTTTTCTTAATTTTATATTCTGAAGCTAAAGATGTATGAAATTAAAGAGCCTTTTGGAATAATAATATAAATTTCGATGATTAATTATCGCACTTAGTTATATATAAATAATTTATAATAATCGAATGACCAATTCTAGGGTTCATGCCATTGATTCTCTAAAACCTTAATCTTTAATTCATATGGAATCTCAAGAACAAATTTAAGATAACCAAATTGTCATTTGTAAAACTAACCCTAATATCAAATCAATCCTCAAAAAATAAGAAGGACAATAGAAAGAGAAGAAGTAACTTCAGTTTAAAGATGATCTAAATTAAATTTATGTAGTTGAAAATTGGAAAATTTATAATACCCCTTTCGATGAGGATGACAGTTGCTGTTGTGTAATATAATGAGTTTTAAAGATTAATAATTCATACTAATTAACTAAATCATAATTATGCACGCAAGTATTAAGTTATTTCTTTAAATGATGGTCTTTTATTCGGATCTTTATCCCAACATTTGATCTTCAAATCTTTTAAAAACGAAGGACATCCTAACTAAATTAAGTTTAGATCTGGTCTTCCATGATCAACAGTTACTAATTTCATAATTGCAGGAAGATTTGTAGATAACTGTTTATAAGGTGTTTCTCTGCAACATATTTCCCATAAAACTATCTAAAATTAGAATAACTATTATACTGCATATGAATACACATCTGCTTTTATAGTATAAGGGAAATTCTAAAATACTTCAGGAGCCATCCAATGCTATAACTTTTATAATATATTATACAAAAGTTCCTAATGTCCCTGTCATTATCTTACCATTATCAGCTTAAACTCTTGTAAGACCAAAGTCAGATATTTTTATATTCACCCTTGATTTCAATTTATGAAGATGTAACATTCCTTCTGCAATTTACCATGCTATTTGTACTCTATGTTACCAACTAATATCTAGATGTTTTTTTCTATATAATAAATCAAACAATGTTCCTTGCACAAAATTCTGTTACAATATAGAGTTCATCATTCTTCTAAGATATACCCATCAATTGGACCAAATTATTATGTTTCTCACTTATTACAAAAGCAGATATTTCTCTACTAAATTCCTTTAAATGGTTTTCATTCAATGATTTTATTTTCATTTTCTTTATTGCCACTTCACCTCCTCTCCAATATCCCTTATACACTTCACAACTACTTCCTGTTCCAATTAATCTTTCTAAATTTAGTTGATCATGAGGAATCATCCATTCTTAAACGTCTAAAATAAGATGATAATTTATTTACTTTTCCCCTAATTTTAAAAATAATCTACTACTTAAAAATTATTTTATTATTATAATTACTATAATTATTAAATAATGTCCAATTTTTATTATTAAATATTATTATTTTTACTTTTCTCATTCAACTAATTAAATTGGCCAAAGTAATTATGATTTATTGGCTAAGAATTTGATGATTAAATTCTTTAATTTTAAGAATTACCATTTTATTTATTTGTTCCATTGTTTATTTATCCCAAATTCAAAAATTCTTCATCATTTAAAAATTCCTTTTTTAATTTTACATTCTAGTTTACCAATGGTGCTCTTATGTTAATTTACAAATATTCATTGGGTTTATTTGAAAATTATTCTGTCTCATCATCATTTTGGTGGTCCTTCTTCTTTCCGAGAAATCTAAATCTTGATATAAATAGGACCCTTGTTATTACGATTTGGTTTCTTTCTTTTTCTACTCTGCATTCATGCTTAGGGTTGATTTTCTTGTTATTGTATTATAATTATAACTCCTCTTAAGCTTATTATAATAATAATAATAATAATTATTATTATTATTGTTATTGTTATTGTTATTGTTATTGTTATTGTTATTGTTATTGTTATTGTTATTGTTATTGTTATTGTTATTGTTATTGTTATTGTTATTGTTATTGTTATTGTTATTGTTATTGTTATTGTTATTGTTATTGTTATTGTTATTGTTATTGTTATTGTTATTGTTATTGTTATTGTTATTGTTATTGTTATTGTTATTGTTATTGTTATTGTTATTGTTATTGTTATTGTTATTGTTATTGTTATTGTTATTGTTATTGTTATTGTTATTGTTATTGTTATTGTTATTGTTATTGTTATTGTTATTGTTATTGTTATTGTTATTGTTATTGTTATTGTTATTGTTATTGTTATTGTTATTGTTATTGTTATTGTTATTGTTATTGTTATTGTTATTGTTATTGTTATTGTTATTGTTATTGTTATTGTTATTGTTATTGTTATTGTTATTGTTATTGTTATTGTTATTGTTATTGTTATTGTTATTGTTATTGTTATTGTTATTGTTATTGTTATTGTTATTGTTATTGTTATTGTTATTGTTATTGTTATTGTTATTGTTATTGTTATTGTTATTGTTATTGTTATTGTTATTGTTATTGTTATTGTTATTGTTATTGTTATTGTTATTGTTATTGTTATTGTTATTGTTATTGTTATTGTTATTGTTATTGTTATTGTTATTGTTATTGTTATTGTTATTGTTATTGTTATTGTTATTGTTATTGTTATTGTTATTGTTATTGTTATTGTTATTGTTATTGTTATTTTTATTGTTATTGTTATTGTTATTGTTAAGAAATTATATTAGAATTATTATAGGAACCATTTACACTAGTGTCCACATCAAAACTAAATTTTTGAATTCTTTCACTTTATGATTAAAAAGACAACACTGGTCTTATTGGGTATTATGTTGCAAACTTCTCATTTCTTGGATCTAATTCTACTACTTCATCATCGTATTCCATAACGTAGGTACTCATTATTTCTCCGTAACTTTACGACATTTTTATTCCATCAATTGAAATAGAATAACTAAGATAATCATAAATATTGAATTCCCCTTTAATTTTTTAAAAAATTGGTACCTTTTTCAAAGTGTCAATTCCACTTCTTGAAGGATCAGGTATGATTTAATAAAATTGAGGGATTTATTACAAGATTGAAAAAATTAGAAAGTATAATAAAAATTGTGTTGGTAATCATCTTCAAATTGTATGAATATTTATTTGGTTTCCTTCTTTTATTGAGGCTTGCCAGTAATGTAATTTGTACTTTAATTAAGGCATAATAAATGTGAGTGCAGGTACTTAAAATGATGTATTATTCATCTGCCATTGTAATTGCAAATCCTAATTACAAATTAAATATAGATTATTTTTAGAATTAGAAACTAGTTATAAAATTATTCAACTATTTCACAATGTAATTAAATTATTTAATATTGGTATCTTAATTTTAATTTATCCCTTAAGTTAATATGATTGAAAAAGGGAACCATTGCAAAATTGCCTTCAAAATACTTTAAGTTGAATTTATGAAATTTGACCTTTTCTATTAAAATAACAGAATAGCTGTATAACAAATTAGTAAAAAATTGAAGATCTAAGTAAGTATTTCTCTATTCAATTTTTCATTTGTTGATAAATTCTAATATGAATTTGAGAAGACATATGACTACATATTTAACTTTTTTGTACATCTAGTTTATTAAATATGTGTGAATATATTCTTCAATTTATTCAGCATTCAACCCCTCCTTTGGGTGGGAATAATAGAAGTCTGATTAACTATTATAATTTATTACTGTAGAGACCCTATTTCGGTCTAATATATATGAATTTATACTTCTTCTCCCAATTAGGATTTTAATCATAACGCACTTTAAATAATTTGTAATACATTAGCTATCCTAGAGCATAAATGTCAACATTTTTGGTTATAGGCCATCTTTACTAACAATCCTTTTATTCAGAAGCTCTGACATACTCGAAAGTGTTGGCTTACTTATTTCCAAAAGCACTTTGTGTTATTATTACATTATTAAAAAATAAATATAATTTAACCTATTTAATATTAACAAATTTTCTTAAATTGGACAAATCTTTATTAAAAAGACACTGAGAATTTGTAATTTCAAAAATTCGAAAGCACAAAAGCTAAATAAAAAATGGGTATACATTTTAAAAGCTATTACAATGGTTAAAATTAATGTATAAAATTCATTTTTCTTGAGATTTTAATTCCTCTACTTTAGTTTTTTAGGAAATAAATTAAGAATTATTTAATATTTGAAAATCCATTAGTCATTTATAGTCGCAATATAACGAGCAAAAGCTTTATTGCAAATTTCATAACAGTATATAAAAAATGACAAATCCTGTTGATTGAAACATTTTTCATAAAATTTTAATTATTCAGAAGGATTAAAACCAATACACAATATAATAAATAGAGACATGTGAGTATGAAGATGTTAGAAATAGTATGAAAAAAGAGTAGATCTACACTTTAGTTTTGCAAAAATGTAGTATTTTCATTGTCAAAATGGGATTAATATCTGATTGATCAATCTGAAATTAATAGGTTTATAAGTTAAATAGTAATTCAACTGAATGCGTTAACAAAAAATAAATATTTTATGATGAACAAAACCAAATTAATTTTATGAGCCTTACAATGTTTAATGATAATAATTTTTAGAACTATCAGAAATATCTCATATATTGGAAATAGATCAAATATTTAATGGAATTAATATAATTATGCCCTTTTATCAAAGAAGAAATGAATGAGGGGAGGGTTCCTTTACACATCTGGTCCAAAAAAAATCAAGAAGCAAACATTAATTGTTTTTGAGAAGTGAAATAATGGGATTATTTGAAAAATCTAATAACTGTATAAGGTATTTTATGTATATATTTGAGATAAATGATTAAATATTTCTCAATCAATTATATTGATAACTAATTTATTATTATTATATAAATGTTTAGAATTGGACGAATATTCCCCATTTCAGTTCCACCCGCTCATGCAAATCCTCTAACACGAGTATTCTTCGATGTTGAGGTCGGTGGTAATCCATTAGGTAGAATTGTATTTTAGGTATTGGATGTATTCATTTATTAGCTTTTTGATAATGTTGCTCCAAAGACAGCGACAAACTTTTTGAGAATAGCTCAAGGAGTTTAAGTAGATGGCAAAAAGCTTCATTATTAGGATTCATAAATTCATAAGATTCTACCATTCAGAGGAATTTGGGGCGGTGCATTAGGAGGATCTATCTATGGAAAATCCTTTCCTGATGAAAATTACAGAATCAAGCATGATAGAGTAGGATTATTAACAACTTCGAACCCAAAAATCAATAGCAATGATGCTGGTTTCATAATTACTTTGGGTCCTGCTGAATGGCTTGATAAAAAGTCAGTTGCTTTTGGAGAGGTTATTTATGGGCTTCAACATGTGAGAGCAATTGAAAAATTAGGTAATTAATTCGACTATATTTTTAGGTGGGTTATCTGGGGCACCCAAAAAATCTGTTGTTATTAAACAAAGTGGAGTCATTACTGAACATGAATATCATAAATATGATATAGTAGAGGAACCAAATATTTGGAATTTGTAAAGTCATCATTGATAGATATTCAATAATATAATATTANTTAATATTTGAAAATCCATTAGTCATTTATAGTCGCAATATAACGAGCAAAAGCTTTATTGCAAATTTCATAACAGTATATAAAAAATGACAAATCCTGTTGATTGAAACATTTTTCATAAAATTTTAATTATTCAGAAGGATTAAAACCAATACACAATATAATAAATAGAGACATGTGAGTATGAAGATGTTAGAAATAGTATGAAAAAAGAGTAGATCTACACTTTAGTTTTGCAAAAATGTAGTATTTTCATTGTCAAAATGGGATTAATATCTGATTGATCAATCTGAAATTAATAGGTTTATAAGTTAAATAGTAATTCAACTGAATGCGTTAACAAAAAATAAATATTTTATGATGAACAAAACCAAATTAATTTTATGAGCCTTACAATGTTTAATGATAATAATTTTTAGAACTATCAGAAATATCTCATATATTGGAAATAGATCAAATATTTAATGGAATTAATATAATTATGCCCTTTTATCAAAGAAGAAATGAATGAGGGGAGGGTTCCTTTACACATCTGGTCCAAAAAAAATCAAGAAGCAAACATTAATTGTTTTTGAGAAGTGAAATAATGGGATTATTTGAAAAATCTAATAACTGTATAAGGTATTTTATGTATATATTTGAGATAAATGATTAAATATTTCTCAATCAATTATATTGATAACTAATTTATTATTATTATATAAATGTTTAGAATTGGACGAATATTCCCCATTTCAGTTCCACCCGCTCATGCAAATCCTCTAACACGAGTATTCTTCGATGTTGAGGTCGGTGGTAATCCATTAGGTAGAATTGTATTTTAGGTATTGGATGTATTCATTTATTAGCTTTTTGATAATGTTGCTCCAAAGACAGCGACAAACTTTTTGAGAATAGCTCAAGGAGTTTAAGTAGATGGCAAAAAGCTTCATTATTAGGATTCATAAATTCATAAGATTCTACCATTCAGAGGAATTTGGGGCGGTGCATTAGGAGGATCTATCTATGGAAAATCCTTTCCTGATGAAAATTACAGAATCAAGCATGATAGAGTAGGATTATTAACAACTTCGAACCCAAAAATCAATAGCAATGATGCTGGTTTCATAATTACTTTGGGTCCTGCTGAATGGCTTGATAAAAAGTCAGTTGCTTTTGGAGAGGTTATTTATGGGCTTCAACATGTGAGAGCAATTGAAAAATTAGGTAATTAATTCGACTATATTTTTAGGTGGGTTATCTGGGGCACCCAAAAAATCTGTTGTTATTAAACAAAGTGGAGTCATTACTGAACATGAATATCATAAATATGATATAGTAGAGGAACCAAATATTTGGAATTTGTAAAGTCATCATTGATAGATATTCAATAATATAATATTATCAAAAGGCAGCTTTCGTTGGTTTATTAGATTATTTCTTTTCTTTATTTTGATCCAAATTATGCCCATCCTCTTTAAAGTGTCTATCCTCCCTTGGTAATGTGAGCATCTTTTCTTATTTTTATTTTTCTTCTCTGAAATATCCATCCACTTGATTATGGTCGTTTTATTTTGATTCATGTTCCTTCTTAAACTTACTTTCTCCTTTAGATGTATTTTCATTAGAATTACTATTGTCTCTAACATCAGAACTTCCACAACCCATATTTATTAAAATCAATAAATTAACTAATTATCAATTTTATTAATAAGATTTTAATTCTTTTGATCTTTTTTCAATCAATTAACATTATTATCGATCTAAGCTTCAACTCTTATAAGTGGTGAATTTAACTGTTAAATATTTATGTTTTTAATTCTATAAGTGATCAGATTTTGAATATTGAGATTTCTCATCCAATACCTTGAAATAAATATAACTTTACTAAGTATTTCTACTTAAAGTATAAAAGATTCCCATTGATCTTTAATAATCAATAAGATTAATTTGATATATATATTGTAGACATTTAATTAATAATAGGACTTGATAGTAAAGATATAGTCAACTTAATTTTTCATCTGAGTGGCTAGACATACATTTAATAATTTTAATACGATATAAGCTCAGTAATATTATTATTCGCTAATTTCATTTTCAATATCATGTCTTTTCCATTTGTTGATCCTATTCATGCGAATTTCTTCTTTTGTCATTTCCTCATCTTCTATTTATTCTTGGTTTTTCATCTTAATAGTTGGCATTTATCTTCCATTTTTTTAAACTATTGAATCTAGTTATATTCTCACTATTCTATTTTAAATATTTACATTTGTAAGAATTTTATGTTAAACATTATTCACAAACTATCATATTCTAAATTTTAGGAGCACAACCATGATGATACAGATGACTGCATCCCATAAATGCTAACATGTATTAATTTCGAATTTCAAAACAAGTCTAACAAGAAGGGTTGAAATTAACTCCAATCTACTGCAATTCAAATAAGCTCATCAAATTTTTCATATAATCCAATTATAATACTCTAATTAATTATTATTGATTATAAAGTTCAAATGAACACGACGACAAGAGTTTACTGAATGTTCTCCTCAACTCCTCTAAATGAGTAAATGATCCAAATAATATTTTAATATTCATTATTATTTAATATAAATGAACTCTCTCCAATAATTCTTCCAACATAACCTAATAGACATTGTTCAGTGACTTAAAGATGTTCTTGTTATATTTGAACTCCTCTCTCAACTAAACCATTCGTATAACAAGAGTAAACCAATAACTAGTACTTTCTTCTTCATTTGAGTGATTATCTCTACAGATTTTCAAACAAGGCAAAATTAAGATTTAGATTTGTTCAATCTGACTTTATTAATCATATTCTATCACTTACATCTTTTTTAATTCAACACTAATAATCTATTTAAATAATCAATTATTAAATTACATCAAAATATAAGTTCAAAGCCTCCATATAACGACCACTTCTTTCTTTTAAAAAAGCCACACCTTTCATTATTTGAAATTCTTCACACAATCTCAAACATTCATCTTAAGGAAAGTCTCCATATTGCAATTATTCATATGCATCTTTTGGATGATATTAACATATTAACTTGAAAAAAGAAATCATTAATTTATCTTCTACCAAAAATTTATTATTCCTTTTTTCCTAAATAATCTCTGAAAGTAATTTCAATTTTAAATTTGGATGAGAATCTAACATTTCTATTGCTGCCTTATAATCCTCTTCTTTGTAATATTAAAGGATTTATCTTAATTTCTCAGCACAAATGCTCACCTAGAATTAAGTCACAATGTATTCTTACCAATTATGGAACTATGCTTAACACATATTTCAAAATTTCAGTTCTTAGTTCAGAATACTAACTCACATTTATCATCTGTTCAATGTAATCAAATATGAAAATCTTATTAATTAGAATATAATTACTTTGTCCTCCTCATTATTTGAAGTCAATAAACTCTACAAACAAAATTGCCATTCGTCTTTTATAAAATATATCTGTGCTTTAGCCCTTATGGATTGAAGCTCAGAACAAGAAGCTTCCTGTATTATTATGGAAATAGCTTCTTAATCATTAATTAATTTATCTTTAAATTGATTAATATAAGAGACAAACACAGAATCTCTAATATTTTTATTTTGTATATTAAAATCTGGCAATTTAAAGTATTCTAGATGTTGAAATTTATAATTGCTTTTTTCAACCAATGTTTATAAATTAGTGTATGGATCCTTGAAATGACATTTAACAACATTCAAAAAGTGTTCATATTTAATTGGGTATCCTAACTTCATAATTTCATAAACGAAATTACTTAGTTAATCAAGTAGGTTTAACTTCTTCGATGAAGCCTCTAATAATAAAATAACAATTTCAGATAAGCTTAAATCGTTAACTTATAATTATTCATTTGCTATAGTAATTTTATGTTATTCGAGTTATTCATATTTCTCTCTATTTGTGAATATTATCAATAATTCATTTAAAAAAATGGAAGAATCAATTTTTAGAAATTCTTCCAGAGTATCATATTGTAATAACCAAGATAAGATTTCAGCTATGATAGATGCCCATTAATTTTCTGGTATTTTCTATTAAGGGAATAATTCACCTATCAACAACATATGAAGATTCCACAAACATTTGTAACCTAGCAATTAGATTTCTTTTTCTATTGTAGATTGATTTTTATCCAAATCAACTTAGATTGATTTTAAATACTTTTGTAGAGACGTTTAGTCCCCTTTAATCAATTACCTATAGACTGCATACATTTTGAACAGTGGGGTTTTATAATCTTCATCAACTCTAGGTGAAATATAAATCAAAAGAGTAAATAAATTATTTTCTATACATAATTATTAGATTATTATGGGATCCAACAATTTTATATCTAAATTAATTATTAGTTATTTCAAGATATTTAATTTTTTCTACTAATTGATTAAATAAATCATTATATCTTTCAAAGAGTCATCAGGTATGAATTTGATTGCATTCTTTAAGATAAATGGTTCTAAGCTATTATAAAATTGCAATTCTAAATTGTGTTTTTGAAGAATGCTTTTGATTTCTCTAAATAAATAGTCATAAGATTATATAGTAACCATGAATTCAATAATTGTAGGAATAAGCACACCAATTGTTTAATGAGAAATGCTGATTTCAACAAATTATTTGAGTCTCTCATTAAAATATGGTCTTAAGAATTCTTGTCTTCCAGTTTTTGGTAAACCAGCAAATTTTAATTGTTTACCCAAATATAAATACAAACATAATCCCATACATTCTGTCCATTTGTGATTAGATGTCAATTATTCAATGTAATCCTACCAAGTTATCAATTAATAATGAATAATGTTTTATTGTTGATGTCCATTTTCATCGATTTGAATGTAATATAATTAATTATGATTTTGACATATAGTATTCTAAAAAGATTAAATTTTATCTTCTCCTATTTGTTAATCAGCAACATCTTGTGATAATTGTGATTAGACGACTAAAACATTATTTTCAGTAATCTCAGAAATAGCAATCAATGAATACTTCTTCCTATCATTTTTTAAGAATAATATATTATCACTCATCCATGCTAAGAATTACACATCATCATTCAAATTATATGTTAGAACTACTTCAAAACTGGTGATAAACTTTCCCTCCTTATTTTCATAGTTCATCTTTATTATTTCTATCACTTTGCCATTACTAACAGCTAAAACAGGATTTTCACTTTCAATTTACCATTTTGCACATAGGAGCTATCTTTTTTTTACTTCATATTTCTTTTTAAAAATCAAAAATATTTTAGGCTCTATAATTGCAACAAAGACTACTGCTTTATATACAAATGCAACAGTTTACATATCTTTGATTTTAATAGATTCACAACAATGACAGACTCCAAAAGCACAATCCTGAAATATCGGGTATCTTTCTATCCCATATGTAAATAAATTCTTCCTAATTTTCATCAAGTTCACTTTCCCAAGAGAATCACAAACCAAGAATTAACAAAAGAAATCCTTATTTCCATTTAACATTGTCATAGTAAGTGGTATTCCCTCAGTCATTTTCTAAAAAGCTTTGCAGAATTTATTCTTGTTGTATAATAGAATTTACTGTTGTGAGACAGCCAATAGGAATTGACCATCTTCATTAAATCTTAAACAAATGATTGGACAGACAGTAATGCTAGGATCTGATTCTAGTTTAACAATTTTGTCACTGATTAAATAAATGAATCCTTTTGTAGTTCCAATAGCAATAGTACTGCTAAAACACGTGATACATTTAATTCTGAAGTCATTCTAAAAGATTGATGAATAAAGATCCTTAAGTTTGCGATCCATTTTGACTTCTTGAAAAGTATTATTAGCCTATTTCTGATTCTCATAATGCTAAATTAAATCGGAATCGTCATTGTATTTTTGGATGACTTGATAAGGTTCTTTTTCTAATTAATCCACGTAATCCAAGATGTATGGAATCTGTTTGTTTTGCTCAGTTTGTTTAATACTTTCTCTATTGCTTGAAGGATACTCTCCCAAAGTGAATTAATGCAAGAGTTTATCTATTTCTTCATAGGTATATTATTTTTCAACTTGTGTTTCAGGCTAAATGGAAATTTTAGATTGATTGGATTATTATTCCACTTCTATATTTGGCGTTCCTTTCAATAATTCTTCAATGTCATTGAATTGTTGGTACTCATTTACTTTCTATGGTTGGAAATCCTTTATTATTCCTTCTAGAATTAAATGTTTATCAGCAAGAATTTCATCTTAATACATGTATAATTTATTAAAAGAAATTGCATATAAAACATACATATTGTATATGAATTGTTTTTTAAATATAATTTTGATTGAAGATATCAGAAATACTAAACTAGCACATAAGGGTAATATCAGCTACAATCTTAAAAGATTAATTCATTGAAATACTGTATTATAATGCAGATGTATTGATTATAGAAATTTCGACAAAATCATAGAAATCAACAGAGTCCCTACCTAAAGTATGATTGTTTAAATATTTGTGAAATATATAGATTTTCAATCATTTTTTTGTTAAGGCTCCTTTCTTCTAAAATTGATTATAAGTATTGGAATTATAGATGATGTTTAAGTTTTGAATCTTAATCGATTGTTACATTTATAATTATTATTGACTAAACTACGATTATCCTGAAGCCTTCATCTTGTTTGTATCAGAATTCATATTCAATTTCTACTCCTTAAATCCTGGAACCAGCTTCTCTATTGACTACTAGATTTTAGGATTATTTATTACTGCTTTCTTCATCTACTTGCCATCCTTCTCTTATTGCTATCCTTATATATTATAATTATAAGCAGTATTTTGCATGTTCAACTGATTTCCTAAGTAATTAGGTACTTTGAAACTAGTCTATTTTTTATCTATGATTAATACTTTTGTTCTAATCACATTTTATTAAGTGTTCGGTGATGCAGCAGTTCTATGAACACCTGCACTTACTTATCTCTTTTCTTAATCATTCTACATTTCCAATTCTCTCATGAATTCAACTGCTTCTGGCAAGTCTTCGAAATATTAATGTCTAAGTGCTTATTTGCAAGTCAAACGCTCAGCTGGTTCCATCTTTAATAATCCTTTAACAAAATTTATGGCTTTTTTTGGTAATTTACAAAGATATCTAAAATTAACATAAATATTATAAAATTACCTTTGTTCCAATGTTTCTGGTTTAGATATTTCAGGGAATTTCATCCCTAAAAATCTAGGATTCTTCGAAAATGTTTCTTATTAACTCTATGTTAGTGGTCCTAGCATCTTTTAGATGAGATATAATTAATCCATCTCATTCTCACCTGGAAACAAAGGATTTCCATCTGTCAATTCACATAACAAACATCCAATTGCCCTAAATTTATGTTTAAATATGTACCACATATCTACTCCTTTGTCATATATTGAATAGGAAAGCAAGAGTTCTGGAGCTCTGTACCATCTTGTTGCCACATAGTCAGTGAGATCTTAGGTTGATGCAGTTAAGGACTAAATTAAATGAGAATGAACTTCATACTCTTGCAAAACCAAAATCGCATAACTTCAATTAATGGTTGCTGCTTATCAACAGATTTTCTGGTTTAATATCTCTATGAACAATGTCATTGTGATGACAACAATATATTGCCTTAAGCAACTGAAAAATTATTCTCTTAATATAGAGTGGCTATGGTCATAAAGATACTAAATACTTCTAATCCTGAAGGAGACGCCTCTAGAACTTCAAGTAGATTACGCTCCACATACTCAAACACTAAATAGATTCTCCCTTTTCTAATTAACTTCCCACATCATACTACCTTTTGAATGCTTCCTTCAATTCCACTATGTTAGCATGTCTCAACAATCTAAGTACTTTAACTTCTCTTTGAATACTCTTTTTCACTATCTCATTCTCTTCGGTTTCCTTGAACTTCTTTATGGCCACTATACAACTTAATATCAAATCTAACCTATTTCATTGGTCTCCTTATTCTTACATTTGAGAACCACGCCGTAAGCACCCTCTCCAACAACTCCTAAAACTTCGTATTTATTCATTAATTAAATGAATAAATCAAAGTGTTAATCTTGCAACAAAAACATAGCCATTCTCAATTGCGTGACCTGTTCTCTTATTCTGTGTTACTTTTGTGACGAGAAACTGCATTCAGACAAGGAAAACCATATCACAACAACTTTGCCATTTGCCTCCTAACATCCAACTTAATAAAATCAATCTCATCTAAATCAAACTATCTAATAGAAGAGATTGGAGCTATAGGAACTAAAGGATAAAGAATAAAAAATAGCTAAGATTTACCAAGAGAAAATGCTACATGCCTAAAAGAAATATGAGCAGCAGATTAATTCACTTGAAGAGAGATGTATCACTATTTATTATGTCCTTATAGTATAATCAGCATCGCAATTCATGAATTAAATGTAGGATCAAGTTGAAGAGATCGATGTTGATAAAATGCAAAATGAATTGGAAGGCTTGGATAAGAGTTTGAAATTGGATATCAAAAAAGCTGAATAAGAATAATCTATTCTTTAGGAAAAATCAAAAAATGCTGATTAGCTCATTAGCAAATTACAAAAAGCAACTGAAATTGAACAAAAACAAATTTTAAAAATGAATGAAGTATTAGCAGTATTTAAAGCTTGTTCAGAGTAATTGCAAAAAGAAAAAGTATTATAATTCAATCCAACATTTTATAGGATCTATTAATGTTGGATAATGAAAAACTTGTTGGAGAAGTAGAAATATTTGCTAAATTTATGGCTGAGAATGGTCCTCTCTTGGAAGAAATAGGTAGAGTTAAAAATGAATAATAATAGTAATAATAATAATAATAACAATCATGATATATATTTTGAATTATTGAGGAAAACAAGGTTGTTACTTTCTAGGGTCACTAAACACTGGATAATCTATCAAATTTCTATTGTTCTATACTCAAAACTACTTTAGCTAATTTGTTTTAATTTACAAACAAAAATCAAATAAAATGTAGTTCTAGTAGATCAATCATATAATTCATATCTTTTTTAATTAAAATTTATCTTCCAGAATTATTGTTCAACCTACTGATTACTGACTTATATTATGAATTAAATCTAAATAGTTTGCTATCTTATAATTCAATTGAATATTTTCTAAATTAAATTCTATTAATATCCAATAATATTAGAATATTAAATTGTGCAATTTCAAATGAAAAACAAAAACCTTCGAAAGATTTGATCAGTTAGAAAATAACAAATTGATAGATATGATAGCACCTATTAAAAATCATCAAGATTCTAGAGTTTCTTTAAGAACACATTAAAATACATGTAAGTATTTGAATTAAATTAATCATTTTGAAGGTCGATTTGAAAATTAGATAAAAAAAGATTCATTTTAGTTGATTGGCGGGTTGAAAATGGAGAATAATTAAATAGTGAAAATTGGAATACGAAATGAATTTCAATAAAAAGTCATTTATCATTAAATGTTTCAGAGGAGAATGAATTTCTTTAATAAAGAATTGATCTGTATTTAATATTTTCATCGATTATAATCATTAATTAAAATATAAAGAAGAGAGAATGTCATCATAATCTACTTAACAAGCTTAATTAAACTCTGTGTTAGATCTGAAAAATGTATTTTTGATGAAACCTCGTTGTAAGGAATCTGCTGATACCAAGATTGCAATTGATTATTCCCCTATGTACAGTGAGTAAGTTAAATTCTAAAGTTCAGAGTTTTAGGGTGTAAACAGAATACAGTACCGATATTTAGCAATGACGGAGAGCCATCGTAACCTGGCTTTATCCTCTAGATAGATTAAGTATTTTATTTTAATAATTTTTAGCCTGTGCATTTGGCCAATAGCATTCATTACAGATCTTAATTTGATAAAAAATTATAGGAGGTGTAGGAGAAGAACAAGGATCTAGTATATATTAAATTTACTATATGAAGTTTATCCCAAAACCAAGGGGAACCAGAATCTATTGCAATGTTTGTAAATAATCGATCGAGGATTATCTCTAAGTAAATAATGGAATTCATTGTTTAGCACACTGAATCTAAAAACCACAAATTGAAGTTTAGGAAGAACAAAGTCATCAATCTCATCCATTCTATGGCTGATGAATTTTAGAAGAATCGAAGTATGCCTCAAAATACACCGACTCTTCATTCCGATTCTGATAGATGTGGTTACTTCTCGTCCATCTAGGAGGATAGCGTTGAACATTAAGACAGCACATAGTAAGAACCACATACTATTAAGAAGATTAAGTTGAATGAAGATGTCAGCGCTTTCAACAAGATGGGCAACTCGTATAAATTTCATTTAATCTATTAGTCTTGTACATAGCTCTAATTAATCATTCAACGATAAGTACGGAAGGTAGTGTCTTTGAAGGAACAATTATGAGCAGCATTATATATATATATATATAAAAAAAGAATTATCATCCCAAAAATTAAGTTATAAACTCGGAGTTTTGTATATTTAATTCTATGTATCAGGATTTAAATGTTTAAGTATCTACAAGCAAATCTCTAAGGAGTTAATTTGTGGCGATAACTCAATAAATTACCATACATTGAAAAATCTATTGTACGCTTCAGTTACATCTTATTCAGTAAACTAAAATTGTTAGCTTGAACTTATATCTTCATTTTTTTTATTCAAAGCCAACAATAAGCAATAAACAGCATAAAATAGTCTTTCAATAATGAGCTAGCTATTCATATTCCATAATAAAAAAGTCACAAAAGTAATAAGATAATATTGACGATTCACTTTCAATTTTGAATTTATATTTTTTTTAAGAACTAAATTGGAATCCTGTAAGTTAAGTTACAGTTGTTCAATGAAATTAAGTATAGAGATGATTGGCAGTAATATAAGCATAGGCATGACAATCTCTTGCTTAAAGTATTCCTTAGACCTTTCATTATAAACACTATAGAAATTAATGAAATATAATACTCAGCAAATTTTAAGGACGCAACTCAAATCAATTATAAATTCTTTCTACTTATCTTCATTGTTCACAAAACCAAATCAATATAAATGATCGAAAGATTCAAACGTCTCATCCATCAACTAAAAATGAATGCATAAATCAATCAACAAATCAATTAAGGTAATCCGCATAGTTTGAATGATTTCAGTTTGAAATTGAAACACTCTTTGAACTTCAGTTCTTTGTAATAAATGTATGTATATTAACTAACTAACTAACAGCATTTCAAAAAGGATGCTGTAAAATTTCTAATATATCTAAATTATTTTCAGGCTTAATACTGAACAGTTTTTAGAATAAAACTACTTCATCCTAATTTAATATTTTGTTAAGAGTGAGTAATCTTTCGGCGATATATTTTGAATTATGTCTACTATTTCATTTATTCAATTAATTTCTATTTTGATTATATATCAATCCACAAAGGGAATTTAATTTTGACATAACCTGAGATTGAATTCCAGTACCTCAAAAATTAGAATAAATCAAATAAATATTTAATCTAAGTTTTGTCACTAAATAACGGGCTTCTTAAAGCCATTTCAGCTAAAATGCATCCCTAAGGCCAACTCTCTATTTCACAACCATAATACTATTTTCTAAATAACATTTTGAAGTAAGGAGTAGCTTCTTTATGCAGTTCTATTGATTGTAAATATTAATTGAATTGTCAATTTGTAATTAAAATAATAAAATTCAATATAATAAATCAAGTATTTTTTATGATATAATTCATGTATTATCAAGGTTTTAATCAATTTTAAAAATAATTCAGGAGCATAGTTGCAAGGGTGCTTTATTTATCCTATCTAAAGTCTAAAGCATGGTTCCTTTTGCAGAGTACAATAAGATCTTGACTTGTAATTTGATTGTTATCCTTTTACACTTAAATGCATAACAATCTAGTCACAAATAATTACCAATGATACAAGATCTATTTCATACATTAAGGATACTATTGAATATATTCCAATTATTAAAATTATAATATCTACTTGCATATATCTATTAGTTTATTATGAGCAATTACCTTAGATATCAGATTTTAGGATTTTTAGAATGTTTTAATTGGATTCTAAGATTTGAATCATTAACTCTATAATTGATGCTTCCTCTCCAGGCTAGAGTAATCTTGAACTTCCAATCCCAAAAATTTAATTTATATCTCTTTAATAAAGACAATATTTACTTTTTTATAATATTATTATTTAATTTTGTTGATGGATACCAAAAGGTTTTATCTTCCATTAATTGTTTCTTTAAAATAGGACTCATTTTATTAACCCATTCTTGTGTTTATTAATTTTTTTTTTCAATTAGATGAGTCTCTTCAAGTACTATTCTTCTAACTAATTCTCTTTATTAAGTAATATTTAATTCAAATGGCAACGTTTAGTAAATACTTAATAAAGATTCCTTTAAAATCTAAATTCCAGTTTTATATTATAAGACATCTAAAAAAGAATCGTTATTATTATCGAATTATTCGGGCTCTGTAAACACTCTGCATTTTGGAGTTGAATATTTATTGGTTAATGATTTAGATATTCCTTAAATGATATTCTTTTCAATTTATTCCTAGGATGTATCAATCTGATGATTGATTTTTAACTTGCTTGGAGTGATTGAACTATTTCTCTTTTTTTTTGTGATTTCATTAACAGATATGACGTAAAAATTCTTTTTCGGTTGAGACTTATTTCTATGAATAACTTCTGGGGCATCTTTGTTTTTTAAAGGTGAGACCCAAAAACTCTCAGATTTTTAAGTTAGTTATTTTACACCCTTAAGCGCTGATTTGGGTCTCTTATAAAATTTACTCTAAAGAATTGATCTTACTCTATTAGGAATTACGTATTCTCCTTCTTACGGTTTATAAACTTCAACTCCTTAACTTTATAGTCTGCTTATATAACTAAGACGCATTAAATAAATGTTTTATAAATAGTTAAGTACAAAATCAGATATAATTATCATTAGAATTATTATATTGAGGTCATTGATTGATTAATTAATATCTTAGTGCATTCCCATTCTTGGGAATATGCAAATAACTAATTAAAAAACAATTCATTATAAAACTGATTATCAACATAGGTAGTATCCAATTTATAAAAAAATGGATGTTGTTGAAATTTTAAGATAATTTCCACAATATTACCTTAGATTTTGCATTATGTTAATATTAACTAAATCAAACAGCTTAAGATAATATAATTATTCTAATATTCTACATATATTTATAACATTTGGAGAGCAATAAACTTAAATAATACTCATTTTAATTCAACAATATCTTCATATTTGGTGTCTGAATGTCTTTGTTAATCCTTATGCCAAACTGCCATATCATCCTCATCGTCATCTTAAGTTCCTTAATCAAATAGTTATTATGCCTTCTTATACTATTACTCAACATTTTATTATTTAGCTTATTATTAATCCTATTCTAATTCCTTTTCTACAATTTTTGGATCTCTCCAATGTTATGGCATAGACCAAACCTTGATAACTTTATCTTTAGCAGCTGTCAACAGTGTTTAATCAGCATCTAGCCATTGCAATTTTGTAATATCAGAATCATGAGCTTTAAGTACATCTAAGTAATCATTGATGATATTACATAATTATTGTGATTTTCGAGCATCCCAAATGGTAACAGTGCCATCTATATTACCAACATAGATTTCACCTCTTTTTGCTGACCATCCAATTTCCCTGCTTTTTGACTTTCCATTTAATTAAGCCACTTCCTTAGAATATTACTCTCTTCCAGGTAATTATATATCTACTATTAAAATGACTCCATTTTCATGACTAATTGAGAATAAATAATTCCTTTAATTATCTATGAAAAATCCTCTTATAAACAATTAATTGGTTGGAATTTTAATTATCAATTTTGGTCGTTTCTAAATTTATTAATATAAATAATATACTTTCATAATATCATAAATAAATATTTCTCCATGTCTATCTCCTACAAATGTTTTCTTCCTTTCTTCACTTCCTAATAGACAAGTTAATTCATATTAATCAGGTTCGATATCTAAATTATAATTAAGATTAAATATAACCTGCTACTAATTCCCCTTTTCTAAGATTTAAGACTCTGTATTTTCTATCTTTGGATATGGAATGTAAATATTTTCTCTTATTATCATAATACAATCCCATGACTCTGTCTGTATGTTACTCAATTTCCAAACTCTCTGTAAATTTCTTAAATCCTTCTTTCTCTGGTACATACAAATAATTGATCGATCCACTATCTAATCCCACAAGCAATACAGAAGCAGCTGCATCCCAATAACATGTTATGGCTTAGGAATTGTACATCTTAACCCATAATCTTGAAAATTCTCCACTCTCTTGTTACAACCAACATTCAACGCATCCTACAGGTATTAATGCTTGATCTCCCTTTTCAGATTCCCAAGGAGCTTTCATGTTTGTTAGATAGGCATCCAATCTGTTTATCACTGAACAATCTGATGTGATAACAAACATCAATCCTTGTTCTGAACTAATAGTAAAATCTCTGATTCCATGCAAAAATCCTTTGAACTCGAATATTTGTTTAGGAGGATTCACTATGATTTCCTTTGCATTCTTTTCGATTTCCAAGAATTGTTTTAGTGGTTCTGATGCAACTACTTCAGGTCTGCTGGCTAAATTCTAATTATTTCAATTGTATTCTTACTTGAATGAATTCATCTAAACCTGCCTTTCTTTTTTCTATGTCCTCAGGTGTTTTACCTACTAAAAATGTTACATATTTCTTTTTGGGAAGTGATGGCAATTGCTCCCCAAAGAGAACTTTTAATTTTTTGGCTAAGTCTTCAAACTGAGAAAATCTTATTTAGATTTCGCAAATACCTTTTTTCTAATTACCATACGTCACTTGTTTTATTTTTGACTTGTATCATATAGTAGATAGCATCATCATTTGGATCATTTCTAAATGAAATTACACTTGCCTAATTATTATTAGAGAAATATACAGATATCGGGGATTTCGAGTCCATAAAATATAATAATAATAATTACAAATAATACAATAAATTTTATTGAAAATATGACATAGATGTGAATTTGTAGAAAATAAACATATATACTCAAAATAATTTAATTTTTTATGTGTTCTTTCTTTTTATTTTCAAATTTTATTCGAAAACTATGAGTTTATCATTAGGACTATGAAATTATCCTCTTTATTCTGATTTAAGTTTGAACTCTTAAGGTGTTCTTGTTGTGCTTTATCTTAATAATCTACAAGATTGGACACTTTCATATGGGTCACCACTGTTTGAATGCATGTGAACATGATCTGTATTATGAGATGAAAGATTTCTGTTGATTTTATAAAAGTTATGAATATTTGGGGATATCGTTTATTATATTTAGAGAGTTTGATTTATATCCTTTTAAGATTTACTATCCCTTGTTAATTTATTAAATCTTTGATTCTTATCACTTTATCCAACTAAAGAGGGATTAGTTGCTGTTTTCTTTAATGTTCTTTTTTTCAATGCACTTGTCTTAGGGATATCACCAAGCAATTTAGTAGATTTCTTAACTAGAATGGTTTATTATTGAATATTTTCATCAGGAACAATTCCAATTTCAGGTTCTGAGTCACTATCATCCGAGACTTAATTTTCATCCATTTTTTAATAGTACTATTTATTCAATTCAAGATCTTATAGTATCCTTGTTTTTTCTTCCAATTACATATGATAGATTTTTAATGATTAATGCAAATCCATACCAATTTATAATAAATCATTTTGAGAATATTAGATTAATTTGTTATCATATTTATAACCGAAAAATGATGTTTCAAGCGTGACAATATTATGAAAACAGTTAGGATTATGCTTTTACATTTAATTATACACAAAAGCTCTTGCTGTTTTTAATTTATAGGATTTCAGATTAAAAGTACATGAATTAAAATCGAAATATTTAGAATTCTCTGCCATGATCTTGGGAAGAATTCTGCACTCAATAGGATCATCAGAGTTCCTACATGCATACATAAAAGTTCCAAGTTTTCTGGAATGACCATGCAAATCAATAAATGTTTTGATGTCCCTCCCTTCACCCAATATTTTGTCGATTAGATTTCTGATCTAAATTATTTATTGATGGTATTTTAATCTAGGATTTTGCCAGACTCTATTCAAATCCTTCCCACTTAAATCGCATCTAAAATTACCCTATTTGACTCCATCTGGATTGACCATAGGAATAACAATGATATTATAAAACAATTGGAGTGTTTTGTCATTTGAAAGTGCTTCAAGAAAACCTTAACAAACATGAGAGGATACAGTTTCTCCAGGATGTTAACGAGCAATCACTAAAATAACATCACTTCTTTTGGATCCGAATTGAACCATTCTTACAGGCAATCCTGTTATAGTAGTGGCTAGGATTTCTGATTAAAACTTAAGTAAGTATTTATCTAGATCAAGATGAGTATAAGGGATTCCAAGGGCTATTTCAAAGGACTTCGAGGATTTATTTATCCAAAAGGAGAGAGTGTATAATTTAGTCGAGGTGGTTTTGCAGAAATTGGATTTGACATATTAGGATTATTAGATTAATACTTGAGACTTTAATATTTCCCAATGAGAATCGTACTTGATGTACACTCCGAAACCATTTTGGAACTGCAAATAATATTTGCTCTATTGTTTAATATTATAAGTTACCATATTAATGATGTTTATTCTGCATTTGTACTCGTTGGGATTGGTTACTCTAAAGTAAAACCATTAGGAATAGCTGGTAGCGTTGATGTCTTCTTGGAGAAGTAAATCATATTCGAATTTATCCACTTGATAAACTGCTGCCAAATTTGCAGATGTGAAATTGGAATCAAATAATGGTAACTGTTGGGTTTAAGTGATGGTAGGGGTTTGTATATCTTTGAGATTTAATTATTTAAAATGATGATTACTCACTTTTGATCCATATTATTTCTTATAAATGCACTTATATGATTTTTCGATATCTTTTATGTCATTTGTCACTCCTCGATTGTCTGCTTAGTATACAATGGGATTGGGAGTGGGAAGAGATGTGATTATGAATGTAGGTTACTTATCTTATTAAGTTATTAAGGTTTCAATAAAAGCAGATTCGAATCCCTCATCATCCATTTTACCCGTTTTTGAGAATTAAATAAATTGAGAATCGTCTGGCGAACTCAATAAATATTAATAAATGAAAGCCACACTTGCAATTCTCTTGTTGATAAGCATTGCATCTGCAACATCCACTCATGATTAAATTATGGCTCTACTCCAAACTGGTACAAAAGCCATGGATGCCATTGACACTGTCTTTGGTTTATTGAATGATCTTGTCCAATCCAACAAAGATGCCTAATTTGCTGCCGACTAAAAGAATGAAACAGACGAATGGGTTGGTGCATAGTAATTATCTTACTTAATCATAGAACAATCGAGTAATTCACTAAGATCAAGTCACTAAACTAAAAGCTTTTCTAATAATCAGTTGAAAATAGAGTCCTTTTCGAATAAGAACTCCAAGACACCAAGAATTATCTTGCTTGGAATGAATAAAGATAAGATGAAATTACCAGAAAAATCAATGTCCTCCTTGATGAATAATGTCTTAGTAATCAACTCTTCGTTAGATCAATCAAACAAAACAGAGAAGCTCTTGAAGTTGTCAGAGTTCTCAAATAAGATGTTGCCGGTTACATCATTAATGGAGATTCATTTGAATTGGTCCAAGAAAAAACAACTAGTGTTGCTCAAAAACTCAAGGCCTACAGCAATCTCTTCAATGATTAAGAAATCAAGACCTTCTTGAGTTTGGCTTAAATCAAATAAGAAGATGGAGTCAGCAGAGGTGCTACACTTGCTGAAAGAGTCCTTGCAGTCCTTGAATCACTTGAAGCCAACCTTCAAGCTTCTCTTGAAGCTCTTGAAGTCAATGAAATCAATGCCTCATGGGAATTGGCCGGTTGGGTTTCATTGAGTGAAGCTGAAATCGCTAACCTCAAAGTTGAATACGAAAGAAAATAAGTCTTTGCTGATAGATTAGCTACTGTATTATTCATTTACATCAACCTTAGTAAATCTAAGCAGCCTTAGCCTAATAAGCCAAATCTAAGATCATCTTATAAGAGTCCCAAGATGCCCTTGACTAAGCTTAAGCCGATTTAGAATCCAAAAGAGCTGACTATGCTGAAGCTAAAGCTAAGAGAGATGAAGAAAACGCCATCTTAGAATAAGTCATCATCATGTTCAAGAAATAAGTCGCCTCATGGTCTGGAAGATGATTAATATAACTAATCAAGTTATTCAAAACATTTATTCGGTTTTTTTTTGAATTCATTTTCCAATATCTATCACTCGATTATGGCTGTGCAATGGCAGTTATTATTAAATAATATTAGAAGTTAAATATAAATATTTATATATAATAATTTAACCTTTTAGTCACCAATCTTTGAATGGATCATCCTATTGTTTAACAGAGTCTGGTAATTCAGTACTATCAGGATAAGTAGCAAAATTAGAAGTATCATAATCAGATCTACATATTAAATATATCATACTGAATAACTGGTATATATTGTGGCTTTAATTTTTTGGCAAACAAATCTTTCCAATTCAGAGTTTCATACCATTTATGTTATTTGATATCATCTACACCATTTTTTAAATTTCCAAATCTTTTTGTTACATCCTATTCCAATAAATGTTTTACTAAGCATTTTGCTTCACTAAAGTTAATTATAATTTATTTCATCATTACTTATCAAAATTACGTGGAAATTTGACTTTCCCCTTCAATATTTTCTAATATATAGCCATTGGATCTTCATCATTAAATGGATCAATTCCTTTGGATTTCTACGATAAAACAAATACCTGCAAGCATTTCATACAAAAAGATTCCTAAACACCACCAATCTACAGGTTTACTATGACCTTAAATTTTGTTAATTTTCAATAATACCTTTATTTAATAAGATTTCAGGGGCCAAATATTCAGGTGTACCACATAATGTATAGGTTCTATCTTCAACCACTTTAGCAAAACCAAAATCAGTTAATTTCAGATATCCATCAGATTAGACAAGAAGATTTTCAGGCTTCAAATCTCTATACACTATATTCTTAGTGTGAAGATACTCAAACATTAAAACAACTTAGGCTGAGTAGAATCTACTGTCATCAATTGATTTACTAAGCCTCTTCATTCTGCACTGTTCCAGCATTTCTTAAATATGTAAACAATTCTCCTCCTTATATGTATTCCAACACAAAATACAAGTATCGTTCATCTTAAGTGTACCCACTCATTTCAATCTAATACATTTACTTATTTTATTTACCAGAAATGGGTGTTTTACTTACTTCAGAATGTTAAATTCACTTATAATATGATCAACCTATTTAAGTCGTAATATTTCAATTTTCTTTAATATCTTCAAAGCAACATATTTGTTATTTGACTTTTATTTTGCTAGTCTTACTCTTCCAAATGAACCAGTCCCCAATGTATTCATTATGTCATAATCAGCTAATTTAACCTTTTTAGTTTCCATTTATTTAATAATAATTTTTATAAGCATGATCAACTTCATTCTAATGGTTAACAAACAAGGACAAACAAGATTAGCATAATATTTTCAATTTCTCAGTGTCAAAGAAAGAATGACACTCGAAGGAGAATTGATTCGTAAGTGTCTCTCAAGAAATGAAACACAATGTAGTTTTCTTGAACATAGAGGGTACAAGGTAATTTATCTATCTCATAATGTAGATTATTTACAGAAGATATGCATCTCTGTATTTTATTATTGGAATGGATTTAGAAGAGGAAGTAATTCTATATCATAATAATGAAGAATGAAATGGCCTATTTAGAATTTATTCATAATTTAGTTGAAACCCTGGACAAATACTTTGAAAATGTTTGCGAATTAGATGTAATCCAATTATTTATTATAGATAATGTTTAATATTGAAAAAGCTCATTACATCTTAGAAGAAATGGTGATGAATGGTCAAATTGTGGAAACTAATAAGACCTAAATATTAGGTATTCGATTCCTATATTATATCAGCCCCAATCCATGTTTTAGACAAGGCTAAAGATGAGTGATGATTTTTTGTTTATCATAATTGATTTTATCAGAACTTATATAACTTAAATTAAGGTAATTGAATTTCAAAATTAATCATTTTCAAAATCTCCAATTGCTCTAATTCAAAAATAATCTAAATAGTTATTTAAGTATAACTTCAAATGAAGTTATTCCATGCCAATACTTAAAGTTTTATACCTTAAATATACTTATTAATTCTATTTTCTAATTTTTCCATCTATATAGAGGAAAAATTAAAATTATATATCATATTATTAGCTCATTAATAAATTCCCATCAGATCCAATTAGTTCATTGAAAATTAAATCCATTTATGAAAGATGTCTTGTGTTGAATATTCTAACATTTTGAAAATCATATTTTTTTAATTAATTCATTCTTTGTTATCAATTAATAGTAACTGTCATTCATCAATGAAAATTTGTGTAATCTCTTAATATCTAAATAAGTTAAAGAAAGTTCTACATTCAACACGAAATAAATAAATGAAAAAATAATTCTTGCATAAAAATAATGAAAAATAATTAAGATCCAATCATCTCCTTTTATTATTAACAGTAATCAATATTGGAATTAAATAAATTGAAATAAGATATCACTTTGAATCACCATTCTTATAAAAATAATTATTTCAATGTTTTAATAATAATAGCAAAATAACACTAAGAATATATAAAACAACTTATTAAATAAAAACATATTTTCTTAGAATTGGCAGTTAAAAATCAAGATAACCAATTACAACGCTTAATTAACTTTGAATTCTCTTTAAATAAAAATAGAAAAATGTCACTTATGATAGAAATATAAATGAAGACAATCTGTCTTCAAATGCTGTAAGTGCTTTTGTTAAAATGTGGTTTGAGTAATTTATAGAATCTATACTATTATTTTAATGATTAATTTCATTGTTAATCTTCATCATCTTATTCAAATTGTATATTCAATTTTCTTGATTTGCCATGTTCTTCGTCCTCTATCATATTCTTACTATTCTCCAATTTTGCTTTTTCGTATAATTATTTCTATTATTCTTCTAACTATTTCAAGTGCTCCTCATCCTAAAACCTTGCTCTATTTTGATTTTTTACCTAAAATTAAAATTAATATGTACATTCACTTCTTCCTTAATTTCTTCTTCTATTTCTTTTAGATGGGGTATTTAACTGTCTAATTTCAATTTTGAAATAGCCTTATAGAAAAATTCCCCTGATATTGTCTTCTTTCCTTGCTCTAAACAAATTGTATTTGCTTGATCAGAAACTAATTATATATATTCCCTAGCCATTGACATCACTTAAGTCACAAATTCGTTAGAGCATTTCATATCTCCATTCGTGGAGGCCTTTATAAACTGTTAAACAGTAGCTACAATTACTTTTTTATTTACCTTTTGGAAGTTGTTCCATTTCTATTTTTTTACATTTTTATTAATCAATTTTTTTTTTTTTGAATTAGGATAGTTGCAGTACTTATTTTATATTTAATGATTGGCCATAAATAATCGATTAGAATACATATAAACCAAAAATAGTTATTATTAATAAAATGAAGAAGACCATTTCTACAACTACCAAATCCTAAAATATCAAATTCTTAAATTCTTGATTTATTAACATTATATTAATAATGAATCATATAATTATTTTCTCATCATTGGATAATTTAAACTATTTAAAGCTCTTTAGATCTATTTATTTATTATCATACAATAATTAATTTTGCTTGTAATTTCTAAAAAGCTGGATTAAAGTAATGATATAAGTGACATATGATTAAAACATCAAAATCACATATTTCAATAGCATTTATAGAAATTTAGGTATTTTCTTAATTCATTAAATCTATTGTTACAAGGTGTAAATAAAATATAAAATATTTGGAGTTATCATTTAATATCTATAAAAATTGTTGGTTGCATTTTATAAAAGTAAAGATTTTAATAATAAATGATTAAATTATTAATTAATGAAAAATAATACTTAACAATTGATTTTTAAATATCTTATAAATTATAAATAGATTTTAAATGACTTTGATTCTACATAAAATTCATCTAAGATTTCTATTAACTTTTTAAACAAAATTGTTATAGCTAAATATTATTCGAATACATATTGTCTCTATTTCTATATTCTATTTATTGTTTTCTATGAATTAGATAAAACCTAATTATGAATGTCCATTTAAATTAAAAAGTCTAATATAAAATAGGAAAAATCAAAAAAAAATGAGCTACCATCTCGCTTAATGCGTGTCATCCTTACGCAGGGGCCATGCTAATCTTCTCTGTTACGTTCCAATTTGACGGATGACCCCGAAGGGTTCCAATTAATATTAAATTGATTTGTTTATTAACTGGCTTAAAATAGTAATAATTTTTATGGGTTTAATTAGGTATAAAATAATTTGAAGTTTATTATAATAATTTAAATTTGTATATTACCATAACAAAAATATATGAAATGTTAAATATTTGCTAAATTTCATCCCCCTGTGATAGTCTAGATAGCCGTCTTAGTAGATCCATCCTTAAATTTATAAGTCTTAGTGATCTTTGTAACTTTTTATCCACCTTTCATACTCACAGCAGATGATGTACTGACAGAAACACATCCAGGAGGTAATTATTCTGAATTATAAATAAAAAGTACCTTCTTCTTCTTCATCTTATTAAGGAGCGGCACCAACATGGCCTCCTTTTCCACCTAACACGACTGTCTTTCCTTAATTATTTGATGATTATTTAGGCTATTGTCCTTATGGAGTGAATTCAGTGGCAAAATCAAACACACTTTGAGTTTAATATGTTTTGTGATCTCCTGTAGCAATTCCAACCAGATTGAAATCTTAACCAAAACAATTTTTTCTATGTCCTCTTGAACCAACTCCATCATCAATCAATAGTTATATGATAACATCTTCTCCAGTTTTTTATCCATAACTAATATTTTCACCAATTTTGCCATTCCATTCTCCATATCTTTCTATTCTGTCAGAGAGTGATGATCCATCAGTTCCTGTGTGTCCACAGACACCTTTTGGTCCAGTATCTTTGACATGATCAGCACAAGCTTATTCTAATCCTTTGTCATATGTTAATGGATGTAGAGGCTGTTGTTTTTATAAAAATCCGATTAATTCTATTTCATTAATATTAAAAAAGTACCTTGAATGACTTTAATACCTTCATTAGTTTGCAAAGGTATTTCACCAGGCTTATAAAGAACACTTCCTTTAAAAAGTTTCATCAAATTTTATAGTTTTGGAATAGGGAGTGTGGGAGTTTATCTGACTTGATTTAAATAGTCAAAGGCGTCTGAAGTTATTTTATCATCAGGGTCTTTGACTTAAGGTTTGGCAGGAGGAGCATCTGGTTATCTGTTTTATTATTGTTCTGGTTATTATTATGAAACGTTCTGAGAGGGAGCACTGGCATCAAGTCCTGGTTTATCTTCAAATGATCCTGCAAAATCAAAAACGCATTAAGTTTTGTATTGTTTATGTTCTCCATCATATATGCCTACAACTCCAAATTCTGGTTTAAAACAATTTTTTCTGTGTCCTCTAGATGAAACACCATCATCAATAATTAATTGAATGATAACTAAAATAATATTGGATTAGTACCATCTTCACCTGTGGTTTATCCATAACTGATATTTTCGCCAACAGTAACATCCCATTCTCCATATCTTTCTATTCTGTCACTCATGGATGATCCATCAGTACCTGTGTGACCTGTGACTCCTTTTGGTCCTGTATCTTTGACATGATCTCTAGCTGCACATTCCAATCCTTTACTCCAAGTCAAAGGACCAAGTGGCTTCTGATTTTGCAAGAATGAAATGCATTCTAGTATATATCCGAAAAATACCATTGACTACTTTTGGTCCTTCATTTGTTTGGAGTGGGATTTCTCCAGGTTTTTATAAGATATTTTCTTTAAAGAGTTTGAGATGTTCTTGCAATTTAGGGATAGCTAATTTTGGATTCTGCCTTAATTTATTTAGATACTCAAAGGCCTCTTGAGAAATTTTGCTCATAAAAATTAATGTTTTGCCTTTCTAAAAATTATTGAAAAAAGTGATATAGAAATATAAATGATATTAAAATTTTTAAATTAATTTTAAAATGGTGAAGAATGTTGCTTAAGAGAGTGTGAATCAAAAACTTTAATTGGTTGTCAGATCAGGAAAGATCACCATGGGATATAAGCAAACATTGAAGGCAATCAGAAATGGAACAGCCAAATTAGTGTTTATTTCTAACAATTGCCCCACAATTAGAAAGACCCAAATTGAGTATTATGCCATGTTGGCTCAAATCACCATTGTGTTATATTAAGGAAACAACGTTGATTTAGGTACGGGGGGTTTAGAAGGGGACTTTGTTCTTCTTTGATTTAATTTATGGGCATGAGTGATTTAATCTTATTATAGGTACCGCCTGTGGTAAATTACACAGATGTTCAAGCTTAGCCATTATTGATGCAGGTGACTCCGACATCCTTACCCAATAATGATTTAATTTTATTTTAGTACAATATTTTCATAACACAAATTATAGATATCCCAAATTATATAATTATTTCCTATAAACTATGTGAATCACTTTCTATTTCCTCCTCTTGTTTTAATAGCTCCTTGTTTAGTTCTGTTTTCTCTATCATTTTATGATGAGAAATTTAAATTAGAATGGTTTTAAATTGGTCTTGGTCTTGTCCTAAACTTTGAATTCCTTTCATTACTTTATCTATCATTTAATCTTTCTTGACTTCTACTGCTTCTTCTGTAACTCTCCTATTAAATCTCAAGCATCGTACCTTTTAATCTGGTTAATCAGGCTTTCTTTTTAATGCATGACTATCTCCTCTTGTAATCAATGCTACCCTATCTTCTTAGGGTTATTTTTGTTTCTCATTTTAAAACTTGTTAGAATATGAGTAATCCTTATTCGGCCTTGGTTTTTTATTCTTTGAAATGTACAAATTCTTTGCATAGATCATGACATATGAAAAAAGATCAAACTTCCCGTTAGCTTTGACTTCTCCTGGTGCTTGATAGCCTGGCTAATCTAATTCCTCTTAAGTAGGATTGCATCTACAGTATAAAAATTAAGTACGTCAATTTAATTCGAATTGCTGGGATTACAATTGGTATGTTTTTTGTCTCTCCATTCTCCTTCACGTCAATATTCTTTTTCATATTCTCGAATGTTGCGATCGAACTCAATCCCTACGATTTCCTAACCTTTTACCTTAAATCTTGCTCTTATTATTTCAGCAACCAAAATTACATTTGGAATAGCTGATCCTGCCCCATAAAGTCTGACTGATTCATTCTTGTTGTCTCTATCTCTTAAAAATAAAACAGCCTTCACCAAATACTAAGCTATTTGGTCCTGTGAAGACTTAGATTATATCATAATATCAGATTTTTCTCTTTGCTCCATAATTTATTGATAATATCTAATTCCAATATATGAAATAAAATCGATTTATATTTCTATCGATATAACAAAGCACTGACTTACTTTATAATTATTACTTTACTTTTAAGTATTCTACACTGTGCTGAGACATTTTAAGCATAATTTTATGATTTTGTACTAACTCTTATCTACAGATAATTTAATTCTAGTATCTCTAAATAGAGATAGTCGAACTGCAATAGATCATCATTTAGATACTTTAACTGAATCATAAATGTCCACTCATTAATCAGTTTTTGCTAAAGGAAAATTTTGTATTTAATTACTAGGAAGAAGTGAATTTTGGCTCTTAAATTACAAGAGTAATCTTTAAATTAATTATAAATTATAATCTTAAACTCTAATTATAAATAAGAGTATTTTTAAAACCCAAACTCTAATTATCTTGTCTATACGTCTATATCAAATTTGTATACATTGGGTGGTATTAAATTATATTGCTTTTCACTTCTCATTATAATTCTCAAATAACTTAGGATAAGTAGATAAGGTTAAATTCAATGTTCAAAAGAAAATTACAATTTTTAATTATCTGCTTTCTTTAATTTTTAATTATCTTCAAATGTTTTGAAGTACACAAAATTCATACTTTGAAGTAAATTATCATCTAATCTGCCTCGACTGTGATATTATTTCATTTGAATATAAAATATAATTTAACGTTAAATCTGGACAAGCCAATATAAAATTGATAGTGATTCTGAAAGATCCATAATAAAACTTGAAAACTTATTGATATTTAATGGTTTTCTAGAATAACTCGGTAATTTTAATTACTACTTTTTATTGCTCTTACTTTATAATCTAAGTAATTATTGTATTCAATAATTTAGATCTAATTTCTCATTGTTTAAAGTAAGTAAGATAATAATTTTAGATAGACAAAATTAATTTTTAGAGAATTTATTTATATTTATAGCAAATAATCTGAAAATCTATTATAATGGATAAATTTGCCTGAATAGATTACTATGAATCTAATTTATTGGTATAATTTCTACATCTAATGTAAATGATAAAATTTTAATAATTCTAAAATATAATTTAAAACATCTTAATTGGTATTGATTTAACTCTGTATTAAAACTCTATCTAGGTAATTTGTAAATATGAAGTAAGGCAAATTCAAAACTGTTTTATGATTATTTGAATGATTTATTAAAAAACAAATAAAATTAGAGTTTAAACAAACAAAAAAAAGAGACGTTGGAAGTTATTGAGTTTTTATCATTTGAAATTTAATTAAATAAAATTATGTAATAAGAGGATTAGGAAAAGATTAATCTGCTTAGTGAATTAAATCTGCATAAATAATAGGTGGAGGAATACAAGTCTAAATACTTTCAGGCATAAAAGGAAATTGAGAACAAGAACAAAGAAATTGAAGGGTATCATTCTAATTTATATTAACAATAGTTTGAGATAGATGATGTAAATGACCTAGTCTATAAGAGGATCTGATGGGAGATAGTCAGAGGATTTGAGAAGAAATTTGTAAGTTTTGATGTCAGAGAATCAAAGTTTGAAATAGCAGAACCAAGAATTGTAAAATCAATTGCAACAATTTAATCAACAAATGCAATACCAACCTTAACAATAATAATAAATTCAATTGCAACAAGAAATTAATAGATTAAATAATGACAAGATGCTAATTTAAGGGAATTTAGATATATTACAATAACAATTTGATGCTAAAACTAAAGATTTTGATTAATTAAAGGTGAGGTTGTAAGCAATAGATTTTATACAGAACTTACCTCAAGGTTAAGAAGCGAATAAAATATTGGTTATGGGTAAGGAAATCTAGAGGTTGAATTCATAGTTGATATAGAGGGATTAAGAACTTGAGAATCTGAGATCATAATTGCTTGAACAATAGAAGGGTCTGTAAGAAAGGGATAATTTATCTGCTCAATTGAGATCGTATGAAGACAAAGTCAGAGGATTATCAACTGATATTGAAAGTATGTTAATATAAGTAGGTGGTTTGAAATATGATGTACAATTAAAGAATGAATTGGAGAGATGTAAGTAATAGAAGTTAGATCTTGAGAGGGAGTTAGTGTTATGGAAGGACAAGCATACAAAATTAGAGAATGATTCTAAACATCTTTATGAGATAGAAAGAAAGACTGAGGATTTATAAAATAGATTGATAAGAACGAATGAAGAAAATGAGAGATTGGAGTAGGAGAATAGAGGAATATAATTGAAATTGTAAGCATTTGATAGATTGCTGAGAGATAAAGAATAATTGGAAAGGAAAATATAAGATCAAGAATCAACAATATATAATATGGAATAATAATTGAATGAGAAGAGAAGGGAAATGGAGTAGTTGAAAATAAGAAATAGAGATTTAGAATAAGATTTTATTAATTTTAAGGAGAATATATTTAGACCTAATGAAGAGAGATAAAAGAGATTGGAAATAGAGATAGAGAATTGGAGAAATAAATGTTTGGCATTGGAAAGCAACTTTTTTGGGAATAATGAAAGATTGTATGTGGAAAATGAATTGAAGAGATTACATGGAATTGTTATTTAATTATAATAAGAAAATGATGAATTGAAATCAAGACCTAGAAAAAATCAAAATAATTATGGTGATGAATAGAGATTGAAAATATTATTTGCAGAAAGAGAGAAGTTATACATAGAACTTGAAGAGGCAAGGAGAAGAATTGCTTAATTAGAAAGATAACCATAAATGTAATAATAATAACAACCTTTCTAATATTTTGATGTCAGTGATAGTGATAAGGATCAGTAGATTTAGGAACTTAAACAGGGAATTAATTTGTTAATAGATGAAAATAAGTAATTGAAGGCTGAAATAGATAAATAGTATTTATAGATTGAATAATTGGAGATTGATAAGAATTATATTAAAACTAAGTAAATTGCTCCCAAAGAAACTGTTCTTGAGATGCTGGCCAAATAACCTGATTTACATAAAAGTGTTTTGGAATAGTTGGCTAGAAGATTATATGCTGATCTAAAGGCTAAGGATTAAATTATTGAATAGATGAATCAAAATTTATCGGTCAGCTAATAATTATAATATGAGAAGAAGATTCAAGATCTCGAGGGTCAGATTCAAACTCTTATTAATAATTAAAAATAATAGCTATCCATTTCTTAAAATAATTTATTACAATAACCTGAATAGCAATCTTTGAATAATTCAAGACTTTCCAGTCCTAATAAAAAGAAGATATTTGATTAAGTGGATTTTGAGAAAATCATTGAGGAGAACTAGTAATTGAAAAATGAGATTAAGGACTTAAAGTAATAAAGGGATTATGAGTTCATAGAGTTATTAGAGTAGAAAGATAAAGAATTGGAATTAATTAAACTGAAATTTAATCAAATTTCAAATAATGCTAACGATTTCAAAGTTGATGATTTGAAGAAGTTGAGGGATGTATTGGAATAGAAGGCTTATGAGGCTTAAGAATGGAAGGATAAAATGGCAGCACTATAGATGTAAGTAAGAAATAAAGAAAATTAAAATTATAATAGACCATTTAGTTAAAATATTCTAGAATAAGAATACAAGAAATTGAGTTAACTATATGAATTGAAATCATTGGAGGTTGAAGAATTAAGGGCTAGATCAGGAGTTAATGGTTAATTGATAATAAGTGAAAATTTACAAAGCTAAAATTTGGATGTCATTAAACTGAAACGAATTTTGGAGATGAGAACTGCTGAATTAGAAGAGTGGAAAAATAAATGTTTAAAGTTTTAACAATATTAAATCTAATTACAAAATCAGAACTAGGGTAGTAATGGGGTATCTGACATGGAAGAACACATTCGTAAACTCAAACTCACACATGATTATAAAACAAAAGAGGCCGAGGATTGGAGATAAAGATACAACTAATTACTTAAAAATTAGGATCCTAAATCAGGCAAAGCCATAGATGAAATGTAGGCTGAACTAGTTAAGTTAAAAAGAATTCATGATGCTAAGCACTAAGAACTGTAAGATATGTAGCCCAGATTCTAAAGGATGTAATAAGAAAAGGATGTATTAGAAAATGAATTAAGAAGACTCAAATACTCATTGGAATAATAGATTTAGGATAATGAGATGTTGAAGAAGAAACTTGGAATCAGCACAGGAGGTAATATGAATAATTTGTCAAATGATAAAGTTGTAAGAGAGTAGTAATTGAAAATCTAATAGTTGCAGTAATAATTATAATAGTATTAAAATCAAATGAACGATTTCAGTTAAGAACATAACAAATTGAAATAAACACACTAATTAAAATAAGATTAAATCAAATCTATCGCCTTGAATATTGACACAAAAGAATAGTAAATGAGACAATTGTTGGATGAAAACTAGAAATTAAAAAGTGCTTTAGAGTAAAGAACAAAAGATATAGAGGAACTCAAACTTTAATTATCAAAAGCATCATAAATGCTGTAATAGACATCCAGAGTAAATTAGTTATTTAAATTGTTTAGGAATATTAAGAGTATAGAAAATCTACATAATCTGTTGAGAGTTATAAGGCATAATTGGCCATCATGTAGAGTAAGATTTAAGAGTCAGAAAAAAGAGTGTAATAGATATAGGGGGATATGTAAAAGTTGTAAAATGTTCTCAGAGACAAGGCAGCTGAAAATGAAAAGCTCAAAGGTATTTTGAATAATCCTAAATAAAGAAAATTTAAATAAGGTGAATCAGTATTAGAATGAGAAGAATATGGTATTGCAATAGTTGCAGTAAGCCAAGACTACATTGTAAGAGAAATAAAAGGAGAATGAAAAGTTTAAATAGTAGTATTCATAATTGTTATAACAACATTAAAAGTTATAGACTTAATAGGCTGAAACTAAGAGCTAGTTGGACAAACTAAGATCTGTTTTAGGAAATTTTGGAAAATGATATATTAGATATACTTAGAAATATATAAATTATATTGGTTTTTGAATTGAGTGTTATTGCTTCTTCTGTTATAGTTTTGGAGAAGGGTAATATTACGATTGAGTCGATCTTAAAATGAAGATACCAAATATAACATCTAGATTAAGGGGAATTAATAATTGGAATAGTGTAAGTAATTTCTATTTGAGTAATTTGGTTATGTTTTGTCTTACAGAGATTGTTTCTACTGAAAAATATTTAGAAACAAATATTATATTAATTTACATTAAAAGTTATGAAAAATGGCATAATTTTAGAATAATATGAGGATGAAGATGAATATGAAGTAAATAGTTTGGTTTGATTCAGATTCAAGAGGAGAAGTAAAGATAGGAGAGGAAGGAATATTTGAGAAGAATACAGATGATATTTGATGAAACTAATTACGACATAGCCTTATAATAAAATACAGAATCTCAGATAATTCAAGAATATTTGATTGATTTGGATAATGAATTTTATATAGATTATACTCATCAATTGCCTGCACCGAGTAGTTAGATAAAACTGAGACCAATGAATGAATTACAGTTAGCATATATTTATGTTGATGAGTAATTAGAAAGTTAATTTAAATTAGTTACCCTTTTTTAAAGTTGAGGAGATTGTTGATGATTTTATTTTAGGCGATAAGATATCTAATGAAATATTTAATAAATCTCAAAATATTTCAATTGATACTGATGATAACAATAATTTTGAATTCTCTATGCTTAGCATTAGAAGAAGATTAATATGAGATAATCTTTATAATTTGTTATTCAGTGGAAGCCATTTTCAAGATGTTGGCATTGGTTAACATATATAATTATCATAGGGTTTGTATTCTAAGAGAGATTCGTATTTTCGAGACTTTTGGAATGTAATCGATTTTATAATTTTGGTATTTTAATATTTGCCTTACTTTGTGAATATATAATTCAATTTTAATGCATTAAGGACAATAAGAATATTAAGATCTTTGGATGCAGGTTAAAGTATTCCAGCTTTGAAAGTAATATTGACTTCGTTATTTTAATCAGTTTACTAATTGAAGGATGCTTTGATAGTATTGGTGTTTTCATATTCAATATTTGCAATAGTAGCTCTCCTCCTCTTCAGTGGAGGATTGAAGAGAAGATGTGTAAATTTGGAAACAGGAATCCCTAGAAATGATGAAGTGTGTTAAGTATGTTATGGAGAATTCGATTGTGTTAAATAGATAGCTAATCCATTTAATGGTTTAATTAACTTTGATACTTTCGGGTGGTCCTTAATATAAGTGTTTATATGCACTTTACTTGAGAGTTGGTCTCAGATTTTAGATTACACAGTAGCAGCATATAATGAAGCAGTTTATATCTATTTCTTTATGGTAGTAATGGTAGGAGGGTTCTTTTTGGTTAATTTGACTCTGGCCATTATTAAGCTTAATTTTTCAAATAATCAGAAATTGGTAATAACACCAGTGTTTGAGGAGAGTTATGATTATTGGGAATTGAGATTAATGGGTATATATGAGCCAGCTAAATTACAGATACAAGCAGCTTTGAGAAGGAAAAGTGATGCTCAATTTACATTCAGAGAAAGATCATAAAGAACATAAACAAGAGGAAAAATCAGAATTACAAAATATCCTAGTTAAATTTAGAATCTTAGTTTAAAAATACACCCAATTAAATTTGCTAACAATTTCAGCACTCCTTTCACGAAATAAGATAAGAAATTTATGGGAATTTATGGGATGGGTAAGAAATTGTAACCAATCATTGGAGGTGTTACTCCTTCCAAGTAGACAAGAAATAAATTCAATTTCAATTAAGAATAACCAGGATAGTCCATTCTTCAAAGTCCCATAGATCAAAATATTAGTTTCTCTTATAATATATCACCTACTAATAAATTAGGTAATATGCTTTTTAGTCAATCGAATAGATCTCTATTGAATAATTAAACCAAATAATTGTCAAGCAAATCTATTTTAAATAATAATAATAAATCTCCAAATAATCATTCTCGAAATATTTCTCCTTAAAATTAGAGAAATTACAATGAATTAAATAATGGATCTCCAAAATCTCAATTCAGTAAGCAAATAGTTAAAAGAGCAGTAAGACCTTCAATATCTGAATCTGATTAAATTTTAGTAAATGATTTAAGAATGATTGGATAACCCCAATCTAAAAAGACAATTGCAACACCTAAAAACACTGATGAGTAACTCCTAGATTTCTTATCTTAAGCTCAGAATAATAATAATATCCTTACTAATGAAAATTAAAGTAATGGACTATTAACTCCAAACAATTAATTGAGTCTATAGAATCCAACATTCAATAGAGCTAATCTTCAACATGGTACATACGCTCCAAAGACTTCTCATTAAATTTAAATGTTGCAAGATGTTAAACAGCGATCTTTCAATGTTAGGAATAAATAGATGGATTAGGTCAAAAATGATGTATCCATTTTGGATAAGAGTGAAAATTCCATCATTAATTCTATTCCTAGTGAATAGGTTGATCAAGAACTAATGGATTTAGGCATCTTGGAAATAAATAATACCAAAAAACCAAAACTTGAAGTGTAGCAGAATTCATCATCCAAAATGAACTTCATTCGTAGGAAGAAACCTCGGTTTACAAGGAAAACCCTGAAGAAATCCACTTATTTAAGTAAGACTTTTAATTCAGCAAATGATGATAGATTTCAACAATTAAAAATCAAATTATTTAAAACTAAATTTTATAAGGAAGTTCCCTATTTATCTTATACTTCAAACTCAGAATTAGATGTATTAGAAGTTCAACAAATGAAAAAGGTACAGTAGAATCTTAAGAACAACGAAGAAATTAATAGAAAACTCAAGAAATAAGTTAAATATGTATTTTCTAATTAACAAACCCAGCTGATTAACTTAAAATCTACCACCAAACTTCAACCGTCCTCAACTCAAATTAAAAGTGCAAGTGCCAAACGATCCTAAAAATAAGTTAAATTCCAAGATTAGGAAGAGTAACAATAATATAAAAAATTGATTTTACATGATGTATAATTAACTTTCTAGGAGGCTTAATTTTTGATGAGGAAAGAAGTTTAAGCTGTTGACCTAGAGTAATATGGCTAAGTAGAAATATAATATGATCTTAAAGAACAATTGCGATATCTGAATTACGATCAAATTACTATTACTACAAGTACTAATTATTCAGAATATGTAAAATTGATGGTATATCTATTATATTCATTATTTATTAGTCTGAAGCAAGTTCACAATAAGAAATAGTTCAATAATCTTCAATTGAAGATGTGCTTCCTATGAGTGATTATATAGATGATTAGACAATATCATTAATGAATCAAATCATGCTTGCATTAAATTATACTATCAATATTTATGAAATTTGGTTACCAGGAATATCAGGTATATTTAAAGTATTTAGAGTTAAATTACTAAATCTAATTTAGAGCGAATATTTTAATCGATTAATTAACTTGTGTGTTGCTTGCAATACAATTGTATTAGCCTTAGATGGTCTAGTTACTAATGATAAATTGCTATCTGATTTTAATTTGGCATTTACAATCATTTTTATTATTGAACTTGGATTCAAATTAATAGGATTAGGAGTTAAAAGATACGTTTAAGATAAATTTAATCTTTTTGATGCTTTAATTGTGGGTATTAGTTTATATGAGGTAATAATAAATCAAGAGAATGGAGGGAAGTCTGGATTTAGTGCTTTGAGATCTTTACGTATCTTTAGAGCCTTAAGAGTATTAAGAATTTCTAAGTTAATAAGATCTCTTAAATTCATGGGATTTTTATTGAAAGTCTTGGGTAATGCATTTGAGTAAATTCTCTGGATGTTTATCTTAATGCTTTTCTTCTTATATACATTTACTATCCTAGGATTTTCATTATTTTAAGGTGAAATTTCAGATGAAAACTATAGATATACCTTTAATTCATTTATTATTTCATTTGAAACAGTGTTTTAATTATTCACCATTTCAAACTGGAGTGATGTTTTGTATTCATTATTCTTGTCAAATGCTAACAACATTGTTGTATTTTTATACTTAGTTCTATGGATTGCAATTGGTAACTATATTTTTTTGAACTTATTCCTGGCAGTATTATTAGATAATTTTGAGGCAGAGTATAGAAGAGACAAGAACTAAATAGATAATAATATTATCATAGGCAGGGATCAGATCTTTGAATCTGCAATATCTTCTAAACCTTAAGGAAGTAGAAAGTCAAGTAAATCTTCATTATAAGATGATGTGGAAGAATATTAGAAATTGTAAACTTAACGATTTATTTACTTTTCAGAGAGAGGAATTGCAGAATATGCCTTGATGGTATTATCTCAGGAAAGTGCATTTCGAAAAATGTGTTATAGAGCAGTAAAGGATAAAATATTTGATATTTTTATTCTGATTTTAATTCTTATATCAAGTGCTAAACTTATACTGGATACTTACACTTTAGGCAATTCTTATGATGTTGTATCATATTGGTTAGATTTTTCTATGGTTATTTTGTTTGGCTGTGAGGCATTGTTAAAGATTATAGCATTTGGATTTATAGGAGATGATCTCAGTTATTTACGTAATTCTTGGAATGCTCTTGATTTTCTTATATTAATAGGATCAATAGTGGATATCAGTGTTGCAGCTATAGATTTGAGTTACTTAAAGATATTGAGATTATTTAGAACATTGAGACCATTGAGGTTTGTTTCTCATAACAGATCGATGAAAATAATTGTGTCAGCCTTATTGCAATCAGCTGATGGCATTTTGAATGTCGCAATAGTCATAATATTGGTTTGGATGATGTTTGCGATTATTGGAATCAACTTTGCAAAAGGGAAGCTTTATTATTGTGATATGGGTGATAGTGCAATGCATTATGTAACTAAAGCAGAAGTAAGATATCAATTATTAATGTTAGTGTGAAGGAGTGTGGAGAATATACGATAGTAATTTTGAGAACATTTTTTCAGGAATGTTAACATTATTTTGTTTAAGTACATTGTTGGATTGGCCAGATCAATTGTTATATTTTAAGGATGGAACTGAAGATGGTTTAGTAAAGGATAACTCACCTGAGTTCTTTCTATTTTTTTTGGCTTTTATTTTGATAGGATCTATCCTTCTTAACAATTTATTTATCGGAGTTATTTTGGTTAATTTTCATATTGCAGAAGAAAAGGCCAGAGATTCTTCACTTACTTAGGATCAAATACAATGGATTGATACTCAAAAGTTGATCATTGAGGCTAAACCTGATTTGAGTTTGTATTATATGCCAAAGAATAGGATTTAGGCTTTTTTATTCAGAATTGTCAAAGCTAAGAAATTTGACTTGATCATCTCCCTATTCATTATAATAAATGTTGTTGTAACTGGTATGTACATGGATGGTAATATTTATTATAATTATTAGATGGTGATCTTGAGTATCTTTACGCAATTGATTAAATCAACTTTGCCATATCAATTATCTTTTGTTTTGAAGCAATCATCAAGATTCTTACTTTTGGTCCTCTGGCGTATTTTAAAGTCAATTGGAATCAATTTGATTTTGTTATTGTAGTTATTTCCATTATAGATTTTGCCACAAATGAGAGTGGATTATCAATAGGAAAAGGATTTAGAATCTTAAGAGCTGTAAGATTATTAAGATTGGTCAAATAATTTAAGGGTCTTAAGAAGCTAATAGATACAGCTGTATTTTCGATTCCTGCAATCATTAATGCAGCTGCTTTATATTTTTTGATCCACTCCATCTTCTCTGTCTTGGGAGTGTTTTTGTTTTCAGATATCAAATAGGGAAAGATCATTTCTGATACCAACAATTTTTAAGATTTTCATCATTCATTTATTTTACTGTTCCTGTCTTAAACTGGATTAGATTGGAATAGAATCATGTATGATACAATGAATAATGGATCATAATACAATGCTTTATTTTGGGTTGTGTTCATTTTGATTTAGAATTTTGTGATGCTTAATCTATTTATACTCATTGTGTTAGATTAATATGATGTAAATTACTTTCATGAAGATAATCCACTTAATAGATTTGATGAATATTAGAATAAAACACTTGATGTTTGGACTCGTTTCAGTTAAGATGGAACAATAATAAGCCAGAATAAATTGACAGATTTAATACTTGCATTGCCTTAACCGTTGGGTTTAGACATAGTCAAATCCATGCAGAAAGGTGTTGAAGATTGGAAGCATATCAATCCTTAACATACTTAAGATGAAGTTAGCTAACTTAAATTTACTATCCAAGCAGATTTGATTAGAAATGCCTTATTTAAAATTATGGATATGCAACTCAAATGCGATTCATAAGGCAATATACCTTACAATCTAGTTTTATTTGCTGTTATGAAAGAGGCATATTTAGAGAAACTTGAAATCAATCTAACAGAGGAAGGTGGAAGAAAATTGGCAATGAAAGAAATGGAAACTAGATCGGAAATTGAAGAGGAATATGGAATTAGTTTAGATTAAGATGTTAATCCTTTGGTTTCTTATTTGTATGCTTAAACATGTTTTAGAGCAATGTAAAGATTCGTTGAGATTTCTAAAAACAAAATATTGGATGATGGTGTTTCATTCTTAGCTAAGACTGACTCGTCCATTGATTTTGAAGAATATTTAGACAATGATTTATCAAGAGATGATTATGAAAAACCAGACTATGAAGAAGTGTATTTTGTTGAAATTCCTATGAATAATAAGATATATAATGGGGAACAATACAAGGTGTAAATTGCACAAGAATAATCCAGTTAGGACCAAGAGTCTAATGAGTAACCAATAGATGATGAGAATAATGTGGAAGAATTGGAAGAGTATAAATTATAAATTGTTGATTTTAATAAATATTTAGGAGATTAAGATTGAAATTTATTAATTATACATTATGGGACTATATATTAGACTATAAATAAATCTTTAATCTTCTATAAATGCATTAAAAAGCATAAATATATTCAAACGGAAATCATTCTAAATAAAACTTTAAATAAAAGGTAAATTAAAGTTTTGGGATTGAATAACATACTGTTAAGGATGTATCAATTCATTCTTTCAGGAAATGGAGTTAAATTTATACTGCTTATTATTATTTTATATAAATTCAGAGGAACTCAAATATCCCATTTATTCTTTAAATTAAATATCTTAAGTATGTTTAGAAAAGTGTTTGGAAATTCTATGAGACATAATCCAACTCGTTTAAGATACTTAAGGGAGTATGTGTGTTTAAGAGAGGCTGCTAATCCATCTGCTTAATAAGCTTAGATTGCCCAAGTCTAATAAGTGGCAAATAAGTATGGATTGTCAACTTCTCAATTAACAACACTCTCCAGTATCTATCAACTGAGTTAATTGCTTCGACCTTAAAATTTCCCAAACCCCAATGATTATAAGGTTTACTAATTTATATTTATCAATATAGGTTCACGTTGAGAAATTAGAGTTATTATTCCGACAAAATCAATCAAATAACGAAACCTTAGAGCAATTCGCCCAAAGTCTATAATACAGAATTCCAGAAATCAACAAACTTACAAATGAAGCTAGAAAATAAGCAGCTCAAGATTTGTTTAGCATTTATTTGGAAGGAATTCACTATGATAATTTAGTCTCACCGTAGAGATTATATAATATTTTAGAGGCTATGTCTAACAATTAGAATCAATATTCAGATAAAGAACTACTGCAGTCATAAATAAAATAAAAGCTGAAGTCAAAGATCCATAATTGGCAGCTTAATTAGCATAATCACTTGAATCAATCTTCCAAAACTACTAATTTAATCAAGGAAGGTACTTTATCATTTAATAAATAGATATGTGGGATTGATCAAATCATTCATTGAATCAAATCAAGAAACCGAAGTTTAGGTTAGTCCAAAATTAGATTAATAAGCCTAAGAGAAATAACTCTTTATTCAAACTGTTGATAGAGCAACAAAACAATTTTCATCAGAGGATCAAGAATATGCTAGAAATGTTGATGGACACGACTTCAAATTGTTCTTACAAGAATTATATGAAAAGGAATATCAATCAGGATTTGCTTAGAACAGATTTAATGAAAAGGGATAAAAATTAGTCTATGAATCATAAGCATAAGAACATCATGTTTTAAGATATTAAATATTGGCAGGAGTCTTTGCTGGTTATTTCCTCTACTTGTTTTACCGAGGTGATGCTTACTATTCAACAATATTGACAGTACCAACTGTTGCTGCTGCTTTCTTTTATTTAGCAAAATAAGGACAAGTATCTATTGTTGCATAATAATCTTAGGCAAAAAGAGCAATCCCTTTCATTAGACAAGTACTCAAAAATAATGACAATACTTATGAAGTGGTTTTTGAATAAAATCGTATCATTAGCAGAATTGAGAATGTTTAAGCTGCACAAATTAAGTATATAGTTTATATAACCTAAGATTGGCTTAAGACACTGCCTTCTCAAATACTTTGGTATTAGGAAATCCCACCGATTTTGGATATCATGTCAAAGTAGCCGATAATTCATTTATTGCTCCATACCTCTATAGTGGTAATGGTTTAGATTTTAGAGCATTCATAAACATTTGATTCCATATAAGAATAAAAAATAAAACAAAATTTTCATCTATTTTATAATCTATTTCAATTCATATTGTTGCATTGAACTTGACTTTCTAAAGAATTCTATTAAGCTTTATATTGCCAAACCATTAACAATAATTTGTTTGAGATTATATTATTTATAGATGTCAATTAAATCATTGTTTTTATGTTTCTGGTAACTCTGTTTCCTTTGCATCAAAACTTTCATTATATGGAGCAGTAGCATCAACAATTTTCTTTCTCCAAATTAAGTACTTTAATTTGTATCCCCACTTCTTTATTAAATAGTAGAGAAGGACAGCCAACCAAATACCCACCACGATTAACACATATATTGTAAGAGTGTAATGAGCATATGTAGTATAATTTCCCTCTAACTAATAAAATTAAATATCTATTATACTTCTGTTGTTGTAAAAGTGAATGAATGAGATACGTTGCATAAGGTGTATTGGTAATTTAGATTATTTTCCTTATCCTTCTTTGCACAATTCGTGGAATTAATCTTTACATAAAACTATCTGACTCCAACATCACTATATTTACATTCAATTTTAGGCATATTCATAATTATGTTAATCAATTAGAATTCATATTTACTAATTGCTGCAAAGATCCTTTGATTAGTAAACTCTTCTCCCTCAAATTCAAATTCCTTTACTGTTACTAAATCAGGTTAATAGAATGATGTGTGAGATATTAAATTTTAATTTAAGAAACCTTTACTCAATTATTTTAATAAATACCTTAATAAATTGAATGATAGATAATCTTATGACCATCATCTCCAATCAAAACAGCATAGTATTAGAAGACATTTACATCATTAATAGTCATTTCATCAAAAAAATAGTTGTTGATATAATAATCGTAAGTCACTTAATTAACGAAGACCTCTATTGCAAAATCTTGTTTATTGATTGTTTTGGCCACTATAAAAAATGTATTATCATAAAAATCAAAACTTTAACCATTTGAAATTGTAATCGTGAATTTGTACACCAATTCCATCATATTTTTAATCCAATAAAATTTTAATCCTCTCTCCAAATCTAATACGTATAATCCATCCTCTCCATTACTATTCACATCAACTATTTAACTATCAACTCCTAAATACTAGGCTGAAATATCCTTCATGAATACTAAAGTTCCATTATTTATTTTATATATATCTATTCCTTCATGTCCACATGCCACAAATATCAATTAATGTTTCTCATTATAATGAACATTGTAGATTTTATCTCTTTGCTTAATCTCCTCTTCTACCTTAAAATCTATGTCAAGCTTCGAATCACTCTTGAAACTCAAACCTCCGTTTGTTGTGAATATAAATATTTTATTAGATTCTCTGTCTCCAACTAAATAAGGATGATAATCAGTGTTCTCCTCGTCATAGTTGAGTAAATTGGCAAATGAATGCCTTATAGGGTCAAGCTGTAGTTTGAATAAACCCTAATTTAAGTCCACTTGTATAATTTAAAAATCGTTTCTGACAACATAGGCCTTCTTAAATTTTTCAGCCAAAGCTACATCAGTACAGTATATATCTCGTGTTAAACCACTTTTATCAAGCCACAACTTCAACTTCATGCTTATCTCAATGTTCCTCTATATTGAATAACAACCGTCCTCCTCCAAGAGATCTTCTTCTACCTTCTAAAAATCTCCCAAATTAATGCTTTAGTTGCTAATCTCTCCTTTAACCCTTTAATGCAAGTCTATGGCAAAGACTCCTGGATAACTACATTAATGTGGATCAAATATATTACGCTCCATAAGGAATTTGAATAATCTCAGACGCTTATCTATAAAAATCATTGGACTAAAATGTCTCATCTAAAACTGTCACGGTTGGGTTAGTGATTCTATTACTCTCAACCTGGTTTAAAAGAAGTAATATTAAAACAATGAACATAATTAAATTAATAATATATTTAAATAACACTAATAAGGTTTCTATATTTTTAATTGCCAAAATTGATATTAAAATAATTTGAGTTGAAAAAATAATATATTCATTTGTATTTTTGAAAACAATATTAAGAATTGATATCTTAAATATTATCAAATATAAAATATAAAAACAATCATTATTGTACTGATTAATGAACCAAAGGTTTCATACCAAATTGGGAAGAATATATCTGATGGTAACTAAGGTATGAAAGGTGGATCTTATGGAACAGAATTTTCGATATCATCATGAGGGAGGTTGATAAATCTAACTTTTAAATTAAATCTATAGATTTTTGTATCTGCAGGTATGTTTGTCTTTAGAATTGCATTTGAATAAACAATTTTAAATGACGAGATGTAATTTTATCTACCTTCTTTCATTCCAAATTCATCTGTAAAGATTAGTACATGCTATGTAAAATATATATAATCTGTTTAAGGCACTTCTGTTGTGGTATTGACAAAGTCTAAACTACTAGTTCCAAATAAAGGAGTTCTTGCAAGTCCTAACAGAGTACTGTAAGGGAAGCTGTTAAATATTTACAATCCAGACCAAGAAAATGTAGAGATAGTAGTTTAATTAAGGGAATATGAGCATGAAAATTATAAGTTTTAACCAAACCTAAGAGGTTCATAATTAAGGGGGTTCTGATCATCAGACAAGGTGCAAGTTGAATCTGAGGTAGATGCTTTGCCTCTATAAATTTTGTATCCAAAAGGATTTGTTTATAAATTGACATGTCCTTGAACATACTATCCATAGTCATATCCAGCCTTTCCTTAAAAATTAGAGTTAGTGGCTATCAAAGATAAGTTGTATATTTACATGCATTAGCATAGACCACTTCACTAACATAATTGTATAAGGTTTGATCGCTTGAAAAGTACGCGAATGTGTTAGATGTAAAACTTGGTGTAGTTGTTACAGCAGAGGTTCCCATAAATACTGATTAACCTATCAAACATCCACCAGGCTTAGTTGCTGATAATGTAAAGACTGTTGATGATTTCGAGTAAAACTATGTCGATGCACTAGTAGATGTTATGGTTTGTAAATTGGTTTAACAAGCAAGCATTAAGCAACTTTATTTTTGAATCTATTTATAATTTATGAATCTCTTTGTTTGTTTGCATATTCCATTCGAATCTCTATAAACGAGTATATTAGATTTATCATTCGTTTAATAAATTGCAACTTAAAGGGCATCAGCTTTTGAGACTTTAGTTTCAGGTATAATATTAACTTTAAAATAGTCTTACAAATATGTCGGATTATTGTAGGCTTATGGCATAGTGACACCGGATGTTGAAAGACTGCTTTTCTCATAAATAAAGCATATTTAATTGCCTTGTTCTTCAACTTAGATCCCTGAATAATAATTTTGAATATTACATTAGTCGACATTTTATCTTGATAAAATATATTTTTTAATGCATGTCCTTTTTACAGATCCTAATAGACAATCACTTGGAAGTGTGGACGAAGTATTACTAATGTCTGGATCACAACAACATCTATCATCAACCTCTCTGACTTTCAAATTGCAAAAACAATATTCATCATTTTATATGTTAAATGTGCTATTATCATTTGTTTATTAGACATTAGTGAAGCTTTCCAAAACTATTTCCCCATTAACGATTATATTAAGGAAAACAAAAAATAAAATAAAATTAATCATATTAATGAAAAATAAAATATTATTAGAACATATTTTAAATTATTCAAGGCTTCTCAAATTATAATAAAACAGTTATATATAATCTCTTCTTTGTTTGGGGTGATTAAATGATTTCATATTTTAGATTAGTCTTTGTTTTTCTTTTTTATGCTGATAAATTTCTCAAAAATCAAGGTCCAATCATTCACTCTCTCGCCCTTATCAATCTTACTTCTATTAAAAACTCTTATAATATAGTTCTACTCAACCTTGTTCCTTCATCAATAAGCTTTAATTTCAATAAAAGTCATATATCCTATCAGTGATTCTTTGCAACTTAAATAATTATTGTATTTATTTTATTCCTGTATAAATTATACTTTATTTAAAAGCCACAAAACTAGTTGCTAAAGTTATAACTTCTCTATTATAACTATAGATAAAATTGTATCCCCTAGTATAGTAATAATGTAAACATTAATAAGTTCAATATTATGAAAAAGAAATAAGAATTGCAAAACAGAGATATAAATTTTTGAATAAAATGAAATAAGATAAAAAAAAATAGCAAACAAAGGAGAAAATATTAAAGAGGAAATAATCAAAATTAAACAGAATAAAATTTAGAAAAAGATTATCAGAATAAATTTTAATGCAATTGTGTAAGAACCTTTAGAATAAGAACTTGGCTACATTGAATAATGATAAACATAACAGAATATTTAGTGACACAATTAACAATGGGCTAAAAAGTAAAGATAAAAGACAAAGGAGATAAAAGAATTCACAATCGAAATTACTTAATTTATATCGTGAAAGTAAGCAGAAAATAAGATTAAGCAAACAAAATTAAAATTAAAATAATGAATCAGAAACTAAGGGAAGTTATTACATGAAGATAGCAATAAAGTTCTTAATTTTTACTATTTTTGATATCAAAATTTTATTATTTGTTATTTAACGAATATTTTTAATGAACACTATGAAAAAAATGTCAGAAAGCAGGCATTTCTCGTCTTAATAATAAGGTATAATTCAATTATATAAAGAAGAAAGTAGTCCATTAATGAATTAATCCACAAATTAATCAACTAAAAAAAGAAACAAAAACAAAGAAAATATAAATTTGTTTAATGAAGTTAATTCCTTACTCTAGTATTACTAAAATTCTAATATCCTCAAAAGTATTTCAATATATATGTAATAAGAAAAAACATCATTGCCAACTTCGATGGTTTCTCCTAAGAAAATGATGGATGATATATTTTTGAAGCAAGTACTCTAAACAAGAAAAACTAATAGCAGAAATAAAGTCAGTGTTTCATAAAACGTAGGATAAAAAGTTTTAAGCTTATCACCGATAGAATCAAAATAAAAATCATTTACTAAAGGTAACTAATTTCGTTGTGCATATCACGCCAATAAGAAAGTATAAAAATTCTGTTAAAATAGGCAAAATTTTTTGAATATAATCGTAGCATTGGAGCTATATTTTATTGTTCTGAGTGCTCTGTTGGAAAACTAATTAAAGGAAATATTCTCTTTCCTGTTGAAAGCTATCAAGTTAAACAGGTATCAAATAAAAAACGAGAAAATCAGTCTGTTAGTAGAGCTAATTTTTGGTCTGTGGACGAAAATTCACTCTTATCTAATTCTCCCTTTTTATTAGAGTCTACTGATACATTCACTAGTATAACTGATGAGACAGAAGACAAAGCTAAGGAATTAAAGGACTTTTAGAAATCCTTATCATCCTTATAATAAGAATGCTAATCAATCATTGAAAATTCTAAAGGAAATACTTACTAGACCCAATTCAATTCATTAAATACAGAGTTACAATAATTACTATATATGATAAATATTCAGTCAATGAAATTGTTGTAACAATTGCAATCTTAAAATCATTTATAATAAGTCTATGAAGTACAAAATGAGCTAAACTCGATTTTATCTGATATTTAATCAAATGAATCTAATATACTCAATAATATGTCAATTAAGCCATTTAAATAAATAATGAATGTATTGTATTTTCTTATTGTAGAAATATAAGGAAAAATTGAAAGGACATACCTAAACTATTAATAATTGCTCAAGCAGTCAATAAATCTTTGAATTGGATGATAGATTACAGAAATTGAATAAAATTAAAAAAATGCTCAAAACCAATTTTAAAATAGAAACAGATGAATAGGAATTGTTAAGTACTAAAAGAAAACTTAGCAGTAATGTTTATATTTCTTTCGAAAATAAAGAAATGTTCCTAGCGGCAGCAGCTGCAAATAAAGCCAATAGTGTTCATGCCAAGGACGAACCTGATTTAGTTCAAATTGATGATAAATGTCATCTACTTGAATCTCCTAACTTTATTCAGAATTGAATTAAAATATAGTTTTTGTTTGATTTATTTTATTAAACTCAATTTTTATTTTATTTAATTATAAAATATGTATTGGAATATTCTTTATAAATAATCTCAAATTAATTTAAAGCATATAAACCATTAGATTTATTTGAACCAAAAACCAAGACAATTCTATTATTAAATATTATCGATGTGGAATCAAATTTTTGTAAAATAATTTAATGGAATTAAGTATCAATTAGCTTTAAAGACTTCAAAAACTCTATCAAAAGATGTAAAATTCTACAAGTTGCTAATTAGAGTAGATGATTGAAAATTGTTAACAAATTATTATTAAGATTACCAAAAATTTATCATCCCTAATATACTTGTAGCTTTCGGCCCATAGAATTTGGTAGTTATTTTTAATCAATAAGATGTTAGGATATATTGCTTCATTAAATAAGTGCAAGATTAAGCATGAAGTTTAAGTTTAAACTCATTTTATTAAGTCATTATAAAAATTTGACAAAAAAAAACTTATATCCTTTAAATCAGGGAGATAATTAAAAAAAATTCATTATAGTTTAAATCACAGATGCATATAACCTAAATTGCGAAATTTGGAAGAATTTAAACTTTTAAAAGTAAAAAATAAATATTGACTTTAAGAAGTGTAATATAACATTTTGAGGTAAAATGTAAAATTTCATATTTGGAGAATGCTAAATTGATAAGTTAATGATATTTTGAAAGTATTGACCAACATATGTAGTATTAAGTAAGATTTTAATAAACTTTTTATTAATTAAATTATGATGGTTTGAAATAACTGAATAAAAGAAAAAACTGAATTCATATTAATAACTCTTTCCTTCTAATTTTTCAAAAAATTAATTAAATGTCAATATCATCATCAAATTCGCATACTCCAATACCATAAAGAAAACCATGGACCACCTAGGAGGATGAACTGTTGACTGAACTTAGGAAAAACAACAATTTAGATTGGATTGAGGTGGCAAGAAGAATTGATGGAAGAAATCCATCACAATGTGCTTAGAGATGGAAAAGAATCAAAGGGTTCAAGCTGAGAAAGCAATGGACTGAAGAAGAAAATCAAAAACTTATCGACTTAGTTTCTAAATTTGGTTATCATTGGAGTAAAATTAGTTCTTTCCTTCCATAAAGAACTGGAAAGTAGATTAGAGAACATTATCTTAACTAACTACATCCAGATATTAATAATGAACCATGGACTAAGGAAGAAGATGAAATAGTAGTAGAATTTTACAAAAAAGTTGGTGGTAAATGGAGTCAGATTAGCAAACATTTGAATAAAAGATCAGAAAATAGCATCAAAAATCGATTCTACTCCTACTTGAGAAACAAATATCTTAATATCAAAAACCCATATTACATTGTACCAGAAAAAAAATAAAAATTAAACGAATTCCATGATTCCCAACAAAAATTAGAAAAATAAATGAATAATCAACTGATATAAGAAGCTTAATTTTAACCCAATTATCAACAGATTCCTAAAGAATAAAATATGCAATTATTTATGCCATATTATCCAAATTAGTTCGTCTAATATTCTATGGCTTATCCTTGCGCTATGTTCGTGCCAATCTATGTGTATTAATAGCAAGAATCCTAAGTAAATTAGGTCATGCGATTTTGATTATTAATTTTACATTATCGAGTTTATTAAAAACAATATAAACAATCTTTGATAATATTTATTGTATTCAATAATAAACTAATCTATAAGCCAATATCTTAAGGTAGTAACCCTTAAAATTGTATTTCAACAAATAAACAATATATTGAAGAACTTTTTTTTTTTGTTTAGCAATGCGTTTTATCACAATATTTTTTATGATATTTATATAAATTTAAGTAAAAATAGAAACAAAATATTTATTAAACAGAGATTCATTAAATTAATTTTGATTCTCCTTTTTTCACGAATCTATTAATAATAGGCCTCTATTTAATGAATTCGACCAATATTGTTAAAGCTGATATATTGTATTTACAATTGTTTTTCTCAATAAAATAAACTAAATTTTAAATGGAAGACTATAAAATTTGAGTAGATATCCTTTCATAATTCCAATAGGAATACTCTTCAGCCCTAGAATCTCTACTTATACTGTTGTAGTTTGAATATAACATATCGCATTTTATTCATTAAGAATTTTTTAAAGCACTTTTTCCCATCAAGGATATATAATATTGATATTTTTTGTCTTTTCTTTTTGATGGCATTGCCAAATAATTTTAATAATAATATAGGAATCATGGAGAAAGAATTGAAAGTTCATATTAATTTAAAATATCAAAATAGGCCTTTATTAATGAATAATTAATTAATATTATTTTTAATATATATTTAACAATATCACTGTCATATAAAAAAATAACTTATTTTTTATTTATTCACTATTTTATTTTAACTTGAATTAGAAATAAGTTTCGATATCCTATCATCTGTAATTTTTATTATGAACCCTATTAACCTCATTATTATTAAGATCTTTTTGAAATATAATTTGAAGAATTCATGGCTATAAGATGTATCGATTTTAAATAATATACTTATTAAAATGGGTGATTTAAAAATATCAACTCTTAACCTCACTAAAAGGTACAGCAACTCTTTTTAACTGGTTCTGATGGTGCATAGTCATCGGGTCTTCAGAGGGTTTTTCATAATGCTGTTATTGTTTCATATGATTTTGTTGCTTGTGCCATGGATTGAGATCAAAATACCGGCATGGCCAATATTAAAAATAATATTTGCAATAGGTGCATCTTTGTGGCCATTTCCAACCTTTGACATGTTGTCTGAAGAAAACTTATACTTGAGACAAATATTAATGAAAACATTAGAGATTTCAGTGATTATGTTATACGCTATAGATTTATTGCCAAAAATTTTTATTTGGAGATAAAATGCGCTTTGGAAATTTGTCAATATTGTCATTTTATCATAAATGATGTTTTTATTGCCTGTGTCAATAATTGCATATGATAAAGTTGCATTGCCAAGTGACACCATGAAATTACGTATATTTTCTATTAGTTTTTGTTTTGTGATTGTGTGTGAAATTCTTAGTATAAGAGAATAAAAATCATTGAGATTCTTACAAATAACACAAAGGTAATAAGAGAAGCAAAGATAAATAAAATAAAAAATCCAGGAATTTAGTTGGTGCGAGATAGTGAAACATGATTCTCCAGCTGATTGTTGGGTCGTCATTAAAGATAAAATCTATGATGTTACTTAATTTTTATAGTATCACCCAGGGTAACTAAATTTCTAAATCATTTAGTGGTAATATGATTCTTGATGGAGCAGGTGGAGACTGTACTGCCCTTTGGTATTCTTATCATCCTAGTTAATTGACAAAACAAGAGCCCCCTTAACAGTATATGATTGGGAAGGTCAGAGATTATTAGTAATATTATTCATACGACGATGATTTCTATCAAAACATAAAGGAAGAAGTGGAGCAAAAGATTCCAAGATAAAACTGGCAAAACCATTGGGTTCTTTTTGTAAAAGGATTCCTCTGTTTGACTGGATATTTCGCATGTTTGTATTATTACGTAAACTATTGCACTTTATTGTCTGCAATATTATTAGGATTCTTTGCTGCATAAGTATTATAGTAAATCAATAATTAGGCTGATGTTAATATAATGCATGATGGAAATCATTATGCCTTTTCATCCAATAAAACATTATCATTTTTGGCTGGTTATGTTTTAGATCTTACCTTTTCTACAAGTGTGGTGTATAGAAGATCTCACAATTTTGGACATCATAGTTGTGTCAACCACTTAGAATTGGATAGGGCATTTGATACTACATTCCCATATATAAGATTGCATCCTCTTCAACAAAGATTCTGGTATCATAAATATTAGCATTTGTACATTTGGATTATTTATACATTTGTCAATTTTACTGATGTATTTGGAACCTTTGATGAAATGCAATGGTTCAGCAATTATCCTTGCAGAAGAGGGTATGTATCTAAATTGTAAGTCTTCTTGTAAATAATCGTCAAACTCTTATGGATTTCAATTACATTAATTTATCCCTCCATGAAATTCTCTTATAAGGTTGCCTTCGGAATGTGGTTTGTGTACAATGCAGTTCACAGTTATAATTACGCTTTGTACTTTTCAGTCAATCATTGGACTCTGGAGGCTGGTGTGGTGGATAACCAAAACATCAATTAAACAAATTGGGGTAAATTGTAAATCTAAAATTCTTCTAATTTTGCTCTTGATTCTTTTATTTGGACTCACCTATCTGGCGGACTTAATTATTAAGTAAGGCTAAATAGTAATTACTTAGATTGAGCATCACCTATTTCCATAGTTTGCACACACTAGACTCAAGGAAATAAAGAGCACTATTTAAGTGAAAGCTAAATAAGCCAAGATAAAGTAAGAAAATAGATAAATAATTCTAGATATTTTGAGTTCCCATCATTTTTAGATGCCTTAATTAGTCACTATAAATTGTTAAAAATTTTAGGATCATAAGATAAAATTTGAAATAATTTAATAATTAATTAATTAATAATTAGAAATGAAATTCATCATCGTTTTTTGTTTGATCTCTATAGGTTAAATGAATGATTCTTATATTAATGAAAATATTTAGCATTAATTTTAACTCTTTATAGAAAATGAAATAAACATAAAAAGTCTACTAAAATCGTTTTAAGACGAGTTTTTAGAAGTAAACATGAAAAAGCTCAATTATTAACCAAAGCAAATGTTCATTAACAACATTTTGAGTACCCAAAAGCATACACCATAGGTTTGTTTCCAAGAATTGATATCATTAAACTCACAATCTTAACAAAATATTTTAGACTAAGACCAATTGCTTTAATAAATGGAAAGAACTGTGTTATCTTGCTACTAATTATAAAAATGTAAGATTTTAAGTTAGATGACTAGATTGGGATTAGGTTTAGACTTGTTTCATATAAATGAATGCTTTATAGGGAAATATTGGCAAATTGGAAAAAATAAATAAACATTCATCAAATAGTTACATGGTATTGCGATAATTGGTTGAGAATGTCTTAGTAAAATGTCAGAGCAGCAATAATGATACAATATTGAACAAGAAATGTCAGAATAGTTTATTGATTATTGGAGGGTTGAAGGAGAATGTGGGCAACTTTGGAGAGATTTATAATGGTTTTCTTTCTAATTGTTGGATATGAAATATTATAAATTTAATTATTAATGTCAAGAACAAATGATGAGGATTATGATTACTTATTCAAAATAGTTTTGATAGGTGAGTATCATGAATAAAGGTTTTAGGGGATTCTGGAGTTGGAAAAACAAACATATTAAAGAGATTCATTAATAATGAATTTTCACTTGAGTCGAAACCAACTATTGGAGTTGAATTCGCAACAAAGACATTTCAGCAATAAGGAAAATCTGTGAAATGCTAAATTTGGGATACTGCAGGATAGGAGAGGTAAGGTTTGTTATGAAATGATATTTTAGGTTTAGAGCAATTACAAATGCATATTATAGAGGAGCTGTGGGAGCATTTATATGTTATGATGTCACCAGAGAAATCACATTCTAAAACACAGAAAAATGGTTATCAGAGTTAAAGGAACATGCCGATGGGAACATTGTGATTATAATGATTGGAAATAAAATAGATGCAGTTGATTAAAGGGTAGGGGTACATCTTAATAAAGGTTGTAAGGACAGAAGAGGCCTTAGAATATTGCCAATCGCACTAAATAGGATTCATCGAAACTTCAGCATTGGATGGGACAAACATTGATAATGCTTTCAACAATATTGTAGCAAGTACTACATTCTTATGATATAAATAGATATTTTTAATACAATCGGTTTTAAAAGCATTAAGAAGGTACCTTAAATGGCAACAGAACAAGTACTTTTGGAAAAACCAAAGGATTTGCAGTCAAAATCGAAAAAGAGTAGCGAAGGATGTTGTTGAGTATATTTCATTGTATGTTCTTGATTATTTATTATAAATGCTCCCACTATTTTATTTACTTTTAAGAAACTTAAAATGTTAATTGAAATTGATTATTATTTAATAGTTTTTCAATCAAGGTCTTTCTGAGTTTGATGTGAGGAACCATTTAGAAAATACACAATTAATTATACAACAAAATTATATTAATAAATTGCTTAATTATGTATTCAATTAAAACAGAACCTCAACCAATCGCAATCGTTAGTCTACAAATGAATGATACAGATGAAGAAATAAGAGTTTACGAAGGGGAAAACGTAGAACACATTGTTAGACTATTTTGTTAACAGCATCAATTGGGACAAGATTGTGTTCTGTATTTAGTTGATCAAATAAATGAATAATTATAAAGAGAACCTTCTCCTAGATTTGGGGATAGTTTTGGAGACAAAAACATTTCCCATCAACTTCTCTACCCCAGTCATAGTTAATAAAGTGACTTTGGTATTACAACCTAAGCTAGTAGTGTTGATGAAAATTAGAACTCAGCTTAAAAAAGTTATGAAAAATGGTAATAAATCATAAATTAAAAAACAGATCTGAGATAACTCAGTACTGTAACTTCGAATACAGTATTATGGAATGTTCCCAGTTCAGCCAGATGTAATCAATTTTAAATTTATTATAGCTTTCAACGATAATAAAAAAGTGACAACTAATGAAAGACTTTATCGAGATGGCTTGGATAGGTAAAAAACAAAACTGGAAAAGGCCGAATAATATAAACTCTAGAAGTCCATATTGGAACAAGAAGAAGCTACCTTCTAGCCTTTAATATCTCCTCGATCAAGATAAATGGCAGAGTAAAAGAAATTAAGTAGACCTGATTGTTCTATTAATAATATTGGAAGTCAATTATATTAAAAGGGTTTAGATATGAATTCAAAGAAGGAAATACATCGAATGTAAATGTAAGAATAGGAAAGAAAATAATCTCCTTTTTAACCTAGAATCACGGACACAAGTAGAAATCATTCTCAAAATAGATCAAATACTCCAATTCATGAAAAACTCTATTGTTAAGCTAAAGAAGATAAGAAAAAGAAGCAAGACTTTTAAAATAGAGAGTTCTCTAAAATTCATCCATTTCATCCTAATTCCTCAAAAAGCCAAATTAAACAATCTGCTATTTTACAAAAGAAATTAGTTGATAAATTAGTCAAAGAACAAGAAGAAAAATAAAAAAGAATAGAGAAAAAAAAGTAACCCTATGTATTCTATTTATTAGACAAGAGTTATAAATTCAAACTTAAAATCATGTCACTTTCAAACCAACCATCAATAAGGATGCTACTTATAAAAAAGTTAGTGAAAAGAAAGAATATGAGGATATCAGGATTGCTATAGATTTATAGAAAATGCAATCGCGCTTATATAGCAAGAATTCTTTTAGTCAATCTGAGACGAGAATCTCATCATAATAAAGCTCTCAATCCTTGTTTGATTTGAACATTCAGAGAATTTTCAACCATTTAGACAGTGATAAGGATGGATATATTAACAAAGATAATCTGGATTTGGATGGATTGGATTCTAAGACCTCGAAGATTATTAAAGTGGTTCTAAATTAAATTGAAGAGGACTCGTATACGGAGATTAATTTAAAAGGGTTCAAAAAGCTTTGTGAGATGCATCATTTGCAAGAATAATTAAATAATTTATGAATAATTTTGGATTTTATTTATATATATATATATCTATAAAAATTGTTATTTTAGTCAAATTCATCTCTATTAATAATTTAATTATGCTCTTATTTACAAATAGAAGATTATGGAGATTCGCTACTCAGAAGTATTCATGATACTTAATCAAGAATTTATAAGGATTCCACTAAATTATCTGAGGAGGAAATATCGTAAATACTTTTTAAAGATGAAGAGCCTACTACAAACAATGTTAAATCGAATCCAGATAATCAAGTTACTATGGACACTTTGTATGAGAAATCCAACATCAATGAACTATTGGATATCATTCAAAGAAAGGCCCAATAAGAAATCACTCCCAAAGAAGAACCGAAACCACCTACGAGATAAGATTTGCCATTAAAATATGGATTACCTATAAAAAATGTGGGTTTGGATCTCACAGTTGAGAAAGTGGAGTAATGAATTTGTGTCAATATTAATTTGCAGACCTCCCAAGACAGTGACAATGAAGATGTTTGAAATTCTTAAATTAAATGAGCATACCTCCTATTAAGAGTATGAAAATGCAATTTAACAATTTAAAGAAGGCTTGTATGGGAATGCAGTCAGACCCTTTTATGAGGTGAGAAACGAGATGAAAGAAACATTAAAAGAAGATGCTATTCCCTATGCATTACTGAATAACAATAAATACATGGAAGAAATTAGAGAGAATAGAGCACTCAATATCTCAATCCCTGGCACAATCGAAAACGAACATGCTCACAGATTCTTGAAGCTTAGACCTGTTGAAGAATTCAGACATACTCCATTAATCCCAATCTCTGATAGACAAATGAGGGAATACCAAGAAAAGGTTGAAGCATATCACAGGAAAGGAGTGTATTTGGAAGTTTCAAGAGAATAACTTTATTTTGCTTCATTCGTTGCAGGAATTTTGTATATTATGTTTAGAATGTTTCAATGGGTTCTAAAGAAAGAGGAAGAATCAGGTTTGCAATTTTAGAGACTCAAATTAAGGAGAATGGGAATGGCTTATGAGGTTGTTTGATATATAAATTATAATTAGTAATTTCTTAATGTATAAAATAACACCTCCTTCTCAACAAACCTAAAAAGGTCCAAAATTGCGTTAAAGTCCTGTAAGTCAATTGTAAAATAATGAAACTGTTACTGAAGAAGTCTTGCAGAGCTCAACTGAACAATATCGAGAATAATTGGAAGAGATGCTTGATCTGAAACCAAGCATAAGGGATTTCAAGTCAAACAACAAAAACAACAAACCTGATTTGTGGAATACTATATAATAAATCGAAAAGAGAATGCAAGAACAGGAGCAGAATTTGTAAAGAGTCAACAGCGAATAATCAGAAGAAATTAATAAATTAAAAAGTGAAATAAAATAACAGAAGTAGTAGTACGAGTAAGAAATTGAAGAAATTAAATATTCATCTAGAATTCAAAGCTAAAAACCTCAACCTTCTTACAATTCATATACTCCCAAAAATACACGCGATTACAGTTATAGAAGTGTAAGCAATAATAATCTCGAAGATATGCAAGAAAAGAATTATTTATAATAATTAGTGCAAGACTTGAAATAACAGATCTCAGTCTTACAATAAAAGAATTACTACTCTCCTATTCAAAACACAGATAATATTTGGGAATAGAAGTTTAGATAATTAGAAAAATAAAAAGAAACTGAATTGTAAATGAAGGATTAGCATCACATAGAGCGTATTCGTAATTTAGAAACCTAACTATTAAATCAAAAATAATCATATGAAAATGAATTGTTTGCAATCAGAAAGATTTTGGATGAAAAAAGCAAAGAAGATTCTCTTCTCAGGCATTAAAATTAGCAATTGCAAAAAGACTTAAACTCATATATCAATCAAGTACAGTATTTTAATAAATTAGTTTAATTTACTATCATAATAGATATAATAATAAAATCAGTAAATTTAGTAATATTAAATATAAATACAGTAATTGTCCAATTAATTGCAATAATAATAATAACAGCCTATTAATTATTAGAATTAAAACCAGTAATTAATGGAGTTCGCTAATTAATTGCAATCGTTAACTCATCTATTAGATAAAAAGAACCAGGAATGCGAATATTATAAATAGAGATCTGCATAGAATTAGTAGCCTCTATAATAGAATCCGTAAATAGTATCTTATCGTTAAGCCCTAACTCCAACAAGATAAAATACTTTATAACAAAGTTCTGATTCGATTGTCTTTCCTACTTTAACTAAACAATAAATCTTATAGCAATTTTAATGATATTAACATATATATTAGATTTCATATAAAACTGTTGTATTTTTTTTATATTGGATCAGAACTAATGTCAAGGGTGTAGCAATGACTTAGTGGAATTTAATTGCTTTGTTAACACCTTTGAGTAGTAAAGTCATATTGACAATAATTGTATTAATTGCATAATCTTTTACTTGTGATTTAAGAACACCTTAAACATTAGAGAACAAAACTTACATTATGTTCGAACACTGCGAATTCTACCAAGTACATTTATTGGTAGCTATACAATCATTTGGATTGGTAAAGTAGGAACATTGAGTGCATTTTCCTTTTTTTAAGAAACATCGTCTTCCATTTCTAAATGTAGGACAATCAGAATGTGTATTAAATTAGCAATCCTAACTTCTACAACTTGTAAAATCGAAAATATTAGTAGAATACATATTCTCTTTTTCTTAATCGGAGGCTACATTATTAACTACAAATTGGCATCTTTAATTTAATATAAATTTGAATACCTGTCTCTCGTTCTGGCATTTCTGCATTATTTGAAGTCATTAATTTGAGAACATTTCTCTATAGCTTAACAGTGATTATGATACCATGCACAAAGTAATGGTTCTCCTCTTTAATCTCTACATTCAGAATAATTATCTATATCTTCACATTTTAAATCTTTAGTTCTCTCTCCATATATATCTTAATTTTGAACTCTCTTCATGCATTCTCCTCCCTTCCAATAACACATAAACTTTCTATATTTATTATTATCTCTTAAACAATCCTGTTCTGTGAAGAATTAATAACAAGAATCATAAGATCTACTTTTGCAAGTGTTATTCCACTCACATTTTGCAAATGGATTGTCAGTATTATCACATTATATTTTCGTTTAGATGTTTTAGCATAATTATCTTTATAAAATGCACTCAGTTCCACTTACTAGAACAATAGAAAGAGCAAATAGTTGTATGATCATTTAATTAAACTAACAATTCTCTTAGAGTATGATAACAATTATAGATATTATGCATCAATATTGATTAGTAGTCTATGTTGATTTCTATTTTATATTAATTATAAATATAAAATAAAATGGAAGAATAAGAAGAATGTATTGATTGTAAAATTATAATTGCCAAAAAAGGTAAATCTGAACCATTTATCAATAGAATTGTATTGTGAGAAATGCCTGCAATAACAGATGAAAAAAGAGGAGGAAGAAGTTAAACAATTAGAAAATGAAATCAATGAATTGTAGATACAATTAAAATAAGTCAGAGATGAAATGTATAAAATGGAATCTAATTCAATTGAAAAGAAGAATGACAAAATAGAACTGGATGTAAATACCATCATTAATAAACATAGAAAAAAAACTTAGATAAAGAAATTTAATAATTAGAATAGGATGAATAGAAATAGAAGATGGAATTGATTAAACTAAAAAATTCGATTCTTGAGCAAGAGCACAATGAAGACAATTTATGGGAACACATCAATAAATTCACAAGAAAACTATATTCCTTATTTGAATCTAATTAAATTGCTGATAATAAATTATCTCAACTCAACAACGAATTAGATCGATTAAGCAAAGTATATTAAAATAATAACATCCAATTAGTTAGATGTATTAAACGATTTGTTTAAAATATCCGTCTAAGATGAAGTAGCAACCATTAATGGATTGTAAATTGGTAAGAAGGGTGAATAGCCTGTTGATTGGGATGATATCTCAGCTGGAGTTGGTCATCTTACCTTGTTACTAGTTTACTTGATGAAGAAGTTTATGTACACCTATTAAAAGTATTGATCATAAATTATAAGTTTATAGAATAGAATCGATAGAACTCAATGGGTCATTCTCAAAAATCAAAATCAAAGATGAATATTAAAATACTCTATGTACAAAAACGTTAAATCTATATTTGAATAATAAAACTTCGTAAAAAGATGAAGAAGAATTTAGTGATGCCTTTCTATAGTTGTATCTAGAATTTTAATAGTTTTGTAAATATTTGTAAGATGGGGACATATTGAAAAAACGAAAAATTAATCTAAATTTACCCTTTAACATGAGCGGCATGTCTGTAGACAATAAAATACTTAGTTTGAAATAACCAGCAGCTTAGAAATGGCAAGAATGGACTAATTCTGTTAAGAAGTTTTTAGCAAATGTCAAAGCTCTCATTGTTGCTAATGCATAATTTGATTTATCTTTATGAAATATGGTAGCATAATCATTATCATTAAAACATTATAGTAATTGCAATCAAAAATAATTTTTTCAAGTTAATTTTAATTAATTTTAAAAACACTATCAATTTATCAATTTCGTAATTTAATAATTCCTCCTACTCTTTTAATTTAATAAAATTAGGATAGCTGTTCGAATCTTAATACAATCTATAAGCTAGATGAAATATAAATCTATTAGGATTATAATTTAAATCTTCTTTTTCAATTATTAAGGGAAACAAATAAGATATCTAAAAATTTAAGGGATTTCCTTAAAATTAAAAAAAACATGAATTCTGAGTAAAATAGATCAATTAACTAAAGAAAATAATATCCTAATTATTAATCTATTGTGAATCTATATTATTATTATTAATAATCATCTAGTAAGATATCTGAATTGAGAAATTATAAAAATATGGAATATTTCAATACAGCCAAAATTAGTTTATTTCTAATTTCTTTAAGGTTTCCAAAAGCAAATGTTCAACAAATTTGATATCACCTCTCATGATGTTTCAAGTTATTTGATATTAGTTGTTTCAAGAGAGATCCTCTACCGAAATTAATGTTTTGAGTAGGATGCAAATTCATGCTGTGGAATGAGAAATTTGTCATAAATATGCTGCTTTTTTATGGTAACATATTAATTTGTGTTTTTAGTATTCTATTCAGAAATGAGTAGGATTATAAAAAACAATCTATATAATGATTCTCTACATAAATTAATATTTGTAGTTGGAAAGAACATAAATCCTTGAACTATATATTCAATATCTTCTCTTCCTTTTAAATTTAATTATTTATTAAATAAAATTTTTCTCATGATTCAATAAGACGTAAGGAAAGAATAGAAACTTAAAATATTGCTTTAAACAGATATTGAGGTAAAAACAGACGTCGATGCTAAATGGATTAACAGAATCGTTCCTTTAAAAAATAATTTGGCTTTTATTTATTATGAGGGAGGATTTTATTAATTGTACGATATAGAAAAACAATAAATAACAGTTGCAGGAAAACTTCCTGATAATATTAAATTTTTTCTTGAAATTTACACAAAGTAATTTTTAAAAATAATAATTAGAGTTTTGATCTTTCACGATCCAACAGATATTTAAATCAAAATGTTAGACTTGAACATAAATTAACTCAATCCTAATTTTGTATTTAGATCAAGTGACAAAATAGATATCAAGAGTGATGAATAAAGTAGGGAAATAATTATCGATAGTAAAAATCATTCGATATTTTAGAATTTAGAGCTTACTTTCTTGATAGTGAAGAAAGTAAGTGTAAATTTTTGATAACCCAAGATTTAGAAAAGTACTACTCAAATAATAATGTTTGCCATTTCAAAATAAGAGTTTTACCTCTAGAATATAAACCTGAAACAATTTTTGATTTATCAACAGCAGCCTAATATGACTATCCTAATGCTATTTAATAAACTGAGTTATATCATTGGCTCGTAGACAAAGAAACTTTTACTATCTATGGACAAGACAACGATAACAATAAATCTGAAATTCTTTTTATCAAACCTCATTTACTTGAAAAGGCATTCTATATTGTTCATACAGTGCATACATGTTCATACACAATATTAAATGTTTCCAACTGGATTAACCCTCATTAGGTGGCTATTTGGGTAAATTGTAATGATGGTGCTACAAAACCATCTATATTTACTATTGATTTAAGAAATTATTATGATGGCTAAAAATGGTTACTTGAACCTGAATATTCACCAACTTTGGTAATTAATTATGCTTAAATATTGCTAGGCTAGAGATGAGTATATTGATGAACCAGCAGTTTTTATGGATATTTATCAATTCTATTTAGATTCTACTTATATAATTTAAATTAGACAAGTTGGAAATGATGCTAAGATCTCTATCATTAATTATTAAGATATCTAAAAACCAGAAATTATTAGTGAAATTAAGGTTAATTAATTTTGGATTGATCCAGCAGTCGATCATTCTTACATTCTACTATATAATGATATGTCGTAAGACTTTATTATTTACTTTTAGCATTGAAAATAAAACAGTCAAATTTTAAGTATTGTTTCCAGCTGATGCAAGACATTAACTATTATAAATTATTGAAAAAGCAAAGGTAATTGAAAAATATGGGATTAATAATGTTGAAGAAATATTTGAATTCTATTAATGAGGTGTTAGAATAATTTTAAATAAATCATCAATGTTTTTTTTCACTTTCTGTTTTGATTCTGTCATATATAAATCAAATTAATTTTATAAACATAATGAGAATAAGTTTGTAAAAATTCATTAAATGAATAAATAAAATATTTTCAATATCCATATATATATCTATAGTGATATTTATTCATATATTTTAATACTTCAGTCAATCATTCCCTTCAGTTTAATTCAGGGTATGGATGCTTGGAATTGAATTTCACAACAGCCTCAATTTCCTTCATGACTCTTAAGACCATTTCATCTTAATTAGGCAAAGCTGCAACTTGAACATTGACAGGAAGACCTATGGCTCCTTAGAGATCTTTTTTCATAAACCTATAAACAAGATCCATTGAATTTTATTAACCTATTATTTCCAAATCTTAATCATTTTGGACAGTTGTAATAGGTAGACAACCCACAGGGAAATCTACTACATTCCATATCCAAGTATATAATCTAAAAATACAAATAGAATAATACGCTGTAAAAGCCAATTCTTTGGATCCTCCATGTTTAACAGCAGGTAATCCAAAGGCAGGACAAATTATAACATCTATTCCTTAATCAATAACAGCCTAGCAGAATTAGAAATTTGTTTATTTTCTAATAGCTGAATCAACCAGATATTGATATACATCAACCTTAGTATTATTGTTGTATTCCAAGAGTGTTTTCTATCCAAATAACTTAAATAATGGAGCCAAAACAAACTTCTTGATTCCCAAACAAGTATTCGCATCTTGTACTAAAAGGTCATACTCCTCAATGAATTTTTAGCCATGCAAAGCTTCAATGTATGATTTCATTCCTCCATCAGCCACCACTATTTTTAAGAAACAATTAGCAATAATGCTCTATAATTATTTATCTACTTTAAATTCAACAATTTCATGTCCTTAGCTCTCTAATGCCTAACAAGTTTCTTTCACTGCTCTACTCATGCAATTGGGTGTTATAAAGCCATTAAAAACATCAAAATATCCAACTCTTAATTTTTACTTTTTTGGAAATTCATCTAATTGTTGAGGTTCAAAATAAGGATCCTTTATTTACTTAGGAATTTTCGAATAAATTTCTTTGTCAAATAGAACCTTTGTTAAAACTATCAAATCATCGACACATCTAGCAATCGGTCCTCTTGAAACCTTTAATTGCATAACTCCTTCAACAGCCAATGAAATCTTTGCCTCACCATAATCTGGTATCCTTCCACTATAAGGCTTGAATCCATATACACCACAAAACGCAGCTGGTATACGAATACTACCACCGATATCTGATCCTATTCCCAATACACTTCCTCTTGCTGCTGCCAAAGCTCCTTCTCCCCCTGAAGATCCTCCAACGGCTCTGCTTGGATTCCATGGGTTCTTTGTTCTTCCATAAACATGATTGACTGACTCGAATGTCATGGCTACTTAAGGAACATTAGTTCTAGCTATGATTATACCTCTTGCTTATCTGATTTAAGCAACTTATATCCCATCCTCTTAAGCAGGCTTAAAGCAATTAACTCCCAATCCATATGTGGAGTCAAAGTTTTTCTGGATAAACGTTTCTTTGACTGACACTGGAATACCAAACAAAGGGTATTTATTTATTACATTTTTATCTTGTTTAATTTCCTAATCTTATATTCTAAATTAATACTCAATCTTACTTGGCCTCTTCCAAAGCTTGATCAAAATTGATTTCTGTTATGATATTTAGATTATCTGAACAAGCTACTTTAAGAATTCTTTCGATAAAAACTAAAACTGTTTAATAGACAGTCATTTTTTCTTCATATAACAATTACTTAATCTAGGCTACATTACTGTTAAGTATCTATTTTTGGAGTTCTTAACTCAATTAACATGGTTGATGATTTAATTTATAATTGTTTATTGTTTATATTGTAGCTTATCTTTTTCTTTGACAAATTCTTTCCATCTTTTTGTGTTTGATATATTCAATGAGTTTACCCAAGGTCCACAGTCCAAAACCGCCAGAAAGTGCTAATGCGCATCCACTTCTAATAATGTCTCTTTTATTTTATTTTAATAAATCTTTAAATTTCATTTGTTAATAAATTTAATATATGATTAATAAATCTGAAATTAATAGGAATATAAACATAATAATTCGTAAATGTGTTTCAATTAGATATATAATTTAAATAAAGATGAATATTTAGTTTTAAAAGAATTCAATTCATTTGGATTTATTAAAATATGTCATCACATTTTGATAGTAAATTATGTATAAATCCTGGAAAAATGTATAATTAATGAAATAAATGTACTCCAATTACCTGGGCGTAAGGTTGAGTTCTGCAAACTTGATAGCCTATTCATAATCTGCTTTTTCACACTAGCCAGGTTTTAAGTGCTTCTTCTTGACAATTAATTATTGAATGCTGTCATTAAATTAGAATTGTGACTTCTCAAAAATAAATTTCAACTCATTTTCTATAGAATAGATTTCCTTTTTTGAAAATAATTCATATTTTCCTATTAATTACTTAAATACACTTAAGACAATTTAGACATCATTACTTCTTAAGGCATCATAAACAACATAATCTTCGTTGTTATCCTCGACCAAATATCTTGCAATAAGCTTTCTCTATTCATAACTCTGAATTTTGAATGGTTCTTAGAGTAATAAATCTAATAATTCATGGATTTTAATTTATTAATCATATTTTTCAAATAACATTTCAACATCAAAGATTGAAACTTCTTTACTTAATAACTTAAATTTTATCTCCAAACCATACTGTGCCACATCATATTAATTTACTCTAATAATCTTTTTTTATTTTCTATTGCTTTGTTCCACTTGTTTTTCATTCTCATCAATTTCATTACAATATTTAGTAAATTCAGTATTTTATATTTTAGATGAATCCATTTGTATGCTCTATTTATATTATTAACTAGATTATCTTAAAAATGAATAATTTTATTGTTGCTAAGATATTCCTGAATTATTTAGTGAAATTTTTAATTTTCTCGTAGAATTTTGTCTGGATTCTACTTTTTATACCTCAAATTAATTGAGTTTCTATTCTTATGAACTACACTAATATTTTTCTATTTGTTTTTTTAATTCTTCGTATTCTAACAATTAAAGTTTTAAATCATTTATCTCCTAATCTCTATCCTTCATATCTGTTGAATAACGAAATTCCAAATGCTTCAATTGTTCTTGCAATTAAGCATTCTCAATAGACTCTCTAAAAATTTATTATCTCGATTTGGTTATAGCATTTGATAATTAGTGATTCTCCTCTAATTGCTTTTATACTGAGATCAATCGTCTAATTTCCTTGTCTTTTATGATCAATTAAGTTTTTAGGGATTCTATTTACCCGTTTAAAAAATATCTCTCTGTTTTAATAGTAGTATTTTCTGATTTCAATTCATGGTTCTTTTATGATAATTTCTAAATTATTTATTCCTGCTTTTAATATAGATCCTCTATTTTAAGGGATTGATTCTCTTGTTATTATTCCTTCAAATCCTTTATCTCCTGTTATTGGAAGAGCACTTATTATTAATAATTAAATAATTCAACCTAAAGATCATGAAATGAATAATACTTGCAATTCTTAATATTTAGTGACATTAATCATCTTTTTGTACTCTTCTATTTATTTAATTTTATCGCTTAAATCTGATTCCAATTTTTTCAGTTACTATTTTAAGGAAATTAAAAAAGTTTTGCTATTATCAAACATGAGATTTTGAGCAGAGTCTCTCTATTCTTAAATTAATCAATACTTAGAGTTATTAATATTTTAATTTCCAAACTTAGACTTCATCCGATAAAGTATTAATCTAGGTTTTCAATTGATTGTTCTAATGACTCAAAGTTTCAGGATCCACCTTATTCGGATTGATAAGATTGTTATGAGATTTATGATTTTTATGAGATTGTATTCTTATTATTTTCACATTATCTTAACTAGACACTTTCGTACTGATGCTATAATATTTGTGAGACATCAAAAATTAATAATTAATAAACAAATTAATATTAAATGCAAACTAATTCATTTTATACTCTTGGATTTCTTATTGATTCCCAATTTCGGTTCAGCTAAGCAATTTTTAATTAAGAAGTATCTGATTGGATCGACAATAAATAATTCTAAAGCCAAAGCAGGGGCATAGTATTGCAAACAAATAAAATTGTTAATCTCATAGTACATTATCCCTATAATCAGAATAGCCAATTCACTTCCCCAAATAACATAATTGATCAATTTGATAAAGCAACCATCTCCATTCTTGCATATCGACTATATAGTGTAATAATCGTGTATTTTGATGATCATATACCCACCACTTGAACAGGCAATGATATAATAATACTACAATTGTGAAACAAATAGAAGCAATACTCCACAAATTTCGAAACAAACCATTTGTCTAAAATAAATTTATGCGAGCATAAAAATTCTTGATAATCCAATTTTGTGACTGTAAAATATTTTAGCAAACAAATTACATTTCTAATTAAACTCAATTTGTACATAATAATCCTTGGCTGGCTTTGGTACTGTGCAATTCTAAACAGTAAGAGAATTTCCACTTGTCTAAAAACTGGAGGTAGAAGGTATCTTAGGTTGATTGAGAACCTTTTGATCTGGAGTCTCCCCAAAAATACTGTTCCTTTCACTATTATTGCCTGACTGTCTTGATCGCACACTTTTTCGGTTTGTAGATTACACAGTCTCCACACCTTCCAAATTTCCTGCAATTTATTTTCTTGAAAATATTGTATATGGTGTTGTTTATTTCTATTTTTTAGTAATCGGGAGTTTCAGAGATGTTTCCTTTTAAGTTGATTCATCTTAAATTTTAATTCCATTCTCTTAATTATGTTATTATGAGAACATTCTTTGATTGTTAATTATTTCATCTACCAATTAACTATCGTTCTTTTATTAAGACTGCTTCTAAACATTAGATATTAACATATGATTAACAAAAATCACACTATTTTAAGGTGTTTAACTTTTAACCTAAGGTGTTATGACTGCTAATTTATATTTTTTTTCTAAAAAATAGCCTATTAAGATCAAAACGATAAAAAGGACAGTCCATAAAGCAAAAAATACTATTATTAATAAGTTATGAATCATTATTAAAATTAATTTTATAATAAACATTGCCCATAAATTTATAAATAGTATCTCTTGATTATTAATGTACTCTCTGCCCTTTAGAATTTCACTATACATTTACAATCATTAATTATTATAAATAAAAAATGATGAATGGTTCTATTTTTCAAGGTCTGATCACCAAGCTATCCAATTTAAATAAAATTATGTGTTGTACTTGATGATAATCTCATTTGTGTATTACTCAGCACTGGATTATGCCAATATCTTATGTTTTAAGTTATATAAGGAACTAAAATATATTTTTACCTTAAACTGTTTTTCGAACAACCAAGCGTTATTAATCAGCAAAATGTGGAATCCGAATTTTTTAATATATATTCAATTAGCTTGATAAATTTAATCAAATTATCTCTAGCTTTCTTAAATGGAGTATAGTAATGATCTCAGGACTTAATCAAACTAGTGGAATCACAGTCGCTTTTTTACTTTTGGTCTTTATAAATAGTTTTGAGACCAAACTCCTGTTTTAGAGGAAGTGAATACTTATGTAACACAATTTTCATAAATAAAATTAATTATAGTAAATCTATTATGTCAATCAAATTTTTTAAAATCTACGTGATACAACTCTCTGTAAACATCTTATATTGATTTATCCATTGTTGATATTAAATGTCCAGAACCTTAATGTAAAATGGGGACCTTGAATTCATAATAACTAGTACTTTAGGATTCTTATCTTTAACAACATTGCATTTTTTCAATATTATTTTAGATGTCTCTACAGGATTAAATGTTTCCATCTCATTTCCTTATTTTTTATCCTTTTCATTTCCCATTTCTTCTAGTCTTGCTGGTGCTTCTTAAGACATCAATCTCTGCTTCTCAGTTGATGGCAATGGTTTTTTTCTACTTTCCTCTTAGGTATGTAATAATGGTTGAGATCTAGCATGTTCCATCAAAGTCACTTAAATAATTGATATGCATCATACATGGTAAATTGTTAAACATAGTTTAGGCTGCCTAGAAATGGGTTTTATTGTGTAATGATGGTAATAGATTCTTAGCAATTAACCTTGATAAATATGCTCTTCTTTCTAAAGCTGACATTCCTTCTGAGAAGTTCTCTAAACTAACAATCTTTTTATGATCAATTTTCATGTTCTCTACTTATGATTAAGTATGATCTTTTAAAAATTATTCAATTCTAGCCAAAGCAGTTTTATCTCTATATCTGAAGATGTCTCTTTTGATGTCTTTAGATGGATCTCTTTCTCTAAAGGAATGTTTTCCTACTTTTAAATTTGGCAGGAAATCCAAGTCCTTATTCTTTTCTTAGGCTTCTAGGATCCTCTCCTTCTCATGTTTGAAACCTTTAACATAAATTTATGGATCTCCCAAATTTTTGGTTATATCTTCCTCTCTAAACTTATAACTTTCAGGAGGTTTATATTCGTTGCAAACTACTGGATTCTCCAACATATTTATGACAAAGTTCTCGACTCTTTTTTTATAATTCTTCGACAACCTCTAATTCATATCTATTTGTAATGTAACTCCTCATACCTTTCCTACGTTCTCTTTCTGAAACATACTCCTTCTTTATTTTGTCAATATCTTTTGTGAAGGCAAGTTACTTATCATATTAATATCCATTAAACATTAAATTATAATATATAAGTCATTAATCAATATACTTTTAATAAGTCTTTGTAATTAACATTCATATTTTTAGAGTTTGAATTTTATTTTTTTATTCTTATAAGAACTCAAATATTTCGAAGCTCTCATTATGATTTGGGGAGATGAAATATTATTTTAATTAACTTCATTCACAATTATATTATTTTATGCTGATTGAAAATTTAGCAAATGAACTATAATGCTCAATTTGGTTAGCTATCATATATATTATAATAGCTTAAGTTTATTTAGTCATCCATTTGTTATTCCCTGTGGACATAGTTTTTGCCGCGATTGCATTCAAAGTTATGGAAGAGCAACCAAATCTGCCAAATGTCCTCTATGCAAGTAACCCTTCAATCTTGGCAAAATCAATCTTAACATATCACTTTAGGCTGTATTGAATGTAATCGATCAAGACAATACCAAGATGAAAGGAGATGTCAGCAGATAAAACTCAAAATCTACTAATTTTTTTATTTGCACTTCAAATTTATCAGATGAATAGAAAGTACTAAAATGAATAAATTTAGGAATGCATTGAAAGATTTCAAAAACACTTCAAAATAAAATCTAATTCAAACATCAATTCCAAGATCACGCATCTGATATCAGGCCCAGACAATCCAAACAAACCTTTTATAGCCAGAAGAACCTTAAAGTACTTGGAAGCACTGGCTCGCGGAATTTGGATTGTTAATATAGATTGGGTTATAGAAAGTCTCAAATGCGATAAAATTTTAAGCGAGGATGAGTTCGAAATCAGGGGAGACGAATTCCCAACACTCACTCCTAAAATATCAAGAACTAGAGGTGGGATGTACGATTTCCTAAGAAACTACGAATTCGCTATTGAAGTAGGAAATATTAATAAGACCATAATTAATCAGGACTATGTTGAAACCTTAATATTACTTTGTGGTGGCAACATCGTAAGTCAAAAGGAGAAGACTCAAAATACTATTATAATTAAAATAGTTTAAGACCCTCAAATGAATCATACTCGAATCGAGTGCATTCCAATGATTGTCAATTAAAAATGGTTGTTTGATAGTATCAGCAAGTTCAACATGTAAAACTATTTTGGCTATTTAATAAGAATTTGATCCTAATTAATAAAATTTCCGTTTTTATTGTATTATAAATATCATTTATATTTTTACAGATTTGTCAGTCTACTAATTATCTGTGTTCTAGCCTTAGCAGTATATCTATTCCACTTTAAAGGAACAATAAACTGTTTTGAATAGTTATAAGAACTTTTATTTATAGAAGTAGGAAAATTATCACAAATTGGTTTCAGAGTAAGGGAATTTGATCGATGAATGAGAAATAAAAAGTAGGGTTGGGTAAAAGAATAGGCGGAATTTGGAAAGATATTATAAACTAAAGAGATCACTCTCAAAGAGTTGTACATGAGAATTATTTATTATTTAGGAAAATTTTCTATAATGGATTTATAGTAATGGATTTCGAATAGTTTTATGGAGAGGCGAAATTATAACTTTAATCTTCTTATTTATAGTATTGATATTGAAAGCTATATAAGTTGAGACAATAAACCTGAAAATTATACAATTATGGTAAGTGGGTTTCTATTAGGAGTACTTATTTCTGAAATTTATTTTAGAGAAGTCTTAATTTCAATTAATTTAATTAGAACTAGCACTTTAAATTATTTATGTTTCTTTTACCTCAAAACAAACTTAATTTCATTATATACTAATAAGATAAATAACTTAATTTATCCTAAATTTGGCTCAAAAATTAATGTATTTTGGCCAAGATAACTTTGTTTCTATGATGCTATTCCAAATTAAATTTCATTATCACAAATCCACAAATATTAATTAATGGTAGTATAAGTTAAATCTATTTATTATGGTTATTTCTATAACAATTGTATTAATCCTTAATTTAAAATTATTTAATTTAGTTTATAGTGATCCTTTTAATAAAATTAACCGATATTATTAATTAAAACACAAAAAAAACGTAATTATTTTGATGATAGTAAAAGGGAGGTGTGATATCATTAGGAATTAAAGAAAAGATGAAATGTATTTAACTTAGATTTATTCCTCAACGATATTAAGAAGTTACTCTATATTTTCATATCAACTTATTAAAATATTTTAAAACTTCTGATTAAATCATTCTTAAAATAAAAAGCTTTAGTCAAACTGATTTCGATTTATAGGAGTACTGAAATTATAGAAATTCTTATAGCAGCCAAGATTCATATTCTTACAATTAACATTCAAATTAATGATATTTCATTCGATTATATGTGTTTGTTATAATAAAATCAAGATTTTAACTCTAATTAACAGCAATCCTCAATTTCAGAGTTAATTAGATATGGATATTTCAAGAAAAGCATAATTTACTGTTTTTAAGAAAAAAGGAGCAAGCATGTAGACAATTGAATCTACCGAACCTACATTCAAGAAATAAATTTCTCCATAACATACTCATCGTTTCTTTCAATCGACTCAATCGTCTAAAAGTAATAAAGAAATCTATTATAGCCATGGTTATGAACATGGATAAAGAAAAATAAAGAATCAAATAATTGCTTGAAGAAAATGTAAAGTTGTTAGAGCAATGCTCTGAGAAGGATTTGTAAATTGGAAGATTGAAAGCAAAAATGCAGAGAAACTTAGATTTGAGAACCTAAAGAGTCTAAACTCTCAATGCTTTGAAACCAAATGAAAAAAAGAACTATTACTTCGAGAACTAAAAACCCTAAAATATTTCAGACTTACAATAAAATGATGATAAACAACTTTTCACATTTTACAGTCCAGAACAAAAATAAATTTCATAAACATTCAAACTCCCTAAAGTTTTCAGAGCATTTCCTAAGCAAAATAGATATTATATCTGATTTGTCTATTCATTGTTACAACTTGAAAAATATTGAAACTCATATCTATAATTTATTATAAATTCAGTTCAGTTCTAAGATATCATAATAGTGTGTACATTTTGAAAAGTCTTTGACTATTTAATTCCTATTTTAATAATAGAATTATAGTATGCTGAAATTTACATAAATTTAAAAGTGAATTTGAAAATCCATGACTATAAATTTAAATTTAAATATCTGTGATTCTTCAAAACAGATTGACTCTAAATATTTAGAATTCTACAACTTTTTGTTCAAATTTTAGTATAAATATTATAATAAATGATTAATACACAAAGTGAAGATGGTGAATAGCCTGTTTCAAGTGTGCAAGCTATTGAAAAACCTTAAAAGTTTAGCTTATTTGATTTGATTGTTGGATTGTCGATATTTAGCATTCTATTTTTTCAGTAATGCATGGGTGAAATTTTATTCCCGATTGGATTAATATTTTTGATGAATGGAATACTCTATAAATGCAACAGACGAATTGATTAATTTATGATTGGTCTATTTTATGTACTTTAATTATTTGCAGTTTGGGCATTAACATATCACGATTTCGAAGAGTGTCGAATAGGATATGTATTAGTCGTTATTTACGTAGTTGTAATATTTTGCTTCATTACAAGTAGCATGATTATATTGACATGAAATCAATTATTGTCTAAAATACATATAATTAACACTATTCTTTCATTGCATTATTATCATTATGCACTTCTTTATAAAATTTATATATACTTAATATATAAATTTTAATATTCTTGAGAATGTTTACAATCACAATATATTTTTAAGTCGGTTAATAACTTGAATTTATATATATATGCAACTCTTAGTCAATAATCTAAATATAACTCTTTGATGGTAAAGTTGGTTTCATCAATTTCATACCATGGGAATCTCCACTCGTCAGTCATACCATAATGAGGAATATTAGGATAGGCTTTCCAATTAAATGGGTCGTGATTTTAATAGGAAGGACTTGAGATCAAATGAACCTTTTTGTTCTTAATCATGTCCTAACTAATGACCTTACCATCAATTCCTCCAAAGGTGTATCCATTCCCTAGATCACACCTTGGACTTAAGGCACCATCGCAAGCATCGAATTCAGCAGTAACTTTATTGTATCTCACTAATTTTCCTACTTCCTTAACGGTTTTAAGGTTTCCTTGGTAAATTCGAAACTACCTAGCTCTTACATCATCATTATATGAAGTAGTTTTTGGATATTCTTAAATTTTATATAATATTACTTAAAGAATCAAAGATTTCTTAATCCAATGGCACATTATAAGATGCAACATATCCTTAGGATGCTAGTAATGTATTTGTTAGATCATGCACTTTATAATGAAAGAATGCCTCTTCTCCCATGAATATTTTATTATAATCAGTGACAACCCATTAATTATTATGAGTTCCACTTCTATGCAACCCAAAAATATCCGTCCATTCTTAAGGAGTCTTTGCCAATCTACTTGCTATATTGACTCTCATCCAACATGGAACCGAATCGTAATGAAAATAGGCATAATTCTCTTTATTATAATTATTAAATGATGTTTCTGTGACAACCATTTATGTATCCCAAAGGACAAAAAAATCATCCTTTGATTCTAAATCTCCTGGCCTTGCTGTAAATGATAAATGTGGATTGACTACATCTTTGTCTTTTAATTTAAAATTATAGCTTTTATAAATTCTGAGCATAGTTTGATACACATTAAAAGTAGAATGTGCCACTATGCCTGGTTTATAAAAGGAATTACAATTTCCAATACCTTAAGTTTAAACTTAGCCAACGCTTGGCCATAAATCTTAAAGATCTCCCATATTACTGAGATAATAGAACTAATCAAAGGACAAGGCTTTTTCAGTCTTGCCATAATGATAATTGTATCCCTCATACATATTTTCTAACTAAATCAATAGATATTTGACCATCCTCCAATAAGGCGTATTTTAAGATTAACTTTGTTCTTTTAACCAATTATATTAATTATGAACATATATCTAAAGCGATTTCGGTAAAAAATGTCTCCCTCCTTAAATTCCATAAATATAGTTCATATATGCATTGTAAATTTCCTCTCTGGATTCCTCACCTTCATATCTTCCAGCTGTAGCGAAAACATCCTCATCATTTTCCACACTCTCAAGATTTATTCGAAGAAAGTTCCATCCAGTTGAATTAGCAGTTCTGTTATAAATGATTGATCCCTTCACCTTACCGTTGTCAATTTCTAAAGAAAACGATATAGATACAAGTAAAAATAGCAAAGAGCTCATCATTAATATTATTAATATTTTGTAATGTCATCATATACATAATATTAAATATCTTTTTCAATGACATAATTTTGATAACTATTATAACATATATTATAATCAAATTTCCATATTAATATATTTCATCTCTAAAGCAACAAAATATAAAATATATTTCGATGAGAATATGAAATATTAATTTTCTCATATATAATAACAGTTATTTTTAATATTAATACGATTTTGTTAAGCTTGCTTTTCAAATCCATTAAATTGCATCCTGTTAAGATTTTAATTATATATAGTGAAAATTAAGTGTTTCAACTACGAAATTCAATATACTAATTCTAATTTCATATTGAAACTTTTCAATAATTTACAAATTTAATTCATTTTATCATAAAGGCATTCTTTGAATTTAATAAACTTCAATAGATTATTTCATGTCTAATGACTTGCTTTTATAATGGATTTTTATCATATTTAATTAATATGTTTACAGTTAATTTATTTATAAATTTGCAATTCAAATACCTTTGGATACTTTTCCTAAGGTGAAAATCTACAAAAATTTGTATAATTAGAACTATGCTTATTGATTTCACAAACATACATTGTAACTTTGTTAGAATGCCTCTATTCAGCATCGTTATCTATGTTCTTTGAATTTTATCTTTACGTAATAATTTCATCCGAGAGAGCACCATTAGTAATCAAAGAAATATGTATTTCTGTTTGTATATTTTTGAAAGTAATCAAATAAATCATTCAAATTAATTAATTTAGTGATCCTCTTTTTGATAGTATTAAATTTTACATATTAAACTGGGTAAAAAGGAGAATAGTTGTAATATTAGGGTATTAAGTTAAGTTTATAAGGAGGAATAAATAAATTGAATAATAATATATTAATTTTCATTAATAAAATAAATTTAGAAGATGATTGATGAGATAACTTTGTTGGCAAACTTCATTTAATTGAAAACGGAAACGCTGTATCAAAGGTCAAAATTTAGCGGATTATGCTTGTACCCATCTATCGTGTTGTCGATAGCCTTTGATAGAAGTACTGTAAATATAGGAACTGTTTTGATAACATTGATTTTAACAGCTATTTTAAAAAGTCATAATAAATTAATTTATATCTTAAGAGTAATATAATCAAACATAGTTATAGGTTCTCTTATTGTTTCCAGAGCTACTTCTTTAAAATTAAAATCATGCATTAATCAGTTCATTTTTGATTAACCAAATATACGTGCCTTACTGGCCAAGTTAAATTGTGTTTTAGATGGTTTTAGTTAGGTCAGTGAATGGATTGTATTTGGGATTTGGATTAGTAATGTTGTCTAGATATTTTGAAATTTTAAAGCGAAGATTCTTTATATCATTCTATATTCAAGAATACAATTAAAATCAGAGAGAGTGTGTATTGGAGAAATTGCCAATAGATGTTTTCCTCATTAATAGCGAAGCCAACATTTACTATAGTAATAATCATGTAAAATAATTTGATAATGAATTGCAAAGGAAATTGGCAAATCTGATTCGAAAGAAGAAAACAGATGAAATAACAATAAACAATAAATATTACAAGATGGAATAATATCATTCCGATTACCTATTGACACAATCATAATTTAGTTGTGGAGATATCGAACTGTTTATAAAGTTGTCCCAATAAATAGATTAATTGTACAACCTCATATGCTAGGACTATCAGAAATGGAACAACTTAAGAGCATTTAAAGTAGTGAAAGAGAGTGATTTAAGTATTTTAGGTCAATGCACCACAGATTGTAGATTATTAAAACAGTAAATAGATACCATAAATATTCTAAATCACGATTGTCAATAAATCAAATACTAACCATCATTAAAAGACGAGTTTTTTTGTAAGTAAATTGTTTGATTTAGTGAAGAACTATGTCGTGAATGTGATTGAATCAATGGTTAATCGACTCTAAGAGCATTTCAATATAATTCAACTTGAATTTGAGGAGGGCATTCCAGAAAAACTTGTGGGAAACAAACATGGCATTCTCTATAGTCTATATGCATACTTAATGAGTGCGATGCTTGTGGAATAGAAATCAGATCTGTTGACTATAAACGCTAGAATAGCTTAAGTGTACTTGGATAAATCAGAATATGATCTTGAGATATCAATAAGTTTTCCATGTTCCAAGAAATAAATGAAATTGTATTGTCAAGATGAATTTGAGAATGAAAATGAACAATTTTTGCTAATAATGATCAAGTAATGTAAGTAATTGCTCTCGATTGATTATAAAACTGATGGGGACAACATTATCATCTTATTGATAACAAGTGTTCAATTGTGTGAGAAGAGTGACAAATCGTGTGACAATATTCAGATGGTTGATTTGACTTTTACAAAGAATGTTATTGATGTAAATCATTATTTTTGGAATGCCAAAAGATATGCCTCTCCAGCTATGACTTATGATAAATCCTTGAGATCACCTATATAAAAATGCACAGCTAAATTTAATTATACTGATTCTTTGGCTTCAACTATCCAATTAAAATCGATACCAAATTCAGCCTAAGCCTCTGCTGCAAATTCTAATGTCTAATCTCCTGAAAATACATTGATTAAAAATGAAGACATAATTAGAGAAGTTGAAAAGGCCTTCAAATATACTATACAATTTCCTTAAATACAAGAAGATATAATCAGATTGCTTGAATAAACCTTGAAAGTAGCCTACAATGAAGGAATCTTAGATCACGACAAAACCATACTCGATATAGGATGTTCTCATATGGGCTACGATAAGTACAGTCAGATTAGCGTGAGATCAGACACACCATTTGTTTAAGATTATTGTGATCAATTAATCGATTAAAATGACAACGAATTTAAAAAGAGTAAACCTAAATAGTTCAAAACTCCTTAGCTAAAACCTAGAGATTTAGTAAGATTCGATAATTTGGGGCAGCAAGTAGTTCGTGAATAAAAGAAAAAGTAGGAAAAAGCTAATAGGTCAATATAGGGAAAGAGGAACAAAGATCAAAAACAATTGAGTGTTCTATTTAGTCCTTCTGTGATGAGCAAGTTTAGTAACAATTTGGTATCCAAAGTACAAAAATCCAAAACTCAATTGCCTAAAATTGATGATAACAATGGTATTTATATGAGACTATCAAGATAATAAATTTCATATTAGAGTCAGAGACAATCGATTAAGAAAGCAACAACGAAAATGGACTTGCAGAATAAGATTGGATGAATAACCAAAGTAAGAGCCGAAAATACTCTGTTTGATTCCCAATACTTAATTTATTCAGGTGGCACAAAGGTTCGGTAATAGTCAATATGGAGATTTAATGATTGGAGAGCCCATTATCACTTACTCAGTCTCAGAATTGATTGCAATCTATAAATAGCATTTTAATGAGGGCAAATAGTTTTGCTTTATTTTGATATACATTCATAAGATTAGTGAAATTGAGGAATTGAGCATTGCTGTGCAAAGCAATGAAAACTAATGGTGCCAAGATTCTGAATTCAAAAAAACAGTGATGATAGGAATTTACAATTAAACCTAGTTGAACAAAAATCTATATTAGTTTCTTAAATACACTATTCCTTTAAGTTAGGATGCGGAATAATTAGCCAAATCAAAAGAATGGATAGCGGAAATAAGTAAATGATTATAAATTATTATTAAAATTAAGTAATAAACAATGTCTCACCACCACCAAAAGTATTATGAGAGACCAGGTAAATCTTAACGACTAATATATTCTTAGATGGATATGTGTACTCACCTGAAGAATTGGATGCTTATAGAATTCCTTTGCCCTTTAGAGACAGATGTGTCAATTTTTATGTCCCCTTCTTCAAATGCCAATAAATCAAAACAGACAATCTATTCAAAACCGCACTTACAGCCATCGACTAAACTTTGGATCATTGGTATTTCATTACTTCTATTCCTAGGGGTGGAGAATGCTACAAAGAAAAAAGAGACTATGTAAATTGCTCTAAAGCAGCGTATATACATCATCTCATTATGTTTCAGTTACCAATATTCCTTGGCCGTTCCTGTTCAAAATATTTATACTGCCAATCCATGGTATGCTAGTCAAGAAGCTGTTTCAGCCGAATTAGAAAAAAATCATTTTAGTTCACCAGTCTTATATTGACAAAATAATCAAATTTAGTACAAAATAAAACATTATTATTATTTACATGCATTATTCACTTGTAGAAGGATCTTAATAAACTGATTCCATTCATTATCCTTCTAAAATTCACGTTAGATATCCTTCTTAATTGCAAATGGGTTCTCCTAGAATAATTCTCTTGCAAAATCACTTTCCTGCTGTGAAGCCTATCATTGTAAGAAAACCCCAACAAGGATCAAACTTGAAATAACTCAAAAATGCTTACTACACCAATCGATAACCCGTCAAAACTCTCTGCAACGAATAATTGGAAATACCAAAACAGGAGAAAATACTAAAAGAAAAAAACAAAAAACTATAATTAAGGAAAAATATGACCAGAAAATTATTGAAAATTACTGAGTATCTAGCTTCCTACAGAAAGCCCTGAAAACAACTTCCTATGATTATAAATATGATAATAAACCCTATAAAAATTATGTCATCTATTATTAAACTTATAACAATTTCTACTCAATAAAATCAGTACTTTGAAGAGTCAATATAAATAGATATTCCAAAAATTGTATAAGCCTATCTTACAATTCTTAAATTAAATAGTTAAAGAGACATAAGTTAGAATAAAATATATTGATTTTTTGGAAAAATAAATATTTTTGCAATTTTTGTTAAATTCTTTAATTTGTGTACATCTAAATTTTGTGTTGTAATTTCTATTTTTATATCTTCTATTTTATAAGCAAGAATAAATCAATTCATTAATGAAAACAATCAAAATTTCAGAATAGATTTTTTAATTAAATTAGAGCTTTCGATCACACTTTGATCAAATCAAATTAACCTTCCCACTTCTTAATTTAATTATAAATTAGTTTAATCCCTATTGATTATACTTTCAATATAAATCAAAAAAATGAAGACAATTAATAATCTACATTCATATATTCAATAGAATTAAAACTGTTTATTACAATAATTAATACTGACTTTAGATAATGTTGTAATTAAATATATGATAAATCCTATCATCTTCTTAATGAGTTCTCCACTCTGTTACATGTTTCATCCAATAATCTAAGCATTGTTTCTTCAGTGGATTCTCTTTATGCTTTTTCTTCTGATAACTATAAATTTAAAATATTATTCATCTCATCTATCATTCTATACATTTGAGATTGAGATTCCTGTCTTTATCGTTTCTCCTTAGTCAGAGTCTCCTAGATTTAGAAGACAGATTCTCCAAATCTTCTAATTAGCTCTTAGCAAGCAGCTTCTCTATTAATTAATTGTTATGAGGGATACCTTTCTCTTCTTTCATTTTAGACATCTTCTGCTAAATTTAAGACTCTTTCTCCGATTTCATTTGAATATTATTCTTCAGTTTCCTCTCTCATTTTCTTTTATTTAGCTAATTCCAATCTAAATTGATATGATTTTTCATCAATTAATCTAGCCACTTTCAATTCTGATTCCCTTCTCAAGTTTTTATCTTTCTACAATTCCTTAACTATATTCTACTCTAATCCCTTAATATCTCTCTGCTTAAAATTGTCATCCCTTGACTATAATATAAATTTGAATTCAAACATCTCTAATTATTTTTTCGTTAGTTAATCCATCTTCTATTTTACTCAATTGGTCTTAAATTATTTTAAGTCTGCTTAAATCATTTTAGTAAGCCTTTTAAAATTTCTCGTCAAAAAGCTTGAGCTTTGATTCATAAGCTTCCTTTTTTAATGTTTTATCCTCTTCAATCTGTAATCCAGATAACTTTTCGCTTAACTATGCAATCTTAGCTCTGCTAGGAGATACTACAAGGATTAAAACATCTCTTACCGTTCCTATCAGTAATTGAAGATTGTGGGGCAATCACACTTTTCAAATTTTTTGTTTAAGGTGATTAATATAACGAGCTATTTAACATTAATTATTTATTAATTAAAACTAAAAGGTAGCTTTAATTTATTTCAAAATAATATCCATATTAATAAATTATAATAGAGTTCTTGCAATAACTAGAAGAGAATATATATGGATGGAAGTTCAAATTTATTTTTAACATTATTATTACAAATTATTAATTTTAACATCAGTCTTACTAATTAATAAAATTGGATTTCTTTTAAAGTGAATCAACTTGATTTCTGTCAGCCATTACGCAACGGATATTTTCATCAGTTATTTTATTGTGGTCATTTCATAACAGAAAATATAACCATTTGAAATAATTTAACGTTCAATTTGAAATTAAAGTAGATATTTTTTGAACTAAAACATCATAATATTTATTACTTAGATATAAAGTTTGAAAAGAGAATCAATATTAATTTATCTATTTCAAATTCTAACCTTTATCATTTTATAATTAATATACCATAACTAATTCAATTAAATATGCTTTATAAGCTTAGAATATTTGAAGAACATAAAGGTGAGAGACTCATAGTTTTCAATTTCCTCCCAATATTCTATTAGTTATCAGAACTTTAAGAGCATTGATTATTTAGTTATCGAAGATTTCTATATTATGCGATTCATTATTGATAAGTGATGACAAAGGGGATGTATATCAGTTGATAATTCAAAAATGATGACGCTATTTTATTCATTTATTAATAATATTTAGATCTATGAAATCAATATTTTAATAACTGAAAATAGCTTTTTGTTTGTATAAATATTTTATTTTTAAAATGGCAGACAACGAAAATAACGATGATCAACCCAATTTGGAGGAAGATCCAATGGCATTCTTACCAGCAGATCACGTAATGGACTAATGTGATATAATTAGCATTTGTTGGCTCGTTTGCAAATTGCATTACAAAAATAATTGAATGATGAGCATTCAAGAGTAGAATTAGAGCTTGTGGAAGTCGAGGATTAATTAAAAAAGCTTGATAGAGAAAAGGAGGATATTGGTATTTGAAATAATTAATATCAAAGGTGTTAGATTATATGGTGTATAATAATAGTTAGCAGAGAATTAATAAAATTTTGAAAAAGCACATGAAAACTTTAATTTTGTATAAAAATTGAGGATTGAGAGTGAGTAAAAACTAAAAACGATTAATGACTTACACTTATAGAAGAAGAAAGAAGTGGATGAATTAAGAAAAAAATATCTAAAAGCTCAAGATGAATTATCGAAACTTACCAAAACTTTGCATACCATTGAAAATTATAACAATTAGATGCAAGCAGAAATTCAATAGACTAGAAGAATTGTCTATAGAGGAGAAGAAAATGTGCAAGCATTAGAAAAGGATAAGAAAAAATAAGATTACTTAATTGATCAAATGAATGAGGAAATTAAGAGATTGACAGAATAAAAGACGATATTGATGGATCAATTGATATCTCAAAGCAAAGAGACAGAAAATGCTAGACAAACAATGAAGGATGCTTAAGCTGAGATGGAAAAGATTATTGCATCTAAAAAGAACCTTATGGAAAGATGGTAGAAGAGTTTAGTAAGGATGTAGAGAATGGACAATGCTCTATAAGAAATTAGAGAGGCTTATAAGTATGTATCTGTGTTAATATTATTATAGAAAAGAATCAGAAGTCAACATCTAATTAGGTACTGAACTATAAGGAATTAATAATGAAATCAGAAAAGAAAATGCTAGATCTGAAGATTTGATTGCTTAGAAAAGAAAATTGGAAAATCAAAAATCGAACTTAGAAAACAGGAGATAGGAATTACTAGAGGAGTAGGCAAAACTCAATGCTTAAGTGCTATTATTGAATGAATCTCTTAAATAGACAGAAAATGAAACTAAAAAGACAGATAACGAATAAAGAAATGTAGATGAATAAATGAAATTGATTGAAACCAATATTATGAAATTGCATACTGAAACTAAAAGCTTATTGGAAGACTTATTAGATTCAAAGAGTGAAAATACTACCATTGAAAAAACTGCCTTGAATTTATTGAAACAGGCATAAATTATTTAATCTGAAATTGAGGAAAAGGAAATCGAATTAGAAAATCTAAATAATGAAATTGCTAGAGTTAAAATTGATCAATTGAATACAGAATAATAGATTGAATAATTAAAATTAAAAAAGGCTGCAGTTATTAAAGAGAGAGATGATAAAAAAATCACTGTTGCTACTTATGAAGTATAAATTAAATAGGGTCATGAATTAAATGAAAAAAAGCAACATGAAGTTGGTAGATTAAATAAGGTTCATGATGAACTAACAAACAATTCTTCAGAAGTAAGCAGGGGGCCTTTGGAAGCTACAAAGTCTAATCTAAAACGTTAATTGGATGAAATGATTCAACAATGTGAAGCAATGCATAGAGATTGGATCAAGAAGCAAACTTAATTGGTTGAAAAAACTAAAGAATACGAAACATGTTCAACAGAAGTTGATGAATTATCAAATAAGCAAGTTATTTTGGAAAATAAAAAAATGAGGTTAAATTCTTAATATAAATCTCATGAAAGAGAAATAAGAGAAATTAAAAATAGTCTAAAAAATCTTTAAAATGATATGAATAAATTAAATGATGATTTAGCAAGATATTAATTTAAATAAGAAAAATTAACAAATGAAAATAACCACATTTAGAGTGAATTTCTAGAGAAGTTGAAAGAATTAGAGAAGGAAGCTGTTAGATATGAAGTCTAAATTGATAAATTAAAGGACAGCAAAGCAGATTTATTAAACGATATAATGGAGGCAGAAAAGTAAATCTTGTTATGGGAAAGAAAGATTCAATTGGAAAAAGAAATGCAAGAGGCTTTGGATCCAAATGTTGGACAGAGTGAATTAAAACTGTTGTAAAAAGAAATTCATAAAATGGAACTAAGATAAAAGGAATAAAAGAAGAGTTAGGAGTAGATTATAAAAGAAATGGAAAGAACTGTGTTTAAGAGAGAGACTATCTAATTGAAATATCTGAACAAAGATAAATCATCCTCAGGACCTAAAGAACTTAAACTTCCTCCAGTTGGAGCTAGCAATAATACAACTTAAGTTAACAAACAAATCTAAACTCTTAAGAATACATTGAATCAAACATTGATGAATGCATAAAAGATAGAATAAGGTATAAGAGCACAAGAAGAATAACTTGAAAATGTAAGAATTATAATATATATGCATGTAGCTTCAACAATAAATTTAGGAGGCTTCCTAAAAGTAATAATAAATGGAATAGGAGACTTACGAAAACAAATAAAAATTATATTATGCTAAAAATGAAAAACTTCTGAATGTATTCAAAATAAGTCAATTATAATCCTAAGCCAAGAAATACGAGGAATTACTAAACAACCCGAGACTTCCTTTTCCAGAGCAATAAATTAGATAGTAAATTTAATTTTAAGTCTTAGGAAACTTGAAGAATAGAAGAACTTCACTAATAATATCAAGAGTGCATTAAACAAACTAGTTGATGAATAGCCATAATTACAAGAGATCTTAGCCCCATTGTTAGATTTATGAAATATATGAATTTAAAATTAATCAGATAGAACAATATTTAATCATTATTATCATTTTTGAGACTGATTCTAAAGAGATTTTTTTTAATTAAATATTATTTGTATTTAGTATTTAATTATAAATATTTTAATTTGTGAAATGGCAAAGGATAAAATACTTTCTGCTAAACTTAAGTAATAGGAATTTAAAACCAAATCGACTCAATTGAAGACTTAAAAAATAGCTTAATTGCTTGAGCCATAGTTTTAGTAGAGTGTGGAAATAGATGATGAGAGACCATTATTAAAAATTTCTAATTTCAAGGAGTATTTACCAGAAGAGAATGTGCAAAATGTAGAACTTATATTCATTAAACAAGATTATCAATTTAAAATTAAAACAAGGGCCTTATAAACTCTCAGTGACACCCTAAACAACTTATTTGGCAGGAGAATCTGGTCACATAGCTGCTTTTAATTGGAGACACAAATAATTGGAATGTGAATTCGATGTTAAAGAGAAATGCTATGATATTATTTCCATAGCCCAAAGAAATTTTGCAGTAGCTCAAAAAAGTAGCATCTACATTTACGATCCCAAAGGAGTTGAAGTTCATAAAATTCGTGAATGCAAATAAGCAACCAAATTAGAATATTTGCCCTATCACTTTTTATTGGCTGCTCTCAATTAGAATGGTTAATTGACCTATTAGGATATAACATAAGGGAAAATAATATCAAGTAACATATTGTATGATTATAGCATATAGAACCACCCCATCATCTTTATGTTTAAAATAAAACAATAACAATGCAATATTAGGAATCGGAGATCAAATGGGAGTTGTAAGGATGTATGCTCCTAATACTGGAACTTCACTTACATCCATGTTGTGTCATAAAGGAGGAGTGATGTCTATGACTTTCTCACGAGATGGCAATCACTTAATTACAACTGGATCAGAAGGAACAATTAAGGTCTGGGATCTTAGAACTTAAAAATTGTAGTCTCAAGTTGCTGTCAATGCTACTAATTTGGCATTAAGTGATAAAGGAATTTTAGCTGCAGGGCGAGGAACAGATGTTGTTATGTGGAAAAACTGTTTGATCGGAGACTTAAAAACACCTTATTTGAGATATAAAGCATCTTCAATGATTTGTGATATTGACTTCATCAAACATGAAGATTATTTGGCAATGAGCACTTTTGATAGTTATGAGCAAACAGTAGTACCTGAAAGTGGAGAACCATTTTTTGATACTTATGAGCAACCAGAATTGCAAAACAAAAAATAAAGGTTAGAGACTAATGTTAGATAATTGGTTGAGAAAGTAAACAAATAAATCAATCAATTTTATAGTTACCTCCAGAGTCGATATCGCTTTAATCCCATAGGATTGGAACCATAGATAGAACTTCAAAGATGATAATCGAAAAAGAGTAAAAAAGACAAATAGAGGAATAGGCATCCAAGAAAATCAAGAAACAAAAGAAAAAAATGAGAGGAAGGTATAAAATTAATATGAACGTTTTAGAAATAAAATTGGAAAGAGAGAGAAACTCAAGGAATTAGAGAGAGATCAGAAATAATAGGTTAAATGGTAAGAAATGTTGTCGGATGCTTTAAGAGTTAAGAGAGCGGAGAAGGAAAAGAAAAAGTTCGAAACTAAGTTGTTGGACAGATTAGAATAGATGTCTAGCAAAGAATTTATTAGAGTAGTTTCATGAATTTGTATAATAGAAAACTAAATATATTTAATTATTAAAATATCCTAATTATTTCATTATAATAGATGATAGCATTTTAATTAAAAGATGTGGATAAAGGTTTGATCCCTGACAGAGTGATCTCAGAAATAATCAGTAGATAGCCTAAGGAGTCAGTTGAAAAAGCTAAATACTTTGCTTAACTATTCGATCAGGCTACACAAATTCTGACAGATGAAGGAAATGATGAATTTGTAAAAATTGAAAAAGCTATTATTAATAATGATTTAAGAAATTAAGTTTGGGAGATTAATTTCAAAGGAGAAGAAAACACAGAGTATTAAGATAAAAAAATTCAAGGTATTGTACATCTTCAATGTTTAAGGTTATTTGATTCTACCAAATGATTATCCTACAGCTGCTCCAAAATTCTATTTTTGGTTTTTCAAAGATAATTCTAAAATTATTCATGAAAATATCTACGGAGGTTCCAATTATAAATATTTTTAGATGGATTACTTTGTATGCCCATGGTGACAAATAACTGGAAAGGCAACGAGGGATTAACTTAAGTGATGATGACTATAAGAGACATTTTCAATCATCCAAATGATAAAGATCCAGCCAACCCTATTTTCACGAAGGCCCCTAATGTTGAAAAAACTAGAAGAAGAAAGGCATAAGCAGAATTATTGGAAGACTGGGAATGATCCAATTATTTTAAATATAAGCATTGATATACATTATGATATATCTCTATAATTTTTAACTTTATTTAGATTATCTCAACAATATAGTCAAGGAAATAGAGATTAAATTTATTCTATTAATGATTTATTTAAAAGAATTGTGATTAAGGTTAATGAGAGCGAAGAAACACTTAGTCTTGATTCCTTATGCATTTAAAATTACTACGAGTTGAGTCTAATAAAAAAAATCACATTTAAAGAGAATGAGAATTGATTAATTATTTAAATCATAAAATATGTAATAAATTTAGGAGGAGTTTGCCAATCTCAAGTTAGATTCAAATATCACAGGCTTTATCTATTGTGAGGACTTTGATAAACACTTTTCCAATAAAAAACATTACGAGAATCCAAAACGAACTTAATCCATAGATTAAACCATTTAAAATTATTTATATTAACATGATGCAAAAAGACAGGTCGAATAATTGTCGTAGTTTAATTAATGGTATTAAAATTTGGTTATTCTTAAGCGAAATCCAGTATTTGAGATTAGTTTATGATTAAGCTTATATAGATTTTGTAGAGGGATTATTTGAGGAGGTAGGAGATTAAAAGAATCAGAAGGAATTCGTTCACTTGAATGATACTTATTTGTGCAAAACATCAGCTTTCACTGCTAGAAAATGTGTCTAAGCAGTCTTAGAGGGAGCTGATAGGATATTAACAAAAGAATGGAGGAATGCATTTTGCAGTGTTAGACCTCCTGGTCATCATAGTGGACATAAAGCATAACCAACTGGTTTTTGCATTTACAATAATGTTGCCATTGCTGCAAAATACGCAAGATTAAAACATAAAGTAAATAAAATTTTAATCTTTGATTGGGATGTACATCATTGTGATGGAACAGAGTCTGTATTTTATGAAGATCCAAACACATTAGTGATTTCAATTCATAGATATGATGAAGGCTAATTCTATCCCAGAAGTGGGGATCCTGAAAAAATAGGAGGAAAAAATGCAGAATTTAAAAATGTCAATGTTGGATGGAATGTAACTGATGGACCTGCTCCAGGATATGATGACTATGTCTATGCATTTGATAGATTACTTGGTCCTATCATCAAGGAATTTGCACCAGATTTCATTATCATAAGTGCTGGTTATGATTCAGCCAAAGGAGATCCTCTTGGCTGTATTGATAATACTCCCTAAGGCTATTAATACATTACTGAAAAGCTATCTTAAATTTGCCCTAAAGTTTTGGCTGTTTTGGAAGGAGGATACAACCTAGATGTCACTGCTGATTGTGCTTTGGCTACTCTTTAATAATTGATGAGGGTACCCTAAGAGTTTCCAGCCACTATTTAACCAACTAAATGCGGAGTTAATGCAGTGACAACCACAGTTGATAAACATAAGGAATTTTGGACTTGTCTTACTTCAAATGATTTGATGGAATATTAAAAAAAGTATATAGGATAAACAGCTGATTTAATTTCAGGAGGACATTTACAATCATTTCAAATTAAAGATGATGTCATTATCAAGACCACAAAAAAGGGAGAATTCTAATTCTATTCAACACTTAATGATTAAAAAAATCCATTCTATGAAGAAAATCAAAGACTTATTCGCTTCATGCCTAAATTGATTTCTCTTGATTAATAATCCTGTTCGATAACCATGGTATTTTTATGTTAGTATTCAATGATAGGAAAATTTAACTTATGGCCTAGAGAATGGATCTATAATTGACTTAAAGATGGGCTACAAGACATATAATCCAAATGGTTCAGCATTAAAAAAAGAAAAAGAAATTAAGAAGGCTAAATCATGCGATCAGATAATTATGGGTTTCAGAATTGCTGGAGTTAAAATAAGAGATTAGATTGGAGCACTAACTGTCAACAAGAATGGATCTGATGCTTATAAATGGATACGAAATGATAAATAAATGAAAGACATTATTGAGTAGGTATTCTTATCTAATTATGTTGAAAAACCTAATAAAGAGGCACTACAAGGTTGTATTAAGTTTATCTAAGAGTTAATCGAAGCACTTCAGACCAGCAAGAGGTAAAGTATTAAAATAATTATAGAGTTTTTCGAAATACTTCTATTCTTATCATTGTGGATAACATGGCCAAAAAGTTTAGAATCAAATGGATTGATTTCAATTACGTGATGAAGTTATCAGATGATTGTGAAAATCCTGATGCAAAAGTTGATAACAATATATTAGGAGGACTCAAATATTTATTATCCATGTTAAGATAGATAGATTTGAAATGATCCCATTAATATATAGTGAAAGAGAAAGCTATTAAGAGACTTTCTTAATTTATTGATATTTATCTAAGGTTGTTGAAATTTCTTTTTTACCTTCTGATTCTAAATGGATGGTGAATATTTACAATAGTTTGAATATGATTATTTATTAATTAATGGAGCATCATTCGTAATGATTTCTTTAATTAATTTCAATCCTGCAGACAAGAATTCCATTATTGATAGTCCTAGGTCAATTCAGGTTATTAGACAAAGAGGAATAGTTCTAAATGAGTTATTTTGCATCAATAAAGAGTAACTCTAAGCAATGGCAAAAAAGGAGAAATCATTAACAAATGAGAATTTAGATGATTTTCATAAACACTTTGAATATAGAAGACAATAAAAAGTCTACGCACTTATAAAAGACAGAGAAGCCTTAATTGAAAAAGAAAAAAGAGGTAAGATTGAATAAAGTGCTTGCAGTTTGAAACTCCTTAGACCAACAAGTAGTACAACAACTTCAAAATTTATGGATCAAGTTCAAAAGAGAAAATAAATGGAGGAACTAAGACAAAGGCATTTATAAGAGATGATGTTAAAGCGAGAAGAATAGACCTAAGTAAGGGAGTAGAAGATGTAATTATATGAAGAAAAGAGAAAAAGGATGCAGGAGGAAAGATAACAAGAATTTTAAGAGAAATAAGATAATATTGCCAAATAAAAAAGATAAAAAGAATTAGAAGAATAAAAAAAAAATAAATAATTGCAATAAGTCTATTTTGAAAGAGAATAAGAACGTAAAATGTAATTAGAATTTGAAGAATAATAAAGAAAGGAAGAAGCAGCCCTTAGAGACTAATAACAGAGAGAGCTAAAATAATAATTAGAAAAAGAGAAAAAAATCAAAGATAAACAGAAGGAATAAGAATATTTGATTAGAAAATAGGAAGAAGAAGACTAAGAACTTAAAAGATAAATGTTCTTCAAATAGTAATAAGAATCAAAAAAGGAGGTTGCTTAAAAGAGAGCTTTATCTGCCAAAGAAAGGTAAAGAGATGCTTAAAAGAGTTAAATTGAAGGTTTGAAGAAATTAAGAGAGGATTTTTAAAAAAAAGAAGAGAAAATTGCAGAGAAGTAATACAAATTTTAAGAGTTATAAAAAGAAAGGTAATTATCCATTGAAGAGAAAAACAGAATGAAAAATGAAAAAATTAAATATACATCTAAACTAAAAGAGCATGAACAAGAAGAAGTAAGGAGAGAATTTATGGAAAAGGAGATGGATATTTAACTAAGATTATAATAGAGAAGCCAATCAAAGTCTAAGGAATAATATATGTAAGAAGAAGCAGATAGGAGAGCCAAACATAGAGAAAAAGTTAAGAAAATGAATATGTTATAACTAGAGGAGAAAAGAAAGGTATATTTACAAAAAATTTAAGAATAAGATGAAAAGGTATTATATATTAATAAATAATAGATTGAAAAAGTAAAAAATGAATAAGAAATCATGTTCTAAGAATAAGCATATATGAAGTTAAAGAAAAAATTAGATTAACAAGAGGCTATCAAACATTAAAAGTAGTTAGAAGAATACAAAAGAGAGCAAATTAGAGAAAAATTAAAGTAAGTAGATATGAGAATGGATTAAAAGAAGGATGAACAAAGAGAATTAGATAGATTAAGAGAACAAGCAAACAGAGTCGAGATGATGGGGAAAAAATAATGATTTTATATTTAACTTTCATTATCGATAATATTTTCTCTCTCTATAATTTATTATTGCACTTATCTTTAAAAGTATTTGTAATAAAACTATATCAACTACAGGTTAAGTAATTTAGGAGTATTGCACAATCAGTTGATTTTTATTAATATATTAAGATGGCTTTATTAGAGTTATTAAATTAAATGTAAAGGATTTGGTTACTAACTTAGAACAAGATCTTATTTATTTTTTTTAAAAGATCAATATGTATATTCTAAATATTTCCTATTCATAACGAAAATTGATTTGGAAATAATAATGATTTTTCTTAATGTATATTTTTGATATTATTATTTGGACCATAAAATAATAAGATATATGCATATTATTTATTTCATCCTTCTACCTTAGCCATCATTTCAAGAACTTACTCTATGAGTACTTAGAATTCGTCAATTGATAATTTTCCATCTCCGTTATCATCCAATTCTTTCAAAACTTCATCAATTTCTTCACTTGTGGGTGGCTTTGATATTGTTAAATTATCATACTTCAACTCCTAAATCAGCTGCTACATTGTTCATAACTTCTTCCAATTCTGGTCTTTCAAGATAACCGCTTCCTATTAGTTTTGATGCAGATCATAGTTACCATCTTTATCCACTTATTTGAATGCACTTTCAGCCACAAATCGAACCTTTTTCTTATCCTTTAATATATCCTTTACTGATCCATTGTTCATTTTTATATATTAATATATTAATTAATTAGTAAATACTCGTTTCAGAGGCATAAAACAATTAAGAAATCCCATATTTAGTAATTTACCATGTTTCCAAATCGCTATTCTTAAAGAACTTAAGTTAAATTAAAAATAAATGATAGAACTAGAATATAAATGAATGATTTTAAGTATATAAATTATTTAATCATTTAAAAGTAAGAGATTTTGGATAAATTAGAGCTTTCCTTCTTTCAAATTTTCTAAATGGACCTAAAAATAAGTTGAATGATTACTTATTATTTTGTTATCACTTTTTTCATCATCAGAATCTTTAATTTTTCTATTTTGATAACTTTCAGCTCTTTGTTTCAGTAAATCTCTTTTAAAAAGATTAATAAAGTCAAGAGGGAACAGTAAATATTTGCTAAGTCTTTTTATAATATCTAAATATAGTCTTGAATGTTCATATTTGCAATTTAATTATTCAATAACATTACTAATATTCCAAAACCTGTCAAATTTTCTGAATTTCTTAACGATCTCAAAATTTACTATTTCTAAATCAGCTTAACTCTAGTTTTCAAGAGTTTTGTATAAGATGAATAATTCTATTTATTATTTTTAAGGGTATTTTTGGATATTGATCATTTTTAATTGAAGGTCCTTTAAAATATCTGGTTCTTTGATAAATGGCGAGATATCTTGATTATTACGAAAAGTTAATGAGAGATTATTGCAGAATTTATCATAAGTTCTACCTTAGCTAGTTTTTATAGTTTCAAGTAAATAATTTTATTTTTATGGCCGATAAACTTCATTATCCTTTGGAGACTCAAATATTTTTTGGCTAGAGTTTAAGGGCTTAATTAATGCTTCATAGGTGAGTTCTGGGAAATATTGTTCAATTTCCTTTTCAAATTCCTATTAGATTAATTTGCAAGATGTTTCTAGACTCTCTAATTCAGTCATGATTCGAAATTTTTATAATCTATTTGATCTTTTAACTTTAAATCTGGGTTGATTATCAACCAGTAAATAGGTTTTAATTGATTTCTCTTTGTCAGCCACATAATGTACTAATTTGCATGATTCGAAAGAATGCTTTGTGCTTTTGCATATATAGCAATAATGAAATTTAGTTATCTATTTCTTGATCTAAATCTTTTCAAAATCACTCTTGCTTTTTTTAATGGCATTGGTTAAAATTTAATAAGGGATACATAAAACACTTGTATATGTAGTTGTTTAATAAGTAATATCAAGATTATATTGATTATTAATATATTCTTAAAATCCAAATTGATCAAAGTCCTTTAAGTCAGAAATTTTGGTCTATATAAAAATAGCATAATACTTTATTTTATAGTACTTCTATATTCCCTCTCTCAATCACAAATACACCATTGTTAGAGGGAGTAATTTAAATGATTGTTCCTGGTTAGAAGGAGGTAAATTGAACTCTTTAAATGATGTATTAAATGGTAGATTTTGCAAAATGTTACTTAAAAAATGAGCACTTATTGACAAGTTATCTAGCCTATTCTAATTTGAGCTAATATTATAATTCGTCAGGCAACTCCTTAATTAATAATTGCTATTCATTTTTCTTTTATATTATATCTTATTCCCAATAGAAAGTGCAGAACTCTCGAATCCTAAAATATATTGCAAGTCTACTTATACTGCAATTACTAGCTTATATTCTTATCCTTTAAAAATTCATTCATGCATGTCATCTTCTATCTGAATATCTCATTCTTCTCTTTTAGTAACGTAAGAATGGCTCCTATGGTATTTACTGAATAAGATAATTATAAAGTAGAGAGAAACATATAGCAAATACAAAACACTTTCTCTAATGAATTTTAGGGATTAATATCACCATATCCAACAGTAAACATTGTTACACTCATAAAATAGAATGCTTCCAAATATTGAACATCCCAATTTTCAAGGTAAACCTTATAAATCCAAGTTTAGTGATGTTGTGATATTTAATTAATCCCAATGATCAACCTAATAACATTATTATCTATACCATACACATGAACATAAATGTTATATTAGCAAGATTAAACCTACTAATTTTATCAGGTCTATCACAGATGACATTTCCTTATTTGGCTTATAATAATATTAGATATTGTTCATAAATTTGACTACATTCTTGATTTGAATCAAAAATAATATTAAGAGTAATTTAATCCAACCATTTTGATCCAAAATTGAGGAATTAAATGCAGGATCACTAAAAATTATTGACAAATATATTCCAATAACAATGCTACAAACTTCAAACAAGTTGCTCAACTTTATCTGTCTTTTAATTAAAAGATAGCGGTTATCAACAGGATATCCTTTATCATATACAATAGTAATACACCTTAGAAATAGATCCATCAAAAGTAGAACACTTGAAAATAGAATCATTATTCGGTTTTTAAATTCCAATTGCTGATTTTAAAATACCATAATAATTGGAATCGAAATAATCAAATAGATTCTGATTACATTCAATAAAATATCCCAAATAAAAAGCTTCTGACTCTCAGGTTCAATTAATGGTATTTATTAATACTGATAGTGAAAATATTCAAATAATCTTTTTTTAAACTTTCTTAATTATAAACGCCATCTAAATTAAAAATCAATAGCTCTTAAATTTTGTTAAACAAAATGTTTAGTAGTTTATTTTTTAGTTTATAAGTTATTATTAAAAAACGATGCCTTATCATTAATCATATTAAATTATTCAATAGAAAACTTCGAGCATGGTTTTATGAGTGAAATCAGTCTATTGGCAAATTTCATAGAATGGCAATATATTAGCAATTTGGAAAATTGTTTTTATCTAGCTATTGTAGTAATCATTTAATTCTTATCTGTTAGATTCTAAGACGACAATGAGTCCTTTCTTTTTTGAAATGACTCTTAAGCAAATGAACTATCGAATTTCAACAAAGTTTATTTATTTGATGAACTTATTAATTGTTCAGCTTGAGGACTTCTTATGATTGAATGATCAAGACTTCTTTCTATTTCTAGTCCATTCTCTTAGATAATTAACTCACATTTATTATTCATATTGTTAAATTAATAATAAATTCAAATATGTATTTGGATGACATATGTCTATTTTTTTATCGTTCACATTTCAGATCGAATGCAATATGTGTCTTTTTGTTTTGAAGCAATGCACTTTATGTTCGATACTCAATAAAATTGCAAATAATTTAGAATAATTCTAAATTTTAGAATTATTATTTATTTCAAGAGTTTATTAATGTAGGATCATTTTCTTCTAAGAGTGATGAATTTAGAATAAGCATTGAAATAGGAATTGGATTCAACTTTTTGGATTTGGGGTTTATTGATATTCTTATGTTTGATGGGCTAAGTGCTTTGCGTTTTCATGCTTGCTTAACCAGCCACACCAAAGGAAGATTCTGATTATCACGTTTAGGAAGAAACTCCATAAATAGATCATGAAAATTAACCTGAATAAGAGAAGCTTTTGCAGACTAATGAATAATACGAATAATGAAAAACGATAATTATAAATAATTGATTGCCATTATAAGCATAATTTTGTTATTTCCCCTAAACCAATATCATCAAAAACCCAAATAGATTTATATGAATTCAACAAAGAGGGTCAATTAAAATATGACCATAAAATAATAAGACTTTGATTGAGAGATTAAAGCAGTTATTATATTAATATTAAATCTTTGACTTGGATGTGAAATGTAAAAAAATCTATTTTCAATTTAATTATATATATATATTAAAATGGATCAAAAGAAAGGCAGATAAGGTAAGAAGAAATAGAGTCCTGAGATGAAGGAGGAAGTCTAAGAGAAGGAAGTTGTTAAATCGAAGGGAAAATAATAGAAGGGTGCCAAGAATGCAGGAGATAATGAAGTTAAAAAAGCAGAATAGAAAATAGAGAAATAACAAGTAGTAAAAGGAGAGGATAAAAAAGCAAAATAAGTGCAACAAGTAGATTCAAAATTTGAATTGGGAGATGGGAGATTTAGTACTCCAACTGTAAAACTTGCTAGTTGGAATGTTAATGGAATCAGAGCAGCTACGAAACGAGAATAGGCTGTTAAATATTTACAGGATACAAAGGTTAATTTATTAATTATAAACTTAAGTTTGATGTCATTTGTTTGAATGAACTTAAAGCTGATTAGGCTGTATTTGACAAAGAAAACTTAGGCGCTTAATTTGGAAAACATTATTTTCTTTATCTTAATTTCTGTAAGAGTAAGGCTGGATACAGTGGAGTTGCTATCGCTTCGAAGTACTTACCAAACTAATTAATAGAGTGAAACCCATATCTGTAAAGTGCGATATTGGTATTAGTAAACATGATCAAGAAGGAAGGACACTCACAGCTGAATACGAAAGGTTTTATTTAGTGGCATGTTATGTTCCAAATGCAGGTTAGAAATTGGAAAGGCTTGACTATAGAACCAATGAGTGGGATGTCGATTTCCAAAACTATCTTGAAGATTTGAGGAAGAAAAAACCAACTATTTTATGTGGCGATCTTAATGTATCTCATCATGAAATAGATCTGGCTAATCCAGCTGGCAACAAAAAGACTGCTGGGTATCATAATTATATAGATGTTAGATTTACACAATAAGAAAGAGATCAGTTTACAAATTATTTGCAAAAAGGGTGGGTCGACTCATTCAGACATTTGCACCCAAAAGAAGTCAAATATAGTTATTTTAGTGCTAGAAACAATAGCAGGTTTAAGTAATTATTAATTTTAGATAAGAGAACAAGGGATGGAGATTGGATTATTTTATAATCAACAAAGAGGCTACTGATGCCATCATTATGTCTGATATCAATACAGGTGTTGAGGGCAGTGATCACGTTCCAATTGAATGTGAAGTTGATCTTAGAAAATTATGATAGAAATATTTACAATATATATAACAATATTCAAAAACAGACCTACCATAATCTATTGTGTTTATCTTCAATTTATGATATTTGTGTTTGTACGTAATTTCAAGTCATTGCAGGTATGTTATATAGAATTAGAGATTAAATTAATATATTAATCTTGCATTGCCTATTATTATTAATAAAATTTAGTGTATGTACATTGAAAAAAAAAGTAATTATTTCTCAATATCGATAGAATAGACATACACTAAATTCATAAATAAAAACTAATGGGAAGATGCTCTTGCATCGGATAAAAATCAGGCTGAAAAATTGGAAGATTTTTTTCTGAGGTATCATAAAGGACCCTAGGAATTAAAAATGGCTATAGATAATGTAACTCTTAAATATTTTCCCACTCTATTATAATGTTGCCTTGAAAGTTTAGTATTTTTATCAAAACCCAACAATCCAAAGTATAGTTATTATATAGATCAAATTTTGGGGTCAACAACCTTCGAAAATTTATTCTCTAAAGAGCTTCAAATTATGAACACAAAACCCAATTAGGAGGATTAAAAATTTATTAATTATTTCCTAAAGGTTGTTCGCAATTCATTAGAATTATAATTGCAATAACTACCAAAATATGTAAAAATTTTAAAAGAAACAGTTTCTAACTTAGAGAAAAGAAACTCAAAATTCAATGAAGTGCTTAAGGATATTTAAAATTTATATGATCAATTAACTAATCCTCAATAATCATCATCATCTAATTATTAACAAAAACCCTAAAGTGTTGTCAATTAAGGAACGAATTAGCAATAAACTGAGTATCGACCTAGAAACTTTTAACAGGAATTTTTAACAGACCCCCGCAATTATAATTTAAATCTCCCTCAAGCCCAGAGTTATTAAAATAATCAACCTTATGTATAATAATAATAATTTGTTTAAATACAACCGACAACCAATAATACATAAGCAAATTTATACTAACCAAGACAAAATTTCCCCAACAATAATCAAAAAATAGAACCAGATTAATTCTAATAACCTTTTTATGGAAATATAATCTAAAACTCTAGGATTAATGATAATAATATTAATTCTTCAGGATTTCAAACCTTACAATTAAATTCATAATCATAGGCACCGTAGAATCATTGTCCACCAATACAAATAAGTAGATAATAATATTATCAACAGAATCAATAAGTACCTTAATAATCAGAACAAAGTTCATAAATAACTTACTAATCATTTCAAAACTAATAAACACAATAAAATCAATATCCTCCACCATAACAACAAATTTCGAAGAATCAGAATACGCCTTAATAATCAGACTAATACTATTATAAATAGCAAAATCAACCTGAGTACTTGGATTACTACTAATAAAAATAAAAGAAGTAGCAGGAATAGCTATGGGTAGAAAAGCCTTAGGTTTCATAGTCGAAAAGTGAAATCTCAAGATATTAAGGTAACTAAAACAGATATTAACAATAATACAGAGAATATAATGATCCACAGTATGAACAAAATGATGTTCAACTATATGAAGTTAAATAGTCTAATGCGCCGCAGTATGAAGCCAAACAATAGAATGTATCACAATATGAAGGCAAACAATATAATGCTCTACTATATGAAGCGAAACAATAGAATGTATCACAATATGAAGCGAAACAATATAATGAACAATAATATGAAGTCAAATAATAGAATGTATCACAATATGAAGCCAAATAATATAATGGACCATAATATGAAGTCAAATAATAGAATGTATCACAATATGAGGCCAAACAATATAATCCATAACAGTATGATGATAGAAAATATAATGCTCGGCAGTATGAAGTTAAATAACGCGATGGCTCACTTTATGAAGTTAAACAGTCCACATAATATTCAAAAAGTTAAAGCAGTTCACAATAGGAATATAGAAGTAGTAAGTAAGGATATCAAAATAAATCAGTTAATTTTGAGTATTATAAATATGATATCGAATATTTTAACCAGATGAAGAATTTTTATTAATAGAAATAATCTAGATAAGGATAAAACAGAACTAATTAAACAGAGTAGGTTTATGTAAGTTACAAAGATTGCTCTATAGAACCTATAATTGTAGAATTTGAAGTTGTTCCAAATANTCTAATTATTAACAAAAACCCTAAAGTGTTGTCAATTAAGGAACGAATTAGCAATAAACTGAGTATCGACCTAGAAACTTTTAACAGGAATTTTTAACAGACCCCCGCAATTATAATTTAAATCTCCCTCAAGCCCAGAGTTATTAAAATAATCAACCTTATGTATAATAATAATAATTTGTTTAAATACAACCGACAACCAATAATACATAAGCAAATTTATACTAACCAAGACAAAATTTCCCCAACAATAATCAAAAAATAGAACCAGATTAATTCTAATAACCTTTTTATGGAAATATAATCTAAAACTCTAGGATTAATGATAATAATATTAATTCTTCAGGATTTCAAACCTTACAATTAAATTCATAATCATAGGCACCGTAGAATCATTGTCCACCAATACAAATAAGTAGATAATAATATTATCAACAGAATCAATAAGTACCTTAATAATCAGAACAAAGTTCATAAATAACTTACTAATCATTTCAAAACTAATAAACACAATAAAATCAATATCCTCCACCATAACAACAAATTTCGAAGAATCAGAATACGCCTTAATAATCAGACTAATACTATTATAAATAGCAAAATCAACCTGAGTACTTGGATTACTACTAATAAAAATAAAAGAAGTAGCAGGAATAGCTATGGGTAGAAAAGCCTTAGGTTTCATAGTCGAAAAGTGAAATCTCAAGATATTAAGGTAACTAAAACAGATATTAACAATAATACAGAGAATATAATGATCCACAGTATGAACAAAATGATGTTCAACTATATGAAGTTAAATAGTCTAATGCGCCGCAGTATGAAGCCAAACAATAGAATGTATCACAATATGAAGGCAAACAATATAATGCTCTACTATATGAAGCGAAACAATAGAATGTATCACAATATGAAGCGAAACAATATAATGAACAATAATATGAAGTCAAATAATAGAATGTATCACAATATGAAGCCAAATAATATAATGGACCATAATATGAAGTCAAATAATAGAATGTATCACAATATGAGGCCAAACAATATAATCCATAACAGTATGATGATAGAAAATATAATGCTCGGCAGTATGAAGTTAAATAACGCGATGGCTCACTTTATGAAGTTAAACAGTCCACATAATATTCAAAAAGTTAAAGCAGTTCACAATAGGAATATAGAAGTAGTAAGTAAGGATATCAAAATAAATCAGTTAATTTTGAGTATTATAAATATGATATCGAATATTTTAACCAGATGAAGAATTTTTATTAATAGAAATAATCTAGATAAGGATAAAACAGAACTAATTAAACAGAGTAGGTTTATGTAAGTTACAAAGATTGCTCTATAGAACCTATAATTGTAGAATTTGAAGTTGTTCCAAATAAAAATTTTGTATATGGTGGATGTATTTTTGAAATTCCTATTGGATAGCCATTCAAAAGTAAAGAGTTGTTTTTGAATAACCACTTTTTTATTCTAAGAGAGGATTACTTAAAGGGTTTTAGAAATGTAGTTGCTAGATTAAAAGAAAATCATTTTGAGGAATTAAGTTATTAGGTATTGTAGAATGCATTCTTATATTACAATGTTCTTATTGAAAATATTACTGTCACTAATCGAGGACTTCAATTTGCTGTTACTATGAATGCTTATGATCCAAAGAATAATAGTATAAATTGGGTTAAAACAACTAGACTTATGTCAGGTTCCTTAATCTTATTAGTAATTTCTATTATAATAATAAGTCAACCACGAAACTTGAGTTTATGTTATTCGGAACTGTAGTTGAAAAACCCTAAGCAGATAGAAATGGTAGAGTTATTATTCTTCTTACATTGATCGGTCTTTCTATTAAGGAATAATTAAAATTTGTGAATAGTCTGTTAAGTCAAGGTAATATTAATTAAATATTCAAGAACAAAATTTGATAGCAATCGAGAACAAAACATATTTCGAAACATATACTCACTTTTTAAACTGCTTGTAAATGATTGAGCCATCTAGATTTCCCTTCGCTGAGTAAATAGTGTTTGGTTCAAAAGTTATGCCTAGGCCAGGATATTTAGATAATCAGCAAGTTAAAAATGAAGGTATTTTTTATGATATTGATCTCAAATTTGACTTGCATCAATAAAAGCGAATTGGATAAATGCAGAGAATAAATATATTGAGAGAATGGCCTAATGTGAATACTGAGAGTTTGGATGAATCTTAATTGTAAGCTATAAAAACAATATTGAAAAATGGTATCTCATTGATTTAGGGGCCACCAGGCACAGGGAAAACATTCTGTGGAGCCTTGGGTGTCAGAATATTATTGGAGAATCAGTATAAGTGGAATTAAAGCTATCATTAGCAGAATAAACCAATTTTGATTGTGTGTTAAACAAATCATGCTTTAGATTAATTCTTGTCACACATTCTTACATTTTGCAGAATGGAAGACATTGTTAGAATAGGAGGTCGATGTAAGGTGAAGGAATTTGAACCTATGCTTTTGACAAGCAATTAGCAAGAAAGAAAAATTCATTTTAATTGGCGTGAGTTTTTAGATTTAAGATAGGATTTGGATAGAAAGCTGAGAAACTTATTAAATTTGACAGATAATGTGAATTATATAGATTTTGAATAATATATGCCTGATTTGCTGGACAGAGTAGTTAGCCAATACTTAGAAATTGAGGATCTTAATTTTGATAAGCCTGTATCTTCAGATTCAAGAAAATTAATTATGCATATGTGGTTGGATAATTTTAAACCTCAAGTAGAATAAGCTAATAAAATCATTGGTATTGAAGAGTAATGTTTCAATTACTTGTTAAAAAAATAAGCTAATAAAAAAAAATTTAAACCAATTCTTGTTTACAAATATAGTGATTTGGATCACCAATTTAAATTAAGTGATGAAGCTTAATAATAATTAGATCAGGATTCAGATGAAGAGTTTTTAGATGAAAATTAAAATATTGATTCTGATGAAGAGGAAAATAGAAAGGTATTAACTACTTCAGAATAATCAGGGAAGGATGAATTTGTAAGAAAGCTTATTTAAGATTCAAGAACAATGAAAAGGTTGGTAAATCGATTAAGCCATGAGAATGAAGTTAGCTTTAATGTTATTTTGAAGGAAATTAATGAAAAACAGAATTATTAGATATGGGAAATGTCATAAACCAAAAGGAATGTGATCACAAGATATATATTTAGTTAGAAATTTTAATATTTATTTCAAATATTGTAAAATGAAGTCGATAAATATGAAAATTACGTTAATTAACTAAAATAAGCTTATATTGACAGGGATATGAAATTCATACAAACTAAGAGAATAGTAGGAGTAACTTTGTCAGGGTGCGCAAAATATGCGGAAAAATTATAAAATTTAAAGTTTAATATCCTCATAGTTGAAGAGGCAGGTGAAGTATTGGAATCTAATTTAGTTGCTGTTTTGTCATAACAAATAAATCATTTAATTTTAATTGGAGATCATTAGTAATTGAAACCGCATCTGGAATGCTATGATTTGGAAGTGAAATTTAGAGCAAATATTTCTTTGTTTGAAAGATTAATAAAAAATGGATTAGAGTATGCCACATTAAAATATTAGAGGAGGATGAAATCCAAATTTGCTGACTTTATTCGTCTTATCTACACAGATTATAAGGATCACAGTTCTATAGAAGAATAAAACAAAATTCACATTGAAGGATTTAACTCTGATTTGCTCTTTTTTGATCATAGAAAAAGGGAGGATATAAAATTATACTCAAGTTCTAAATAAAATTCATTTGAGGCTAGGATGATTGTAAAAATGGTTGATTATTTATTGAAAAATGGGCATAACAGTTCAAAAATAACGATCTTAACTACTTATGTGAGATAGGCATTATACATATAAAAAGAATGTGGAAATAGAAATATTAAAGTGCAATCAATTGATAATTATTAAGGAGAGGAAAATGATATAATATTGATATCTTTGGTTAGATCAAATGATGATTATAAATTGGGTTTTGTTGCGATAGATAATCGTGTTTGTGTAGCATTATCTCGAGCAAGATTGGGACTGTATGTATTTGGCGATTTCGATTTTATTGAAGAGTGCATAAAAGATCACCTCAAGAAGGACCCTCTAAAAAGAACCCCAGATGTTACAGACTTGTGGTTAAGAATAATAAAATTAGCAGAGCAAAAAGAAGTAATTAAGAATTATATTGAGTTGAGATGTTCCTCCCATAATTAAATCACTAAGATATATGATGTAAAAGATTGGGATCAAGTGAAAGGAGGAGGTTGTTAAAATATATGTGGGGTAGAATTCCCATGTGGCCATACTTGTCAATTAAGATGTCATAAATCTGATCATAATCAAAATGATTGCCCAGAATTGTGTGAAAAGAATTTAACATGTGGTCATTAATGTCTTGGAAGGTGTAAGTAGTATCCTTGTCCTCCTTGCAGGACGATGATTTAAATACAGATTTAACAATGTGGTCACACTACCTCAATATAATGTTGTGATTAACATAAAAAGATTTAATGCAGAGAACGGTGCAACAAGATTTTAAAGTGTGGCCATCAATGTTCTCTTCAGTGCATAGATGACTGCAAATATAACAAATGTTGTGAATAAATTTAATATACTTTGCCTTTATGCAAGCATGTCATGTCTATTAGATGTGATGATCAAAATTACTTAGAAAAATTGGTATGTCAACGCGATTGCAAAACCTAATTGATATGTGGTCATTAGTGTAGTGGAAGTTGTGGAGTATGTTTTGAAAAATTCCATTATCCATGCTAAAAGACTTGTGATAAGATATTGTTATGTGGCCATAAATGCAAACAACTATGTTCTATGGAGTGTTATAAGTGTGAAGATAATTGCCAAGTAGAATGTAATTGTAACATTCAATGTAAAAAGAAATGTAATCAAATATGTAATCCATGCAATAAGGATTGCAAATTAAGTTGCCAACACACTGAATGCACAAAAAAATGCCATGAGATTTGTGATAGGAAACCTTGCAATCAAAAATGTGATAAGAAACTAAAATGTGGTTGTGATTGCATGGGATTTTGTGGAGAAGTTTGTCCTGAGATTTGTTAGAACTAAGATCACGATACTTAATTTGCTGATAAAGATACTATTTATTATTAATTGGAGTGTTATTAATGCAATTTTATTGGTGAGGCAGAATTTTTAGACCAATATTTTGATAGTTAACAATCAAATTTAATTCACTGTCCAAAATGCAATTAGATTATTTGGAGAAGTAGAAGATATTAAAGTCAAGTCAAAAACTCATTAATTTAGTTTAATACTGAAAAAGAGTAGGTATTACTTAAATAATAAATTACTTATGATAAAATCAATTAAGCCATCAAACTGACTGAAGATAAAATTGACTTTATAAAAAAAATCAATAGGAAGGATAATTATAGCTTTTTAGATAATATCATGTAGGACTTAAAAAGAGAAATGCTATTATATAATACAAGGAAACCTCAATGGATGCCATATCACTATTTCAAGTGTGTCAAAAAACAACTACGATATTATGAAAAGACTGTTGAATTGATGAGTTGTTTAAATGATAATCAACTTTTCAATATCCATAAAATCAATTTGATCAACCAATATTTAATGAATGAAGAATTTAGAAATTCTTATTCAAAAAGTTTTTGGTGGAAAGTCACCTATAAAATGGAGAACCTTCTGTTATATTAAAAAATTATTGCTCATTATTAAAAGACTTAAAATTAAGAATTCCAAAATATATCTTATGTAATTGAAGATTCAAATTTCTATTTAGATGATGGAAAAAAATAATCATTTGAGAAAATATTAAATGAATCGATCGGTGCTTAATAATGAAAATCATGTAGGTTTTTTAAACAAGTATTAATTTCATTTAAAAAAATAACTATAAACATCATTTCCAAATGATAATGGTTTTGCCATTAATTTTCCCATTAAACCCTTAGCCTTTTTTGGTTTGTGTTACTTTTTTTCTTTCCTTTTAATGAATCCAATATCTAAAAGCACCTATACTAATCTCTACTGTTTCCTACATTTTTGCATTTCTCGATAGAAATTATTTATCAATCCCCTCTTGATGAACTCAGTTATTTTTTAAAAGTCGTTTTATTTCAATAAATAATTCTCAAAATACTTCAGCATTGATAGTATTATCTTGGTTATTATGTCTTCCCCTTCTATAAAAAACATCGCCAATATGACCAAAGAGAATTATATCGGAGCATGTTGCATACACAGAGTCAAATAAAATGAATTTACACACATGCTCATATCCTCAATTCCAAGTCTAAGGAAATGATGATATAATTCAGGCATTCTTTTCCTAAATTTGAAGTTGAATTTTGCTACCAATAGGAATAACCCAGGTGTATCATTAATATAGCATTATCTCCACTCCCTATCCATTATTATGGTTCTTAGAATTTCAAAAATGGCTTCGTCATTATTGAAGTCCAAATACATTAGGGCTGCAACAATGAAATTCATTCCCTAACCATATGATACCTCGGAATCCAAATTACTGTAAGCCACCAGTATGTCCTAAAGTCTTTAAAGAACTTCTTCTTTCTAAAAATAAATTGAACTCTTAAAAGTTCTATTAACGTCCTTACTGATACATTCATAATTCTTTTCTTTCACTTAATCTTTAAGTTAGGCAAATTAACACGACATTTAGCATTGCATTGTTATGAAATCAAAAACCTGCTTCACTGTTAAAGATCTTGTAGTGAATATTGATAATAGTAGGTTTTTATTTGAATCGTAGGTTCCAGTTTTTAAAAGAGTTTACCACTCTGAATGTGATAGTACCTACACATCTATGTTATGATATTTCAACTCTAGATTCAATTATTCATAATAATCATCTTCCCATACATAATTTGGAATAGGTTTTAAAATAGCTAATTCATCCTCAACAGTTATCTCGTGAGAACTTTTTTCATCAAATAGCGTGTAGGCACACCGATTGCTTTTTCTGAATGGATTAAAGTATTATTAAATCATATTGGTTAAGTATTATATAGAATAAACTTAATATTATGATTTCATAAATATGCATTTAGCAGCTAACTCATCTAAACAAATTTAAGAATTTATCAAAATTTAAGTAAATATTATATTTAAATCAAAATGGAATGACGAAAAATATATGTTGAATTTTAAAGTCATTGCTTAATAATCTTTCATCTAAAATCAAAATTTTCAAATTACAAAACAGGATATCCCAAGTTCATAAATTAATGAATATGGAAATCTTTCTTTTAGAATTTATATATTAAGTTCCAATATTAAATATTTGCTGATTAATTATATTATGTAATAAAAATATCTGAATTATATATTAATAATTTAAAAATACAAATTTTATAATAAGATTGCATTTATTTATGTGTTTTTTCAAAATGATTATAAAATTCAATTGTTTATAATTCTTTTCTTTGTTGTAGTGTTGTAGTGTTGTTAGAATTGGATTATTGAAATCCTAACTTATTTTTGAATTTAGTATTATTTGAAATAGAATAGTTAAACATATAGTATAATCCATTTTGCTTATTGGAAAATTTTATTACAGAATATCCTTGAGATTCATATTTTGAAAAGAACTAATATAGGGAGAGTCAAGTAAGTGCTAATTTGGTTTTTGTGAACAATATTAAACTATATAACAATAAATTGTATAAAATAACTAGAATTTGTCCATAATTGATCTGATAAACTTAGAGAATGCGGAAATGAATAAAAAGTGAGTTTTAAAATGTCCTATTAAGTTTTGATTAATTCATATTAATATGTAATATATTCTTAATGCACCAATCAAATCTTAGTATAATATTTTAAGTATGCAAAATATTAAGTGACATTTTTAATAATAAAAATGGCAAGAACTAAATAGACTGCAAGAAAGAGTACTGCTGGTAATAAGAAACCAACTAAACATTTGGCCACTAAGGCTGCCAGAAAGACTGCCCCAGCTGTTGGAGCAGCAGGAGGATTGAAGAAACCACACAAATTTAGACCAGGAACAGTGGCCTTGAGAGAAATCCGTAAATATTAGAAATCAACTGAATTGTTGATTAGAAAACTACCCTTCCAAAGATTAGTTAGAGAGATTGCTCATGAGTTCTAGAAAGAACTAAGATTCTAAAGTTCAGCAGTATTGGCACTTTAAGAAGCAGCTGAAGCCTACTTAGTAGGATTATTTGAAGACACAAATTTGTGCGCAATCCATGCTAGAAGAGTCACAATAATGTCCAGAGACATCCAGTTAGCTAGAAGAATAAGAGGCGAGAGATTTTGATATTCTTACAAAATTTAACGAAAAATTTATTATATATAATTAATAAAGTTCTCCAACATATATTAAAATGAGTTTATTATAGAAATATAATGAGGTGTAGAAATATTGAGAGTGAGTAGTTCAATTACAATTTAAGAGAAAATCAGTGAGTGATATTAGTAAAGTGAAAATATTATCATCAAACAAGGTGTAAAAATTTGAGAACTGTATTTTTGGAGAGTTTTGAACATTTAAGACTTAAAATAGAAGTCTATATTTGTATAATTTAATACGACATAAGAAAATCAATTCAAAGCTTTTTTGCCAACTATAATATAATCGTCATAAAGTTTTTTCTTAACATAAGGATTTTTGACTTTAGGTTTCACATGAGGTTTAAGAATAGGAGGTAATCTAGGGTTCAAGCTTCCATCTCTCACTTTCTCATTCTCATCATCAGATTAATTCAATTTGCCTTCCAACTTCACTTCCAACTTTATCGTGCCGGGATAGATACCCTTATTTACTCTCTTGTTTGGTTTCACGATGGTGAGGACCTTACCAAATTGAGTACTATCACTTGACTGAGACATTGGAGCATCCCAAAATTCTTCAAAGAACTCATGTCTGAGTGCTTCTTCTGCACTGATTCTCTTAATTGGATCCAGTTACAACAATTTATAAAGTAAGTCTATGCAATCAGGTCCGGCATGTGGAGATACTAATCTTTCCAATCCGATTCCTTTTTAGGGTTTAAAATTAAATTCCATGTGAGAGGCTTAAGATTTGAATCTGTTCAATAGTTCATGTTCAGGAGTACCTAAGATTTTGAAGATTTTGTTAATTTGATCCAATTCATTTTCACCTTGGAATAGAGGTTACAATGCAATAATTTCAAACATTACACACCCAACTCCCCATAGATCCATTTTTTGGTCATAATAACCATCAGTCATCAGACATTCAGGTGCTCTGTACCATCTTGTGCTGATGTATTCAGTATATGGATGAGTCGAATGTATGCCTTTACAGCTTCCCAAGTCTGCTACTTTAACATTATCATTTTTTATCAGAATGTTTTCAGGTTTAATATCTCTATGAAAGAAATTGCGTTTGTGCATATAATCCAAGGCTTTTAATACTTAATGCATGTATTTTTTGACTTTGGCCATACTCATATATGAATTTCTATTCTTAATGCAGTCATAAAGATTCATCTCCATTAATTCACATACCAAAGCCAATCTTCCGCTTGGTTCATCATAGAGAACCTCATGCAATTTCACTATATTTGGATGTTACTGCAATTAATGTAAGGCTTGGATTTCTTTTAGGTTCTTCACTTAATCCTAAAGATATTTAAAGATCATATTACCACACTATCAAATCTATTCTTCATGCATTTAATAGCAACTACTTACCCAGTTATCATTGATTTGGCTTTCAAAACTTCTGAGAAAGTTCCTTCTCCTATTTTGACTAGAATGTAATATTGGTTCATCTTCTTCAATAAAAAAATAAATTTGATTTTTTTTACTAATAAAAATAATTATGGGGCTCATTGAGAAAATCAAGGAAATTGAGGAAGAAATGGCCAGAACTCAGAAGAATAAGGCAACTGAGTACCATATGGGTCAATTGAAGGCTAAATTGGCCAAATATCGTACTCAATTATTGGAGCCACCTAAATCTGGTCCAAAGGGCGAAGGATTTGAAGTTTAAAAGTTTGGTAATGCAAGAGTTTGTATGATTGGATTCCCATCTGTTGGAAAGGTAAGAGCATCATCTCTATCTCCAAGTCCACCATTCTTTCAACTTTAACAAAAACCTAATCCTTAGTGGCTGCTTACGAGTTTACTACATTAACATGCATTCCTGGAGTAATTGACTATAAAGATGCTAAAATCTAATTGCTCGATCTTCCAGGAATTATTGAGGGAGCCTCTGAAGGCAGGGGAAGAGGAAGACAAGTCATTGCAGTTGCTAAAGCTTGTGATCTGGTTCTCATGGTTTTGGAAGCCGATAAAGCAGAGGATCAGAGAAGGAAACTCACTTTGGAACTCGACAAAATGGGTATTAGACTGAATAGAAAGAAACCCGATGTGACAATTACACCAAATAAATCAGGAATGTATCATATATCATTATCACTTTTAGGGTTCGAATTACATCGACTATTAAATTGACCAAAGTAGATGAAAAATTAATCAAGAACATTATGTAAGAATATAAAATCCATAATGTTGATATACTGATAAGAGAGGATATCACAGTAGATGATTTGATTGATATTATTGAAGGGAATAGAAAATATGTCAAGTGTCTATATGTTTTCAATAAAATTGATAAGATATCCATTGAAGAGGTGGATGAAATTGCCAGAAGAAAGGATCATTGTGTGATATCATGCAATTTGAAACTCAATTTGGATTATTTGTTAGAGTGCATGTGGGACAAACTTGATTTAGTCAGAGTCTATACAAAAAAGAGAGGAAACTAGCCAGATTTTTCTGATCCCATAGTTCTCAGTAATGAACGTAATGGTTTGATGGTTAGAAGTGTTTGTGCGCAGATTCATAGAGAGTTGGTTGATGAATTCAAGTTTGCTATTGTTTGGGGGAGAAGTTGCAAGTAAGATCTTTGATTTATGCAGGTTTAACCCTTAGAAGGTTGGATTGAACCATGTATTAGCTGATGAGGATGTTCTCTAAATTTACAAGTCCAAAACCAAGGCTTAATTAGCCAAGTAAAACAAATAAATCAAGGGAACTAAACATGATAGGAAGAAAGAGGAGAAAGGAGAGAAAAGTTAAAAAAAATGAATGGACTAATTGGTTATAAATATATATATCTATAATTAACATAAATTTTATCTCAAGAGATAATTAGGATTTTCTCTAATTAAATTATCTAAATTTACTTACATAAAATAGATAATTACGTTTCTTGAGGATTCCCATTATAAAATTACTGTTTTCTTACCTTCTTGATATCAATAAATCAAACTAGTATGAATTATTATATTTGACTTTTTTACAATAAAAAATTCTTAATCTTAATTATTTTTGTAATGTCTATAAATATAATCAAATCTCATAAAATTGAAGTACCCAGGCCAAGAATAACACAAAATTATAGCAGGAATCATCTGACAACAACGAAAATATTTCGATGTATCACACAATTGTGTATTTTAATAGCAAAAAGTTTGGATGGGTTTATTAGACTTTTATAATAAGCATGCTATCAAAAATCAGAGTAGTGCATAGATACTAACTAAGTAGTTTCAACTACAAGATAACTGAATACATAAAGGACTTTGATGGAATTCGGATTCCTAAATGGAAGAAGCTCTCCTATAAAAAAGAATAAATAGCCTTAGAAGAGTAGATAAAAAAATTATAAATTTCCGGAGTTATAGTATAAAATAAGGAGATTAAGTTGTGGATGTAGTGAATGTGGGATGGCGGGACGTAAAATTAGGAAATTTCACGATATTCTGATTCCAAAAATTAAGGAAGTTTAAGATTAAGAAAGAGTAGGAAATGGGAATAAATTGAGGGGAATTTTTAGTCAAGTGACTAAGACCGCGAGGATGTGCATAAGTTTGAAAACATTGCAATCAGAACGAGAAAGGGAGGAGAAAGTAGAGTTTAGTCCTGAGGGGAAGGGAAGTGTTTTTGATTTTTAATGTAAGCAGGTGTCTCGAAAGATTATTTACTAAAACTAAATGAATCAACTACCATTAATAAAGAAGCCTCAGATGAAGGATTACATGAGGAAGATAAACAACCTAAACAACTTAATTGAATAGACTCAATTGATAACAACTCAGTCTTCCACTTTGATCAGGAACTCAGCACCAAATTTAGATGCATTCGAAAAGAGACAGATGGAGAGTCCGATGTCGAAAAGAGAACAATCAATGCATAGTTCTCGGTAGAAACAAAATATTTACTTATTAAAGACACCTCTGAATGGATTGAGTTTATCGAAGTTCAGCAGAGAGTTTAAAATAAAATAATGAAATATATTTAATTTTGGAATTATAGCAACAATATTGAATAACATCAGGAGAAATCGGAGTTCCTCTCTCAGTTTTCTCCATCTTTTAGATTTCTGAAGCCAAGTAAGTTGATTACATGAATGAAAGAAAGTGTGGTGACAAAGGTATAAGATGTGTAATAAGCAGCAATAAATCGGTAGAATTTCATAAAATTTTGGGAGTGTCATAGGCATTTTTGTCACTGATCATTGTGTTTCCAACTAAATTAGGCGGTTTATTCAGTTTGGGTTATGATGTGCATTTGGATGTGTAAATGGATCATTAAGTTTGTGGATTTCGTTGTTTATTATAAAAGGAGGGAAGAACTTTGTGAAGATGTATAATAATGGGGAGAAATTCATTTACATGATCATTTATGTGATTATGTTGATTGCAAACGCATATTTTAGTTTGATCTACAAGAATTAGAAATTGGTGCTTTTGTTTTTGTTAGGCTAGGTATTTGAGTACTTAAAGAAGTGAGATGATATCTTTATTGGTTGTTTGGGTGTTCATTTCCAGGGGGGATCACTGGCATGAAGTTTATTAGAAAATAAATACTTGGAGTAGATGATGTCTTTTTGTTTAAGGTGTTGAGAATGGAATTGAATTCTGCGAGAGGAATAATGTGAAATTGCAGTACGAAAATGATGGATTGATATATTTTAATAATGTTTTCACCATGATATGGGATTGTATGGAGATTCCTCTATAACATAATTCATCATCACAACTCCGGGGACTCCCATCATTCTCTGGATTTCGAGTTCGTGATTCATCATCATTACGTCCATTGGAGGTGTGTGGTAGTGAAATTGCATGAATGAATATTCATCTAGGCTAAGATCCTATTTCTCTACTCATATCAATTGCAGCAATACCAATTTATTGGCGTCCTCTCAGTTGGGATTGGGCAAAACATATAGATGCTAAAATCAGTATGATAAACACCTGTCTCATCTTTGCTATTTTCCCCTTGTTATTATTAATTATTCACTCATAAATCCGTTTTAATTTTTATATACTCCAATAATGTCTTTACAATAGAATTGCGATGGCCTCGCCAAATACTGTTTGGGATGGTTCTTTGCTCCTTCATTTCACAGGTAAATTGAAATTTTATAATTTGACATAAAGTGATGATGCGAATGTAAAATACTATTAAATTCTTATATTTATTAATTTAATTATGCGTCCTCATTATGCTAGTAGTATTGCAAGTATACCACCCCCAAAATAATAATAGTATTTTGAAGGCAATCGAAAGGGAGAAGTGAACGAATTGAAAATGTACAATTATTCAATCCATATAGATTGGTTAAAAACACCCTCGGCGAAAAAGATGACAAAAAGAAGCGAGAAGTCGTCAAAAAGGTTATAGCCTATATGACCTCAGGTATTGTGATCTCACCATCTCATTAGGAATCGATGTCTCCAAAATCTTCCCTGAAATGTGCATGGCCTCTTACACTAATGACATGGTCCAAAAGAAGATGATCTACTTGTATCTCACTACTTACGCCGAACAAAACAAAGATTTGGCATTCATGGCAATAAGCACATTCTAAAAGGATTGCAAACACAGCGATCCCAAAATCAGAGGATTCGCACTCAGAAATCTATGCTCCTTGAGATTCAGTGGTGCCATCGAGTACTTGATGCCAGCAATCAGAGAGTCCCTGTCTGACATAGATCCCTACGTTAGAAAGACAGCCATCATGGGATGCGTCAAAGTTTACTATATGCAACCAGATTACCTCAGCAACATAGAAGAACAATTGTATAAGATGATAAGTGACAACGATCCCTTGGTCATTATCAACGCAATCCATGCACTCAATGAAATACTGGCAGAAGAGGGAGGAATGGCCCTGTCCAAAAAATTAGTAGATTACCTATTGGGTAGATTGAAAGAGTTCAACGAATGGGGATAGGCCACCATCTTGGATGAGTTGTCCAAATACTAACCCAAAGATGACAAAGAGATGTTCAACATTATGAATCTCCTGGAAGAGAGACTCAAACATTCCTGTTCTGCCATTGTCTTAGCAGTCATCAAAGTCTTTATGAATTTCACCAAAAACAAACCTCAAGTTTACGAGTAAGTTATCACTAGAGTCAAAGCCCCTCTTGTTACTTTGGCATCTATTAGCGAGGGCAATCTAGAAATTATGTACACCATTCTGTGTCACATTAAATTCATCGCCTCCAAAGGATACAACTAAGTCTTTGCTTAAGATTATAAATGCTTCTATTGTAGAGTTGATGAACCCACCTACATCAAATTAATCAAACTTGAAATATTGGCTCTGATCGCCTGTGATTTCAACCTGGGAGACATGTTGAATGAATTAGGTGAATATGTCACTGATGTCGATTAGGAAATCTCCAAGAAATCCATACAAGCATTGGGTGCCATTGCCCTTAGATTACCTGATCTAGCTAATGCCATAGTTAAACAATTGTCCACATTCATTACCTTACAAGACTACATCACAAATGAAGTCATAATAGTATTTAAGGATATTCTCAGAAAAGATCCCAAACACATCAAGGATTGTCTGGAGATTATTTAATCAGACAGTGTCACAGATCAAAACTCAAAAATAGCACTAATCTACATCTTAGGACAATTTGGATCCCAGATTCCACTGGCTCCCTACATTCTACAAACATTCATTGGAGCAGCAGAATCAGTCGAACTTAAACATGCCTTATTGACTGCCTGTCTGAAAGTCTTCTTTTGCAGAGCACCAGAAATGCAGGAAATCTTAGGGAAACTATTTTAAAGCATCATGAACAATGAGAATGAAGACATTGATTTACAAGATCGTACTGCCTTCTATTATAGAGCATTGCAAAACAATCCAATGGAACTTAAGAAATTGTGGCAATATGGAATTAAAGTGGATAAATTCTTGGAGGAATAAAATATCAACAAGGAAGCCTTGCTGTTTGAGTTTAATTCTCTTTCTGTCGTCTATGAGAAGAGTGTCAGCAAATTTATTAAACCAGCTGAGTATTTTAATAATCTTAGGAACAAAGAATTGCAAGATCAAATTCAAGAATTATAGCAAACTACTGAGAAACCAGATCCAGTTCAAGATGGATTTGACAATGATCAAGATTTAACTGTTACAAACCCACCAATTCAAAAAAATGCTCCAAATTTACTTGAAATTACTGAATAACCCAAGCAATAATTAGTTGTTGATAACTTTGTCCTTGATTATAGAATTGATGTTGAATATTTTGAAAGCATGTGGACGAGCTTAAATAATGGGTATCCTTATATATTAATAATTATCTAGAGCTTCTATTACAAGAACACTTGCTAGAAATGATATTGCAAATGAAAATGCCATGGAGTAGCTATTTAATCGTTATAGACTGTATAATATTGCAGCTGGAGAAGAAGATAATGTACTTTAAATGTACTTTTATGGAGCACATAAATGTTAAGTATTTTTTGAATTCGAAATCAATAAAAATTTGAGCACTGTTATACTAAATACCAGATCAGAATTAGAAGATTATGCTTACTTAGGATAGAAGTACGTTGAAGATTTCCTTAAATAATCAAATTTAATTAGTTGATATTAATATTCAATTAACATTAATATTTAGTATACATTCTAACAATATTATTGTTCTCCTTACGTCTATTTCCCTTAAAAACATTGTAAATTCATTCTTATTCTGATTATATATCACTATAATAGTTATATTTAATTTTGCAATTACACTTCAAATTCTTCTACCATTATTTTTGAATATTAGAATATTAGTGAATATGATATATAATATTATTAATGTCTTAATATTCATATTCCTAATCCCTGAAGATTATGTTGATACCATACGTAATCATTGGAATATTATGGTAATATTCTATCCCTTATTAAAAGGTATCCATTGACTGTGATGATTGAGTAACATTACGATTCAATTTTGATTTCATAATTTCTTGTGATTCAAATAACAACAGCCTTCTTATTTTTGATAGGCCTCTATTATAAGTATTTGATTTGATTGAGAGTAGCAATACATCAATTTATGATATTTATTGGAAAGTGGCTCCAATGTTTTTTGTAACATATTGGTCGAAGGGTTCTGGAAACATAATTCTGCCTTTCCTTGTATTCTTCTACTGCATCAAACAAAATTACACATATTTTAGATTCTGGCCAGGTATTTATTTAGATCATAGAAATAATTAAGGTTTATAATATGAAGATTATAGAAATGTGGAAGTCAAAAAATAATTTCCAAATCCTTTTGTTTTCTGGCCAATTATTTATTTTGGCTTTGAAATTGTACCCTCGATAATGATCTTTTTCGGTCATTTGCCACTCTATTATGTGTTCACCTCATAAAACCCATGTTATTTTTTTTATAATTTTTCAATCATCTTTACAATTTCAGCAATTTCAATTGAATTAATAGGTAAATGAGAATATATTATTGTTAGCTGACTACCAGCTCTTTCCTTATAGGTCTAAATAGCTTAAGGGTGATTGTGATGTTGGACTATGGAGATATTCCAGACATCCAAATTATTTTGGAGAATGTATGTATTGGTGGGGACAATACTTATGTCAATTGTCATTTGGGTTTGAAAATGCTTGGACCATAGTGGGAGCTGGAGCAATTTAAGCATTATTTTCATTTTATTCGATACCAGATATGGAAAGTCATTTGTTAAAGAAGAGAAAGAGCTATTAAAATTATCAAAGGAAGGTTGTTAGTTCATTTGTGCCTTGGTTTAGAAAGGAGAATTGAGTATATAGATTATTAAAATATTATAATTTATTTAATTTTAAAGGGGAGGATGGTGGAATTATGGATTTCCTTTAGATTTGGATAAAATTGGGGATGTTTACAACTTTAAATGAAATTAAATTGAAAATAGAACATATAGATGAAGATTAATTAGGACATCAAACAATGAATGCAGATTTATGTAATTCAAATTTATTAATATACTTATTTTATAATAAGCTGATCATTTCTTCTTATTTCCTCCTTTAGCTTGAGCTTGAGCCTTTCCACCAGCGTTCTTTTTCAAAGATTTGAGTTGGGTGCTTAGGAGGGCACTTCTCTAATAAATGATTTATTGATAGCATTACTCTCTTTCTAAGAATCATGACTCTGAATCTGTCAAAATCGTTTAATTTAGCTCTGAGTGCTTTCTTAGCAACCTTCTTGGCAGCAATAGATTGAGCGTATTGTGCGAATGGATCAGATTTTTTAATTGCCTTGGTAAGGACACCAGATCTGGCTCCTCTTGTTGCACCTTTAAGATTGAATTTGGTAAGTGTCAATCTTCTGATTGGGATGACTTGTCTCTAAACTCCAGTGGTTGGTCCATCGATGAGGACTCTCTTATCATTGAGGATTTCAACAATTGTTGCCAATTTGCCTTCTTGAGGACCATAATTGATTTTGACAACTCTTCCAACTTCAACGAACTTTGCTAGTACCTAGAGAGAAAATGAATGCTATATATACCATCTTTAATAAAACAAATTTTTTTTATTATTTAAAAATCCTTTTAATCTTTTTAAAAAGAGAATGAATAAATATAAATTATATTATATATTTATATTTATTAATATTCATTCAACAACAAGTCTTGTCCTTTTTCTGTTATTGGTTCTATTAACTTTGAGCAGCATTTAATTGTACATTCGTACTTTATTTAAAATTCTTCTGTTGATTCACTAGTAATCCCTTGTCGATTATCTCCTAGATTAATTCGGTGAATAGTTGCTATAAGTCTATTTCACTTTGTTACCTTCAACCCTGTGCCCTCCTTTGCACTTGTTTGAATGCAGGAGAAAAATTTATTTGTTTTTGCAAAACCTTATAAAGTCTGATAAAAAGATGACTTCTCATCATCACTCGCTAAGTCACACTTATTCTGCACCAACATGATTGGAATATTGTTTTAATCACTATTCTCCTCAATAATACTTTTCCATTTCAAAGTTTCCTCCAAAGAATTCGGATCCTTGATGTCACAAACTATTAAACAACCTACCCCTCATTTATTTTAATACCCAACGCTCCCCTCACATACAATTTGCTCACAGCATTGTACTTCTCCTAACCAGCAATGTCCCACAATTATAATCGAACAGTCTGTCCATTTGTCTAAGTCACCTTAGTCGTAAAATCGCACCCTATCGTTGGAGGACTATTAGCTTCAAATCGCTCATAACAATATTAATTCAACAAGCAAGTCTTGCCAACCCCTTGCTCGCCCACCACAATGATCTTAATAAAAGGATCTGCTTCCATATAGAAAAAATTATAATTATTAATGGGAATTACGAAATCGCAACTATATATACTTACAGCCCATGAACTAACCCAATTTAACAAATAAATCAACCCAACTCTGCACTATTTATAATCTCTAAACTAAACATTTAAAAAATCACCGTTATCTCAACAAAGAAGAACGAAACACTACTAAATTTCAGAATTAGCAAATTTCTATTATTGTCTAATCGAAAATCAAAGGCAATTACAAAACCATCATACATTCTAACCTCAATAATGATTTGGTTCTGAAATTCAGAGAGTTTCCCTTTGATCATTAGATAATCTTAAGCTCTAATCGAGAAGCTTGTCTATTAAAGATAAAGAAACAGTTGTATGATATCGATTCCCATATATGAGATAATTGAGGAAGTGTGAAGAGAGAAAAAACCGAAAACCTTAGGATGATTAATAATTTTACTTATATTTTTCTAAATTTCATATATTTTAAAATGACTTAATCTTCATAAAAAGGTCATTTCAAATTGATTTTAATTATTATTTCACTTTATTAAGCATTTTATCAAAATTCCCCTCGTAATAAATGCATTATAATAACAATAGCAATTTTTTAATATAAATTCAACTTAATATCATGAATAGTTAAATGATGCTATGAAACACTTCAAATTTCATCGTGATTATCTAAAATTTAGAGTCAAGTCATTTGGAGATCTGTGTGTCATTATTAAGTAGGGAGAATCAGGGTTAAGGTGGTGAACATTTTTGATCATTTATTGGATTGATTGTCGAAAATGAATATATATAAATAAAATTATTTAATAGATATGTCTAGAGCAAATAAGTAAGCCGAGTAAGCACCTGCTTAAAATAATAAATAGAAAGGTGCACCAGCAGCTAAACCTTAAAAACCCAAGGAAAATTATTTGACTCCAGAGGAAATCAATGATTTGAGAGTAATAATATGGTAAAAGATTTTAAGGAAACCTTTGATTGGTTTGATGATGATAAGAGTGGCACAATAGATGCTCATGAAATAAAGAAGGTGCTTGAAGACTTAGGTGTTGATGCAAGAAATAAATTTGTGTATCAAATGGTGCAAGACTTGGAAAAGTAATTCATCATCATCATTTATCAATGCTAGTCATGGAGAGTCTATCAATTTCGATACTTTTGTCGATATCATTTCGAACAGATTGGGAAACAATAAAACAAGGGAAGGAGCATAAAAATTGTTTTAAATTTACGATCCTGAAGATACTGGGTTATTATTTTAATAATTAGATTAGATTCATTGATTTTACAAATTTGAAACGTGTTGCTAAAGAACTGGGAGAAACTTTAAATGATGATGAATTGCATGAAATGATCCATCATATTCATATCCTCAGGAAAACAGAGAGTCCTGAATAAATCTCATTTGAAGAGTTTTATGAGATCATCACAGCTCCAAGAAGATATTGATAAAAATAAATAACACATATATCTATAGATATCAGTTGAAATCAATCATCATATGGCACACATTTATCGAAAAATCTCGGAACGTACTTATTCAAAACTCCATTAAAACCCAAGGCACTTACACGATCTCTTACATAGTCTTCATACTCCTCTCTGTATTATTAAGGAGTTCTAGCCAAAACCCACATGAAAAGCATTTCAGGTTCACTCACAATCACCCATTAATATTTCTTATTAATAACTGGTCCTAATTCAATAATCCAATAGTCTCCTCCCCCGACTTGTCCTCCGTTCAGGAACACCTTCAATTTGGCCTTCTGGGTGAGATCTGGGATTCTGGCATACCCATCAATTGATTTTATTGGACCATCACCAGCCCCGTCTCTTTAGACATTATAGACACTTAGATCTCCACTAGCCAAGACACCATATCTGGCTCTATTACAAAATCCATTTTTCTCAAAGGTTGTATGAACCCAAGGACTGCTTGCTACTTCAAACCAATCACCCAAATAAGATTCTACATCGTAGTCGTCGACCACATCGATGGCTAAGCTTAATGAGAGGATGGCAAAAATAAGAACTATTTTTTACATTTATTATTGGATAGAATATTAGCAGAATAGAAGTTTTTAATTTAAAATTTAAAACAGGAACATTCTTAAACATAATATTTATAGAATTATTAATAATAGCATTTCAAAGTAAGAATTAATTAATGATGCGTTGTGCATAATAATAGTATTTAATTCTAGTTATTAAATTAGATAAGTAAAATAACATATAACTCGAAAAAAACTATTAATGAACAGTAATAATATATTTATCAATTTATATGTATGACCATATCTTATAATAAATCAACGAGCACCCTTTAAGACATTTAGTACTGCATCAACAATTTATTCAGTTTTTGGGAATGCCATAGCCTCTAAATTAAAAGCATATGGAGTTGGGATTTCCACACCAGTCACTCTTTAGATGGGTGCATCTAAATATTTGAATGCTCCTCCTTCCATAATGAGAGCAGTAATTTCAGCTGAAATGCCAGATTGTGGCCATCCCTCTTCCACACAAACCAAACGACCAGTCTTTTTGACACTTGAGAGTATTGTTTCTCTGTCCAATGGTCTCAAACTTCTTAAATTAACAACTTCACAATTGATTCCTTCCCTAAACAATTGCTCAGCAGCTTTGAGAGAGTATTAAACCATTTTTGAAAATGCGACTATTGTGACATGCTCTCCTTGTCTCATGATCTTAGCCTTTCCTATGGGTGCTAAATAGTTGGGATCTCTGGCTTCAGCTGAGAGTTCGAAGGATTCACTGTACAGGATTTCATTTTCCAAGAATACCACAGGGTTAGGATTTCTTACAGCTGCCTTGAGAAGTGATTTAGCATCGTCACAATCGTAGGGAGATAACACAACCAACCCAGGCACATTACTGTACCAGGAAGCAAAACATTAAGAATGTTAGGCTGCAACATAAGCCGTAGCACTAAAGGCTTATAAATCTTTGATCTTACCCATTGATTCCTCGAAAGACAATAGATGCCTTCTAATCACCCGCACTCATGTAATGTGCCTTAGCTGCAGAGTTTATTATATGATCAATAGCTTGCATTGCGAAATTCCAAGTCATAAACTCAACTATTGGTTTCAATCCATAGAGGGCTGCTCCCACTGCAATACCTGTGAATCCTGCCTCAGTAATTGGAGTGTCGATAACTCGGTCGCCTCCATATTTTTAGAACAACCCCTTCGATACTTTGTAGGCTCCTTGATATTGACCCACTTCCTCTCCTGATTTATATTAATATTAAATCATATACCAAGTAAAAACACATTTGGATCATGGGCCAATTCTTCATCCATAGCAAGGTTTATTGCCTCCCTGACTGTCATTTGGATTGGAGTGTATTAGGATGAAGGGTGGACATGAGTAAATTTAATACTTGGTTGATATGCATAGCGCAATTTCAATAAATGTTTATACATTAAATTTTATGTATTTTTTAATATGCATCACTACAGTTTTAGCAAACTATAATACCTAATATGTTACTGATTAATTAAAAATAGAGCATAATAATCTTGATGCCTAAAAGACTTATTTAATTTAGATGATCATTACATAATTTCCAGTAGACAATTATTGCTTACCTCTGATGCAAATATATATTGGTGCCCAAAACTATTTTGATTCACAATCATACTCTATCAGATCCAACGTCTAATCTGTCTCCGTCAAATAGACCAAAAATCTCACCATAGAGATAACTTGCCCTGTTTTGGATCCTTTTATTAACATTAAAGATATCAACAAAACAATGCATTTTAATTTAACCATAAATGAAGCAGTAATTTTTTATTTCATAACTTATTCAATAGGTATTAAAATAATAGAAATCTTGTCCCTTCCCTTACTATGGATTGGATTGTTTACTCCAATTGCAAAAAATAGAAACTGATTATTCGATCACTTTTCATGTACTCAATAATTCTTGGTTCTATGCTTACGTGATACTGGACAATCAAGATTATGATGTACATACTTACCTAACATTTAGATCACAATTTAAAACCAAGAGGCCTTATTTGGCATATCCTCTATCCCAGCAGACAAACTAGACATTACAATCTTGCCAACATTCTTTACTAATTTTGAAATTTTGGAATAGACTTCAGATGAGAAATCGATTAGTTTGACAAGAGAAACAGATATCTCAGATTACATCTTCATTTTTGGATTATTTAATTTTAATTCAACTCACATCTAAGAAATCTAAATTTCATTTGTGTACATAATTGTTTATAATTTTAGATCTTTAGATGATACTAATAACTTCCCTTATTGGGCAACGATACTTCTGTCCTCTATCTTTCTATTTGGCATCCTTGTGGCCCTCCTCATATTTATAAGTTATAAAAGATAATATAGATAATTAACATAAATTCAACCTGCACTAGATAGAAAGATTTTTAAAAAATATATGCCAACACAAAAGATTAATTCAAAATTGGTACAAGAAACATGTGCAGTTTGTTTGATATAATTTGAAATGAAGGAGAAATATAGATAGACACCATGCAAACATAATTTCCATGATTAATGCTTATCGGATTGGTATTTAATGCACTCTAGTTAGGACTATTAAACAAGCAAATTGCCCAGTTTGTAGGCAGAGTTTACAGGAAGAGGATATATAAAAATTATTATAATGCAAGACTTAGTTACCTCAGTTAAATTTAGAAATTAATGAAAAGGTAGAATTAAAAGAAGGAGAGGAATAGCAAAGTGATAGAGGAGCTCTGTATATTCCTTTTTATCCAACTCCATATAGAACGACATGTAGGATTGACTTAGATAATTCTCCTTAGGGGGACCACTCACCTCAGACTGTTCAATTTGATGGAACTCCGAATCATTAGAGTTAAAGAGATCTTTGCAAACAAAAAGATCGAATTGTTGAATCATAATTATGATAAATATACTTATATATTAATAAATTTAGTTTCTTTGAGATTGAAGCAACTTAAGAGGATATTTAAATTTTTATTATAATTAGATGCCAAATATAAATTATTTTTATAACAAATTAGATTATGCTCCTTGAGATATTGGTAGACAGAGTGATGAAAGTTAGACTTCTTTGATTGTTTGTATAATTTTATATAAAAATTTATATTATCTTTCTTAAATCTTGCGTCATAATCGATCTTAATACCTCATTCTTAATCACTCACATTTGGCTCTAAGAAGCTAAAAAATAATAATATAATGAGCTTGTTAATTAACGAGGAAAGATTGATGGATTCACCAAAAAGGACCGAAAGCACTGATATATAATCAGACAGTTAAAAAGTTAAAAAGGAATTTAACACTTTTTTCTTAGGCGTCCAATAAACTTCTAAAGTAACATAATATGAGCATACCTTAGGTTACAAGAAAGTACATTGATACTAGAACACATGGAATTCAATTATATTATCAAGAATTCACTCCCTAATTTCTTGATGCCCAAGTCATTATCGTACATGGATTTGGAGAGCATTCTGGAAATTACAAACAAGTAATACTAAATATTAATCATTTTCAGTTGACAGATTGTTTCTTACTCAATAATTTTAAAGTCCATCTTTATGATTAAAGAGGATTCGGACTTTCAGGTGGAATCAGAAGTAAAGCCACAATAGAAGAGATGCACATGGATCTGGAGACTGTATTAGATTAAATTGACAAATCAGTGCCATTGTTCATATTTTGTCATGCACTGGGGGCAGCTATTGTAATCAGTTTTTGCTTGATGAATCCACAATTTGATATACAAGGACTTATTTGCAGTAGTGCTCAATTTAGAGTGCCACCAAGGTATGGAAGAATGAAAATGATCACATTACAGATGATGGCTAAAATATGTCCAGATTTATAGGTTAATACGTATCATAATTTATCTTTTGCATCCAAAAATAATCATCACATAAGAAAATTGGCAACAGATCGATTGATACATCCCTATATGAGTATCCAATTTGCATAGAATGTGTTGTTATTCTAATAATACATATTACCTAATGCCAATTAATTTAAAATACCAATCTTGATATTGCATGGCAAACAAGATAAGATTGCCTCACATCTGGATTCAGTTGACTTCTATATGTAAATTCAATCCAAAGAAAAAACAATCAAAATATTTGAATAAGGTTTTCATGAAATGCATAATGATTCTGAATGGCCTAAGATGAAGACCATTATTACTTAATGGTGCTAAAAAATGATAACCAAAGATCTTAAAATGAACTACTTAAAAGAGTATAATCATGGAGTTGTTGTACAATAACACAGATCCAAAATCAGACTATTGATTTCTGTTCTCTTAATAGTGATAAGAAGGTATGAAATTTATTTAACATTTTTAGAAAACTTTCTTGCTTAAACGTCAGTACGAAGGTTAGTATACTTATATTTATGGAACTGTTACTCAGATTGTTCACATCTCATTGATTTTGATTATTATGTTTATACTAATTAATACATATCTATAAGATATTCATTTGATTGTTTAGTATTGTTATACTTATTATATTCACAAATAAAACTATATATTAAGACTAAGAGAGAAGCATCAGAATTAAATCAAGCTTTTTTATTGCATGATTTTATTATAAATTTAATTCATTTATTTTATAATTGGTAATATATATTTAGCAAAATTATAGATCCATAAATTAATAATAGAACTGTGGTTCATTAAAATCTCAACTTTTAACATGTAATTTAATTTCAAAACTAATCAACTTTGGCTTAAGCTTATTACAATAATTGAACACTCAAGCAGTAGCCATATTTTTTACAAATAAACTTATTTTTTTATTTTACTCCATTCTTTTCATTAGATATGTCATTTGAGAAATGATAATCTTATTTGAGGGACTAAATATATTTTTATTTTCAAGCTTAATAAATAATAATAAAAATTTAGAATAGAATAGAGTGTGATATTTAGTTATCAATGTTATTTATTATCAAAGAAAAATGTTAGAAAATATATGTGATCAGAAAATTGTTAAAAGTGTTAAATTTATATGCTATTTCTGGATTATTTTGATTTTTATAATATAATAAATATTCAATTTATTGTGATGGGTTGTAATATACCAAAACCAAAACAGAAAGACTTGAAGCTTTATGATCCTAAATTGTAACAAATAGTCACAGTTCCAGTTTTATTTGAAGCAAAAAACAATCCAATTGTCAAACGAAGATTACATGATTAATCATTTTCACCTGAACAAAAAATTAGCAGCGGAATTCATTTATGATAGTCATCTAAACTTTATAATCAATATATTTAATCTTGTATTTACAAATATTTATTCAAAACCTATCAAATCATTCATGTTTATAAATCTAACTCTTTATTACATTTCATAAAATTTATTTGGAATTATGATTTATAATTATTTAACTAATTAGTGTCATATTGATAAATTAAGAAAGTATTTTTAAACAGTTTTATTTTTGTTGTTACTATAACCTTTTCAAATATTTTATGAAAAATTCATGATAGATAACTTTTTCAAAATATGGGAGACTTAAATCTTTAAAATAAAAATTGTCTTTAGAAACCTTATACATATTTTTGATATATATTATATAATTTTATATGGGGATTAACTTTCCAATTCTAATAATATGTAAAACATCACTTTTTCTTAAACATTATTTTAATTATTTCCTAATTTAACCCATCAACCTTTTCCTAATAATATGCCTTTATAATAGCAAGTGTAATGCCCTTTAAAGATTGTTAGTTTTAAATTGTTTATTCAACACCTTCACTGTCATTGAGATATTATCTAACCTTATTAAAGATGCATTTAAAATCTACCTTATGCCATTCTTCTCTGTCTCCTTTATAAAATTCTGTGATGTTCTAAATATAGTGGGTAATTTTATAAAGAATAAGTTTTTCTAACTATTCAACCCAATCTAACGTTTATTTAGAGTAGGATAAAGTTATTTGACTGTCTGATCTAAGACGCTACTTTGGAAATGTCAATAGGAAAATAAAGTCATTAATGTTTTATAAACGCTAATGTGAGTTCAAAATCTCATATTCTTTTAATATGATAAAAATGTCGTCTAAATCATCCCATTATGTTAAAATTTTATAAGTTGCCTACAATTATAATAATACAAAAAGGTCCTTAAGATTAGCAACAGTTTCAAGTTTATAATTACCCTTGGCTACCCAATTGATTATGTTATTTCTTAAGATATCATAATTTTCTCCTTTTTACGATATTTCATTTGATTTTTTAAAAATATCAACTAGATTTTAGAATTTATCAACTATATTATAGTTTAACTTTAATTACTAGGAAGGTTTCAAATATTTTTTTATGATATTTTAGGCTTCATTAATTTGATTACATTTTTCTAATGATTCATATACTTCTTTTATTAGTTAAATATCTGACTCTTAGAATAATTCCAAAAAACTAAAAATTATACCTTTTAATGATCCAATATCAGATTTAGTATTGCTTTGTTTATCGAAATCGATTGAAGAAAATATGACATCAAAAGTTGCATTAGGACTTGATTTAATCTTAATCCATATTTCTTCGGAATTGAAATTAACTTAATGCTGTTCATATTTATTTTAGAATTCTGCTAAAATTGAGTATATTATCGCAAATGCATAATCTACTTAAAAACATTAAACATTATTTAACTAAAAAAAATGATAAATAAAAATACTTTAAAATTCATGAGATCGTAAAGGGTGACGAACTGATCTCCTTGAAAAGTAAACTTTACTATTAATTGATTATCTAATCTCTCCAAATTGGTATATTATTTGACTTTTAACTAATCCAAAAAACCTAGGATATCTGTATCAGTCAAATAGTTATTTTGGACAGGTTTATAAATTGTTTATGGGTAATTGAAGTTTATCATCAACCTTATTTATAAAAAAATTTATATAAAAAAAAATTAAGGATAATCTATAAAGACAGCACAACTTTTTCATATTGATAAACTAAAGTAGAATGCAAAAAAATAGGAAGAATTATTTGTTGTACGAATGATTGCATTTTCTCGAAGTAAATATGAAAATCAAATACATAATTAAATTCTATTACCTAATTATTTTTTAATGCTTCCAATTATTGCTATGTTTAACAGTTTAAAATTTATATTATTAATCAAGAGAGTAAATTAATACTAATCAAAACCAGGATTAATAGGTGTAAATTGAGATAATTGACAAAATTTACGAGATTAAAGTTCCCTAAAATATTAATAACAAGCCTCCTTTCAATTCTTCTTAAGATAACATATAATTAGATGATCATATTTCCTATTATAGGAAATGAGTATGGGAAAATAGATACTCTATTAATTGCTGATTTATTAATAAATTGATTCTCAATAAATATTATTAAATTATCATTAGAATAAGGTTAGTTCTTTCGAATAATCATAATTTAGTTTAAACTTCATCTAGGATTCCATTAAATTTATTACAAAATTTTCTCTATACAAAATTAAATTTTTTTAACATTTTTCTATAGGTCTGTCTTTCTGTCAAGCATAAATCATTTATTGATTTGACAAAATCTTTATGGGAAATACTTCTTCTGCTTATATCAAGTCCATCATGAGACTTTACATTTAATTTTTCCATGTTTAAAACTGATACTTTATGATTCTATTCTTTGAAGAATTTTTGATCATGTTAGACTTATTTTTTGTAGATCAATTATCTCTAAATTCTTTCAGTGAGTACCGATTTTGCAAATTCTATAGGTTCCTTAAGTTTTAATTTCTCTTTAAATGTAAGTTCCTACCTCAAAGTTTTAATTATTTAACAATGTTCTGGTGTTAAATTTGTTGAAAATTTATGATCAATAATTTATGAAAATGATTCTCTATTTGAATGCACAATTTAATCGTGGAGTGAATTTCGAATTTAATTCATTTATTCTGAATCAAAGATCTTTAATTTTTACTTAAGGGCAACTTACTTTTAAAATGCATTATCTATTTATTTTAAGATTTTTTCATCACTATTTTTTCTCGTCTTTAATTTAACATACTAGGGCTTATGAGCTGGATTTGTGATGTATTCTCTATCTGCATTTTACTTACCAAAAATCTTTACTAGATTTGGGTCTGTTTGCTTTGGAGAAAGCTTTTCCTCTAATCCACTCAAATTATATGTTACTTGACAAATAATCCTTAAACATCATCATAGTTTGTATAAATCTTGGGCTCATACGAATATTCTCCTCCTTCATGAAAATGAGTAGTTTTAATTTTATAATGCAAAAAAAATTGTTTTTCTTGAATAACCATATTCGTTATTAAGTATTAATGTAAATAGGTTTACTGATATATTTTATGATTGTAAATTGCAATTTAAATAGTAAAGAATTGGTTAACCAAATAACATTGCCACTATCCCATAAAAGATAAAATATGATTTCCTTTGTTTTCAAACAACTAAATTATTATTATATTAATCAATGGCTTTAGATGCGACTAACAATTAAAAGTTAATATAAAAATATTATATGAAATCTTTGAAACTAAATTAATAATTTTAGTATTATGGATATACTATTAAATCAATGTTTACAAAAAAAACTATTGTATAGAATGCAATAATATAATGTATCTCAAATAAATTTAATAAAGATAGTTATTTGTCTTAATATTCGCTTCAAGAGAGCAAAGTTGTAAGAATTTTATCACCATAAATAGAAATTTTTATTTTTAAATATAGATTAAAGATGTAGAAATTTCTTTTTAAGACTTCTCTTTTTGCAAAAATGAAATTTATTCAAATCGTAATAACTATAAATATTAAAATTATACTTCTAATTTACTAAGAATTAAATAAAATTAATGATTTGTAATTTTAATAAAAATGATTACAATTTTACAAAATACTTTAATTATTTATTTTGGGCTTCTTGGTCTATGTATGATCAGCATTTTGGTTGTTTGCTTAGATTCTGAATATGAATGTCATTGTCCATCAATTGTAATCAAAATTTTGAGAAGCCTTTCAATTATACGATTTATGAATGAAGTGAAAAAGTCCATTACTCCGATAATAAAAGAGTTACCTCCTAAATGGATTCGACTGTTAATTTTGAGTTCATTCATGATGACTCTTGCCTTGATACTCTCTTTGATTTATACTGCACTGTATGTATTTTACTATTAATCTACATAGTAAGATCACTCTAAGTTTATTGATGAACCTATTCTATGTTATATTGATAGCATTTTTTCTATCCATTAGCTTAGGTATTGCTAAGAATAATACACCTTATCAATAAAATTTATATCAATACTTTGAGTACATCAAATTTATATGCTTATGAGATATATTATCAATGCGATTTTTAATTGCAATATATCCAGATCATTTATTAGTTTGATCTATTCTTTTTACTATTTATTTTATTGTAATATAGTAAATGTTGATGTTTTTTGTTAAATTAACTTTATTAATTAACTGCTAAAAATGGAAGTCAATTCCTTTATATTTCCTGCTCCTAAATGTGAATACACTGAAAAGAATTTCAAAGAACTTATATGGGTTCCTGTTTACAAATCAAAATAAATTAAACAACTAGGTGTTTAATCTGCTAATCAATCAAAAAGACCTAGTACACAATAAGACTTTTACTTTGAAGAATCCAATTATGATTAGGATGTAGATGAAAATGTTATTGTACACAAATCTCCTCCAAGATTATTAAACAAATATAAATCTAATAATGTGAAAACTCTCTTGTCAAAAAAGAATTAAAATAGATTATATGAATCCTTAGCAAATGTTTGTTTGACATCAACTCCAAATGAAAAAATCTAACATCCTAGAAGCAATAAACTACCAATAAGACACCTTAAATAAATGACCCAATAAGATGAGGAAGAAATTGAAATTATTAAAAAAATCCCTTGTGCCTTTATTAATAACCAATCAAAATAAACACTTGTTTATTTTCATTCGAATGGAGAAGATTTATATTAAGCATATGAACTTATGTGGCGAATAGGAAATTCCTTGAAACTAAACATTTTGGGTGTAGAATATCCAGGTTATGGAATTTACAAAGGCGATCCAAATGAGTAAACGATATTGGAAGACGCTGATCACATCATGAATTATTTGATAAATACCAAAAAAATAGAGGAATCTAATATCATGATATGCGGAAGATCGATTGGAAGTGGGTGATTTTAATTAATTTATTTTAGGCCTGCTTGTTACATCGCTAGTAAATACAAGCCATTCATGCTGATTCTTATTTCACCATTTTTATCAATCCAATAATTAGTAGAAAATAAATTGGGGAAACTTTTTAGTGTCCTAATTAAAGAAAGATTTCCAAATTACAAACACATCTCAGAAGTCTAATGTCCAATCTACATTTTACATGGTCAATCTGATAACATGATACCTATAAGTCATGCATTAAAATTATAGAGACTCTGCAGGTGCAAATGCAAGTTGACCACCCCATACCACATGACACATGCCACTTTTAATTTGTAATAAGACTTAATCATTCCTTTATTACGATTTATGATGAGTTGAGTTGAATTGAATTTAGAATTATAAAATCAACTTTTTTATTAAATAAGACAATTTAATATGTTTAATAGTCAATAGAAATCAGAATTTCTATTACTGCCTTTATTTTTTAACATAATTTAAAGATAAAAGTGTCAAAATAATGGACACTTCAAACTTCACTATAAGTAGTAAAAATGTTATATTAGAAAAAATAAATCAATTATATATATAATATTTATAGTTTTTATTTAGAAAAGAGTTAAATAAATATCAGATTATTAATCCATCATTTCAGCTGAATAAACTATCCAAATTAAAAATTACACTTATCTGTTTTCAAATATTAAAAATGGAGGAATTAATCAGATTTAAACAGTATAAAATTTTAGTTTGATCCACTGCTAGTCATTTATATATTCAAATTATTAGTTAAAAAGTTCATAAAATTAATAACTATCAACCAAATCTGTTAAAAGCAAAAGATAAAATAAGATAGGGAGGATCAGAGTTAAGAATATCCAAATCTCCCATTACTTTGATGAGAATTATATTGAAAAATTAGTATAAATAAAATAAAAAATTATGGTTTGCATTCCTTGTTTAGTCTTGCCATTGGTAGGAATATTGGTTGTGCTGTTCGATTTTATTAAACCTTTTCTAATAAAAATTGGATTGGTTAAGGCTCCCCCTAAAACAGATGATAAAAATAATACTTAGGAAAATAGAACAAAAGTGTTAGACACGCCGACGCCAAATGAACCAGAAAAAAGTAAATCATCATGATTCGCTAAATATGTGTGTTGAAATATTTTAAATTTGCAAATCAAATATCCATTAGGTATATACCTAAACATTCTACATAAGAAAGAATATGCTATATTTGTTTAAAAAGCTTGTCTGATTTAAAATTAAGAAATAGCTTACAAAATATGATCAATATTATGCTTCTATTAATTTTGGTTCTTATCAATAAATTCACTAAGGCTTTGGTAGTGGCTGCTTATGAAATTTCTACTGCAAATTCCATGAGTGTCACAATGGACGGGTCAAGACTCCACAAAATTTACGTCTTAAGTGTTTGCTTAGGTCTCATCGAATGGGGAGTGAGTATTCTACGAAGGAGGGAAGAGGATAATTGAAGCTGTTTTTTAATTGTTTTAGAAATTTTATTCACAACACTATCCGTTTCTGTGTCTAAAAAAAATAAAGGACTAAAACGATTTCATTAATAATAATGGTTTAAGTCAAGTTCATAGTCTTGTTAGTCTGTGCATTGACACTGACCTAAGGTACGTCTCATATATATGTCAAGCTTTCGAAGCTGAGGGCACACTCTTGTCGATGTCATTAAATGAGATTAGCAACCTCAATTTAGGGGATGTTAATTGTTAGAACACATCTTAGCAATAGTTTGTGTAATTGGAATAAAGTCTCGAGTCTTGGGCCGACATCATCGATCACAAGGATGACATCTAAAAAGATATCAACACTTTGAAACAAATGGAAGTGATCTTACTATAAGTCAAGAAATAAACATAAAAGAAGAGTAAATTAGTTTATCTTATTTCTAGAGATCGCTCCCTCACAATTAAAATAGATTGATTAGGTCTTGACAAAGAAAATTAAGTCTTTGGTTCTCCCATAAACAGCAAGCAAAATTGGACAAGCTCATTGTGATGAAATCGAAAGACAATTAGAGAGATTAAGTAGTGATAATGAGTCAGAAAGAAGTGAATGTTGTGATGCTCTTCTCAAATTGGCCACCTTCCTCATCAGACAATTATCCAGCATTAATTAATAATGCCATTAAAACCCAGTCACTGTCATTAAAATCAAGGGACAAATTAAAGAATTGCATATCATCCAAGGAGGATGCGGAGGAGGACAAACCATTGACATCCCAATGGGAGGATCAGATGAAAAATGTGATAAACCAGAAACCCCAACCAAACCCACAGATCCTACTACTCCCGAAAAGCCAACTGACGACCCAGTCCCAGATCCCGGAAAAGAAGAAGAAACCATCGATGAGGAAACTGTAACTGAAGAAGGTGAGACAACACCACCAGGACCAGATGCTGAAGAAGAAGGTGAAGGAGAACCCACCCCAGAACCAGATGCTGAAGAAGAAGGCGAGACAACTCCACCAGGACCTGATGCTGAAGANCAAATGAACCAGAAAAAAGTAAATCATCATGATTCGCTAAATATGTGTGTTGAAATATTTTAAATTTGCAAATCAAATATCCATTAGGTATATACCTAAACATTCTACATAAGAAAGAATATGCTATATTTGTTTAAAAAGCTTGTCTGATTTAAAATTAAGAAATAGCTTACAAAATATGATCAATATTATGCTTCTATTAATTTTGGTTCTTATCAATAAATTCACTAAGGCTTTGGTAGTGGCTGCTTATGAAATTTCTACTGCAAATTCCATGAGTGTCACAATGGACGGGTCAAGACTCCACAAAATTTACGTCTTAAGTGTTTGCTTAGGTCTCATCGAATGGGGAGTGAGTATTCTACGAAGGAGGGAAGAGGATAATTGAAGCTGTTTTTTAATTGTTTTAGAAATTTTATTCACAACACTATCCGTTTCTGTGTCTAAAAAAAATAAAGGACTAAAACGATTTCATTAATAATAATGGTTTAAGTCAAGTTCATAGTCTTGTTAGTCTGTGCATTGACACTGACCTAAGGTACGTCTCATATATATGTCAAGCTTTCGAAGCTGAGGGCACACTCTTGTCGATGTCATTAAATGAGATTAGCAACCTCAATTTAGGGGATGTTAATTGTTAGAACACATCTTAGCAATAGTTTGTGTAATTGGAATAAAGTCTCGAGTCTTGGGCCGACATCATCGATCACAAGGATGACATCTAAAAAGATATCAACACTTTGAAACAAATGGAAGTGATCTTACTATAAGTCAAGAAATAAACATAAAAGAAGAGTAAATTAGTTTATCTTATTTCTAGAGATCGCTCCCTCACAATTAAAATAGATTGATTAGGTCTTGACAAAGAAAATTAAGTCTTTGGTTCTCCCATAAACAGCAAGCAAAATTGGACAAGCTCATTGTGATGAAATCGAAAGACAATTAGAGAGATTAAGTAGTGATAATGAGTCAGAAAGAAGTGAATGTTGTGATGCTCTTCTCAAATTGGCCACCTTCCTCATCAGACAATTATCCAGCATTAATTAATAATGCCATTAAAACCCAGTCACTGTCATTAAAATCAAGGGACAAATTAAAGAATTGCATATCATCCAAGGAGGATGCGGAGGAGGACAAACCATTGACATCCCAATGGGAGGATCAGATGAAAAATGTGATAAACCAGAAACCCCAACCAAACCCACAGATCCTACTACTCCCGAAAAGCCAACTGACGACCCAGTCCCAGATCCCGGAAAAGAAGAAGAAACCATCGATGAGGAAACTGTAACTGAAGAAGGTGAGACAACACCACCAGGACCAGATGCTGAAGAAGAAGGTGAAGGAGAACCCACCCCAGAACCAGATGCTGAAGAAGAAGGCGAGACAACTCCACCAGGACCTGATGCTGAAGAGGAAGGAGAAGGAGCACCCCCTGGACCAGACGCTGAAGAAGAAGGAGAAGGAGAACCCACACCAGAACCAGATGCTGAAGAAGAAGGTGAGACAACTCCACCAGGACCAGATGCTGAGGAGGAAGGAGAAGGACCAGAACCTGCTGCTGAAGAAGAAGGAGAAACTACTCCAGCAGAACCTACAGCAGAAGAAGAAGGTGAAACAGCTACGCCTGCAGGAGAAGAGGAAGGAGAAACAGCATAACCATCAGCTGAAGAGGAGCTTCATGAACCAGCTGAAGAGGAAGAGGAATCATTTGGACCAGATGAAAAAAATAATACAAAGGGACCAGGAGATATTCCAGAAGATGCTGAAGAAGAAGGATTCTTACCAGAGGAAGAATTTAGTCCTGAAGATGGACCTTAAGCAGAGGAGGAAGGAGCAGCAGAGGAAGGTGCAGCTGAAGAAGTCACCCCTGCAGGTGAAGAGGAAGGAACTCCAGCTGGTGAGGAAGACCAAGGAGAAAATGTTCCAGGAGAAGAAGGTTTCCCTGAAGGAGAAGAAGAAAGCGAATTCCCAGGAGATATCCCAAAAAACAAGAATGGAACTTCTACTATTCCTGATATCCCTGAAGGTGGTGAGGAAGGTGCTGAAGAAGGTGCTGAGGAAGAAGGAGAAGAAGGATCTGGACCACATGGTCCTAAATCTACACCAGCAGGAGAAGAAGGAGAAGAAGCTGGAGAAGAAGAATCTGAATCAGATGATAAACCAGGCTCAAAACCAAACTCAAAACCACATGGTCCTAGATCTAAACCAGCAGGAGAAGATGGTGAAGAAGCCGGAGAAGAAGAAGAAGGATGGGTCCCAGGAGACATTCCATAAGGTAAAAATGGAACAAAACCCATTCTTGATTTACCTGAGGGTGAAGAAGAAGCTGAAGAAGGAAGTGACGAAGTAGGAGAAGAGAGTGAAGAAGGTGGAGAAGAAGGTGAATAAGTTCCAGGAGATGAAACTGAAGAAACTCCAGATTAACCAGAAGAATCAGAAGAAAAGTAATTAGCAATTAAAATATCGATAGATGTTAAGAGACTGTTGAAATAACCGCAACAAACGCAGCTGATATCATGTGTGCATTAGGTTAATATTTGAGTCAATTGGCTCACGGAGGATCCCCTGCTGATAGTCCTAAGGCTAAGAAGGTTTGCTTCTGCTTGAAATATGAACCAGGTAAAAATATATTGTAACATTAGACAATGCTGATCCTTCATTGCTTCAATTAACTTAAAAGGTGAGCAAGAAAGTTAGAAAAGAACAGGATGGCATTTTGAAAGCATTAATTCCAAACATGAGAATCTGAATATGAACAATCTTTTTTTATTTATTGATCTAAATAAAAAAAGTAAACTTATCGATATATTCCAATATTCTTTAATATAATTCCTTCTTATTTTTGTAGAATAAATATATCTTTCAAAATTAATGACAAGAAATTAGAAAATTCAATATTTATCAATTGTATCTTTGGTATCCAATTAGACCATATATCTAAATTTAACCTTGGTTTCTTCATATACTATATATTCATTGTGTTGTAGATAATAATGAATAGGATTGCCCTCCTTGTCCTTTTTTTTAGGTTCTGGATATTCAATGCACTATCCAACAGGGACTTTGCACCCATTAGATAAAATAACAGATTATTTATAATCAGGACCTCTCTTTCCACATCCCTTGACAGATTGGTATTGCTCTAAAAATATTAATTAAAAATACTGGGTAAATTTTGAACAAAATCTGCTTGATAAAGTTCTTAAGATTTTCCAACTGCTACTTCGCAAAGTAACATATATCTATATCTTTGGATGTCATCTTGTTCATCCTAAATTACTTGCTATTATTTGTTCCAACGTCCTCCTTCCTAAAAGAGACCTCTAAAAGGATTGTAATGTAGTGACCAATCATCTGTGTATGCAAAGGACTTTTGGAACATATCGGCGAAATAGATTCCCTTTCCAAACATAGCCCCTGTGTTGAGTGCCCAAGGTGGTGCAACTTAAAATAATCATTTATTTTTACCTTTTAGTCCTTGGGCCAAAATACCCATGAAGTTGGAGATTTTAGAACCATGCCAAAGTAATAATCTATTGTACTATTTATTGCTTTCAAATCTTTCAGCTTCTCCTCTTCTCTCGATGGCAAATATGTTGGATATTTTAGGAGTTGCTGATTGATTAATATATTACTGAATTAATTGGAATTCTGGATGTTCGCGATGGAGAGTAATGACCCTAACATTAAGGGCATTGAAACAATAAGTAAGTGGATTCAAGGATTATTTCATCAAATGAGCTCCCAATAAAATCTTGGAAGTGATTTCAAAATTGAGTAAAGTTTCAATGAGCAATAACTTTTGATTAATAGCTTCAATTGAATCTAATGGAGGGAGAGGTTCTGTTCTCAATTCAATCATAGGAATCAATTCATAAAATCTACTAGATTTATCAGCTATTTCAGATGATATACCAGATATCTTCTTAATATCTAAATCTCCTTTCTATCTAAGCTCAATTAGTTCTGTCACACTATCTGTTAATTCATTAAGAATGGCCTTGGCTACTTCTAATTATTTTCTATCCAATCTTTCAATAGGTAAAAAGTCCATGTCTACATGGAATTATTACAAATCTTTCTAGTATAGTTTTACTTAGATAAACTACAATATAAATCTCTTTATAGTGTTATCTAATGTAGAGGGTGGATAAGGGGAATTTTTACTGAAGTCGAAAGGACTTAACAGTGTTTTGTAATTCTTGTTCTGTTTCACATTCATTAACTAATACTTGCCAGGTTTTTTGACAAACTCTTCTTCGCCAGACTTAACCTTTCTCCAATCATTGCCTCCTGTTTTAGTGTAAAAGATCTTATTAAATTCCTTAATGGCCTCTTCAGAACTCTCAAAAGGAGTTTATTGATGTTATCCTCGGGTGCCAATTCTGCCCCATCTCGTAAATAGGATAAAAACATTCCGATTGATTTCATGCAAGACTTACATTTTATAAAACACATTTTCTGAATACCTTCCATTGCCAATGTCTACTTTGGTCATCAACAAAAAATATGGGCCTATGTCCTTGTCAACTAAAACCTCAAGCTTGCCAGTAAGAATTGCATATTGATCAACTTGATTTTTATAATCCTGTTTAGACTCCTCCAATTATTCTCCATTCAAATCTAAAAACTTTTAAGCATCTGCCTCAACATCTATTTCCTCTTCCACCCATTAGGCTTAAGAGATTACACTAGTTGGTAATCTGGGCTATTTAGATTTGATATTTTTTATGGCTTTAAGATTTTTGAGTACTCTCGCCATAACACCAGAATCCTAATCAACAGCATAGTCTAAGGCAGTTTTTCCTTTGTCATCAATTAGATTGACATCAAATATGCTTGCCAACAATTCTAGCATCTCTGTATTTTCATAGGAACCAAATTCTAATGGCTATACAACATGATGGATGGGAGATCTTTTATTTGAATCTTGTAAGTGAGCTTCTTTTTTAAATTTAGGATGATGGAGAATGAAATTAACCAATTTCAAAGAGTTATTTTTGATGGCCAGAATTAAGGAGGTTTCTCCTTTTTCAGTTTTCTCATTTATGTCGCATCCAGCATCAACAAATTTAGATAGAATGATTTCATCTTCTTCATGGAATTCCTATATTAAGTATAACAAAGGAGTCAGACAATAGTCTTTCTTATTCACTTTGAATTTCACATTAAAATTAACGTTGCTGCTTGTCCACAACCCTAATTCTACAGGATCTGCAAATACTCTGTAATTACTTTGTAGTCTAATTGAAAACGGGGTATTTTATTCGGAGTTAAAAGCGTTAGGATTACCTTTTCTATTTAAGAAATATTTAATCATTTAATGAAAAAAGTTTTTGCATGCATAATGCAATGGAGTATTCATTTGATAATCGTTTGCAGTCCTATCGACTCCTCTTCTTGATAATTCTTCTGCAATTAAAATTGCCATGTCTTCATTGCAATTTCTCCCTTTGATTGCAAATATGTGGAATAGATTTTAATTATTTTGATTATACTTTTGAATAACTTCATCATCTTTGACTTTCAAGAGCAATGTTCTAACTAATTTGAATTGATCCTCCATCATGGCATCCTCTATGGCTCTTTGTAGATCATATCCATCGCTTATCAATAAGTATGCAACACCTTGCCATCCTTATTTAATGGCTAATTTGAAATAAGAATAAGTCCCAGGAAGGAACTTAGTTGGTTAAGGATAATAATTATTCTATCCAAATACATTCCTAGTAGGTACTTTCCTAACAGCCTTTGCAACTTTGTTACCAAAAAACAAAGAGTTTCCTTATTGATTATATTCATTTTCATCCTCTGCTTGATTTGAATCAAATTCATCTTCAGTCTGAATTTCTTCTCCTTTTTCTCTTCTCTGCTACCTCTAAGCTTTCTCTTCTTGTTTTATCTTCTCTATGTCAATCACAATTGCATTGCGATTCACGTTTGCCTTGTTGTCAATGAGCATAGTACAGAAATTAGAATGACCACTTATGAATGCCAGCCCCAAGGGACTATTACCATATTTATCAATATCATCTACGATAGCATTCATTTTGATCATGTATCTACCAGATATAACACTACCTCTTAAGGCAGCATAATGGAGAGGAGATCGATTGTAAATATCCAAACAATTAACAGAGCAATTCTTATCTGCTAATATGGAAGAGACTGTCTCGAAAGGGTCGATTTCAGAGAAGTCATTAAATTTATTAATTTTTGTGAAAGCATAAAACAGAGGAGTTCTGTTTAAATAGTCCTTGAGACTGGTATTAGCACCGTTTATAATTAATAGATGTTCCATTTCAAAACTAGCATCAGCTTAGGAATTAGAGGAGTTGATGGCATGATGTAATGCAGTACGATTATGTTTATCTCTAAAATTTGGATCAGCCTTATATTCAGTCAAAAACAATTCAACAACTTTAATATTATTAGCTTTAACCCACTTCTAAAGAGGGACTTCATTAAAGTTGTTTAAGTTATCAATGGAGCCCCCCATTTTTAATAATGTTTCGATAAACCATTTCAAACCCTCATTGTAACGAGAGGCTATAATACTGGTTGGTGTATTCTAATTGAAATCCTTAACCTTGATATCGATATTCTTGAGACAATATTTTAAGAACTTTCCACTATTTTCTTATTCTCTACCACAAATAGAATATAGATTGCAAGTGCCAGCCAATAAGTGAATTGGGTATATGTTATTGTGAGTTGCTTCTTTCAATGAGATATTGCAAATCTTTTATATCCCTTCCAGAAAAGACACACTATGGAATGACTTAAATAAAAAGTGAGCTATGGTGTAATTACCTTCACTTATATAAGGATCCTCTTTCTTATCTTACTCAGATTAGTCTGGCTGTCTGAATTTCTTTCTTTTTATGATAACACTGTCAGGTTTAGCTCCAAAATTAATTAATTACTAAAATAGTTTTAGAACTGCATCCTATAATAAAAATGAATCTTAGAGAGCTTCTTTCTACAAAGTACTCACCTATTCTTTAGACAAATTTATAATAATGGGTTTATTTTTATAATAAAATGTTACTTGATGATGGACATCTTAATCCACTCCATTTGAAAATCCAAGTTATTATAATTAATTCTGAGCAATTACATTCTATTTCTGAAACATATTTGATTATGACTTAATACCTGTTTTGATTCCATTGTATGTTTTGATTTATGCTGTATTTGGAATGAATGATGGATTTTTAAATCCAGCCTTCCTTTTTTTATAATGCACTTCCTCTTCTTCATCATCTTCATCCTCCTCTTCACTGCGACTCAAATTACTATCTTCATCATCGTCTACTGCTTTACTCAAATTTCTTTCTTCGTCTTCATCATCATTATTTTTCTGTTCCTCATTGATGCTATCTTTTTCTGGAGGCAACTCTGACACCTTCTTCTCAAACATCTGTACTTATAACAGCTTAACCTTCTTTTTGTAAATCCTATCATGTTATTATTCAGCTGACTTTGTATATTCAGAGATCAAATATAATAAGGGATTCCAACCATTTTCATCGTATTAATTAATATATGATTAATCAACAGTTGCTATTATGTTTTCTAATATACTATTTCCTTTTGGAGTCAAAAATAACTTACATTCAATCAATTTATGCAAAATGTTTCTATCCTTTGTGTCAACATAATCAAATGTAGGAGTAGCCATTTTCATTAATTGCTCGGCTGTTTTAAAATTCTGGCTCATTAATGCTTATACAAATGGAGTCTAACCATTTGCATCTGGAATGTTGACATCTGAACCAGCATTGATTAATAATTCGATTAATCTTTCTAATAGTTTTTCATAATTATTTTTAATGTCTCTCCTCTCAGCTTTCATCATTTCATTCCATTTCAAGTAGTACTACTTAACATTTTTCCTTGAAATCTATACAGCATAATGAAGTGGAGTTTTATCCTGTAAATCAGCTATTTTCACATTCGCATTTTTCTCAAGAATCAAGTATTTCATATATTCAAAAGAGTCTGCAGTGAATCTGCTTAAACTAGAAGAAATTAAGGTTCTCCCCTCGTCATCCTTGCAATTAACATCTGTGCTTGGATAATTTAATAGAGTCTTAACTACACCCAAATGGTTTTTTTATAATGCAACTGATAATGGGGTCAATTTCCATGAATTTGGCAAATTCTAATCTGCTCCAGCCTTCATCAATTCTTCAATGCACTCAGGAAATCCGTATGCAGCAGCATAATGAAGAGGAGTATTTTTTGATGAATCAGGCATATTGAATTCAGCTCCATGATAGAGAAGAAGAGATAAAATCTTAACATTACCATTTCTAGCTGCCATCACACAAGCCGACCTCCCAAATTTGTCCTTGCTAATCACTTTAGCTCCTTAATCAATCAAGTACTTAACTAGATCATAGTGACCATAGGCACTGGCAATTATTAATGGAGTCATTCTATTTTAACCAGGCTAATTAATCTATGCTCCAAACGACAAGAGTGCTTTGACCGTTTCGACATGACCTCCAAAACAAGCTAAATGGATTGCTGCATTTCCTTCCCTATTCTTCCCACCAATATTACTAGAAGCTAAGAGTTCAATATTATGTGTTCTCCCATACTAAGCAGCAAGCATTAGAGGAGTATTCTTTAATCGATCTCCTTCTCTAACATCAATTCCGTTTTCCAATAAATACTTTAAACAATCACTTGTTTATGAAACAGCAGCATAATGAACAGGTTTTCTGTGAATTTCATCTAAGATATTAAATTCTTATGAAATTTCAACTAATCTTTTTAAGCAAGCATGATTAGGATTGATGGCTGCACAATGAACAGGTGTTATCAAATACATTCCAACTGTTTTTTTAGTAGCAGATACTTTTTTGATATTCCCAATGCGGCTGGCATTAGTATGATTGAGAACATCAACATGTACTTAATTAAACCCATACATGTGACCTTTCTCCAAAGCTTTTTAAACCAAATAACCAGCAGTTCTCCAATTACCACATCTGACTGCAATTGCTATCATCTCAAAAAATTAATACTCATTTCCCAATTGTGCTATCATTAAACCAAAAAATTCAGGATCAGTTTCAATTTTCATTAACCTCTCAATTTGATAACGACCAAAAGTATTATCTTAATTTAAATCATAAACAAATGCATTATTGCCTTCTCTACCACCTCTACTCATAGCAACTTTTCTAGTTCTGGTTCCATAAGCATATTAGTCATTGTAACCAGTATTCACTTCTTTCAAGGAGCAATTCTGAGTCACTCCTAATTTAACTTTACCCATAGATTTAATGAATGACAAGAGCATTTCCTTATCTTATCTTAAAAAAATCAGTTCTAACGCATTGATTTCATTTTCAGGACCCCATCTCTAGAAGAGATTACTAATCCTAAGAGAATTGGCAAATATATCTTCTAATAATTTTTTGTTGCCTGTTTTAGCAGCTCGAATCAATTCTTTATTGTTCATAATGATGCTAGTATAATCGTGGAATTTCGAATTTGATCCTTCTAATTGATCACTAATATTCCTTAGCTCTCTGTAACTAGGATTAATTTTTCCTTTGATAAACTTGTTTTGTTATGAAGATTAAGTTTTTTATTTTTTAGATGAACTAGTTTTACCTCCTTTCTTGCGTTTGCTATCAACAGAAAATGATTAGGATACAGATTATTCTTCTGCTTCTTCATCTTCATCGTCTTCCTCTTATTGGGACTGTGATTTACCTTTTTACTTCACTTCCTTTTTAATAAAAGAAGTATCCTAAACCTTTTAGATTACTTGTGGATTTTTATTTTGTTTTTTTTTGGCTACTTCAACAACCTATGATTCTTCTTCTTCATCTTCTTCATCTTAATCACTTTCATGCTCCTGATGCTGCTTTTATTATTTTTACACTTTTTTCTTCTTGATTTTAGCATCATTTTGATTTTTAGGACTTTCAATTTTAGTTTTATGTAATTTTTACACAGAATCTTTTTTGGGAGGTTTGACTACTACTTCTTCTTCTTCTTCCTCCTCTTCTTCTTCTTCTTCTTCACTTTCTTCCTTTTATGGCTACTTTCGTATCTTACTTTTCACTTCCTTTTTGTCTTGTTAAATTTCCACTTGTTTCTTTTAGCCCTTTTTCATGGTGTATTTTTTTGGTGGCTCTTCTTCTTACTCTTCATCTTCTTCTTCATCTTCACTCTCTGAGCTCACTTATTTTTTTTATTGTTTTGTGTTGGCGGGAAGCTCTTTAATATTTTTAGCAATATCTTAAAGTGTGTCCTGGGGGAAAGTAAAAAAGGTAACAGCTGTCTTACTTCTTGGATTTGGTTTTGTGGATTTTACTTCCACATCTTCAACAACTTTACTATAATAAATGGAATATTTTTACGTGCGTTCTTTTACAGGCAATAGAAGTTCTTCAGACTCTTTATAAACTACTTTGCCATCCTTCAACTTCTCTTATTATTCAAGTTTAACAACTCGCAATTAGGATCTATGATCATTGGTTTTCATATCCTCAACTACCTTGTACAAGAGTGGCTTGCCCTTTTCGCTCTATCCCAATATTTAATCTTTCTTGTAATGGTATGCATAGTGTGGTTCTGATTTCTACCCGCGAGTTTTCATTTTATTTATGTAAATTGAATTTAAAATAAATCTGATAAAATAAGCATCATTTCTGCTAAAAGGAATAAATAAATAAATATATCAATTGATCTTTTCTAAGCTAATACATTCTATCTAATTCCTCAATTCCTTCACATCCTCTTACACAATATCGAAATTTGGATGATGATGATGAGCATACTCAAAATTAATAGGACTGTAGTCCATAAGTATTCTTCTCTGGTGGAATGGAGAAATGTCTTAGGAATGGATGCCTTCGAATTGTTTTGAATCAAAAGAATCCAATCCCTAAATTAAATTAATTGAAGGTTGAATTCTATTTGATGGAGTCCGATTCTGAATATTCATAAATGAATCATTCCTCATCGAATCATTCTTAGTATTGTCATGTTCCTCCTTGATTGATTAAATAGTCTCTAAAGGATGATAAATTGGAATAGGTTGTGGAATGTTGGGTTATTCAGAAAACGAAGAATCCCCATCGTCGTCATCATCATCCGATCTCTCTTCCAACATGTGCACTCTCTTAATAAACGAATAAAATCTATTCTTCACTTAATTTTCCTATATTATAACAACTTCATTACTGGTCTTCTATCCAACATCTTTGCAATCTCACTCCATTTTGGTCCATATATCCGATACTATTCTAAAATTATTTTATCTTCCATAGCCGTGAATTTTTAATGATTGATCTCGGGATCCAAATTATTTAAAAATCGTTCCCTGATCTATTTACTCGATCTGCCTTCCATAAATCCTTCAATAACTTTCCAATTCCGACCATATTATTGAACAAACAGAATCACACGATTGTCCTCTTCATCACTCCACTACTTACGTAATTTAGTCTAGACATATATCATCTTTCAAATTCTACCTTATTTGGATTAATGCGTTTCCACCGTTGTTAACATTGACTTAAGTTCCTCCCAGGGATTTCTTCTGCTATTAAACGCCAGTTGCCATTGTATTTAGAGTGCAATTCAATCAAAAGTGCATCCTCATTGGGTTTCCAAAATTTTCCATACCTCCTTTCTGAAGAACTTGAATCTGAATCCTTACTATGTTTCCTAATCTACTTGTTTACAGTTGGGGACCTATTTATATGAAGAATTTGAATACTTGGAGTTTACTCTTCGTCTACTCATATTTTTTATTAATATAAATGACCCTCAACAAAAATGAATTTCGAATTAAATCTTTGTATGTAACATTAATCCGAATAATATCATTAAAATTGCAAGGTTATACATTTCCACATTCAATCATAACAATCAATACGTATTATTTCATCGAAATATTGGGTCCAATTAAAAACAAGCAATGGCACAAAAGAGAGAACAAACTCATGATTGATTTAGTAATGACTCAAGAAGGAAATAATGGAAAAGTTAGTTACAAATATAATTTTACTTAGATTATAAATTATGAATTGCATTTTAATAATAATGTATATAAAGAAATTGATTTTAGCTTATAATTGTTTTATATAAATTTAATTATTGAATAGAATGTCTAGAGTGCAAAAAGACAGATTGCTCAAATTAGGATTGAAGGAGAAAAAGCTAATTCGTTTATTATATCACAAGGATCTAAGTGAGGAGGATACGATATTTTTAAACACAATTTACGAAGAAAAGTAAGAACAATTCCAAATACATATTCAGACAATACTTGCACTTTACGTATGCGCTTGCACTGCCCTGCATGATAGCTTTAAGCACTAATTACGCGTTGTTTAGATAGAACTCCAAATGGATGCAGGTGGGTTATGTGGCAGTAATTGGACTATCGACACATTTGTACTGCAATTCGAAAGTCAACAATCGATTTTATAATTTAACCCAGCCTTTTTTCAAGAAATATGAAATAAATTGAGTTAGCTTATAATCTTGTAGTTTATAATAAATAATATTAATGACTAAAAATACAAAACTATTGATCATCAAATTTTGATTGCTTATTCTTTTTTTCTATATGTGACTCCATTTGAAAAGAAGTTTAGTAAATTTTTGCATGAACATTAAACAAATCTATCTTTTTTAGGAGGGAGTAATTCATCTTCAACTGAAGAATTCTTATTTGAATTGGTCATAACTGATTTAATAGTGGATGTTTGATTTTGTGCTGCAAATCGCTCAAATGTAGTTTGACCCAGAAAAATGTTTTAAAGTTAAGTCACAAGGAGGACTGTAATCCCAACTACAAAGATAACTTCGATGAAGATATTTAAAATTAAGGTTGTCCAAAATATGAATTGTTCATCAAAGAACTCTAATTCGCTCTTGTTTCCAATGAAACACTGTCTGATTGTATTGACTAGAGCATATATGAGGGAGGTATCCAAAGACACTAGAAAAGTCATAAAAATCAAATGATTTTCTGCGCCAACCTAGTATATATTGGATTTTTTACGCAATTATTGATCCAAGGACAATGATGATCGTAAACTAAAACACATCGTTGACAAATGTCGCAATGTTTACTCCTTGGCAACTTCACAACGTTGCAAATTGGACACACATCTTAATGATCATATGTTGTTATCAAGGTATATAATGGTTCCTTTCTTCGGATTTAATAGCCAGGATTAGAACAAACGATGAAAATAAAGAAGAGCAAAGTTAGTCCAAATAGTACGTAATCGGAGATTAAGGGTGTGAAATCATCGACCATATATAAAAAATAAGAGAGCAAAAGAAAAATCATGAATCCTCCGAATCTCATTAATTCTATTCCATTTTTTCTTACTCTCTTTATTCCTTACTTCAAATTAAAGTATGTGATCAGAAGGCCACGCTCCTTTGTCAGCATATTGTAAATATTCTTGAAATCATTCTCCTATGCTAAATCAGCTGGTGTTTTATTTGCATTCCCTTTAATTGTTTTATCAGCCCCATAGATCAGCAACTTTTTAACTAGTTTGGTATTCCCACTTTAAACAGCCAAATGCAAAGGTGTAAGCTAATGACAATCAAGAGAGTTCAATGGATAATATGGTTTTTTTTTTTCTATCAATGGCAACAAATAATTCACAGAGTGCTCTTAACCATAAAAGCATGCCCAATGCAATGCAGAACCTCCATTGAGATCTAAATCAGTCAATTAAATTCCATTCACAAGTGCAAATACAATACTATTAGGCTGATCACCTTATGCGGCTATGTGCATAATATTCAAACCTTATTTATTCGTAGCTTTTAGGTTGGCTCCTTTTAATTTCAAAAGGGTCAATATTTACACATTCCCTCGAAATGCTGCGAAATGCACAGCTGTAAATCCATCATTAGTTGTAGAATTGATAAAATTCTCCATATTCTGCTAACTTCTCTCTCTCCTGTCCTAATGGTTGATTATCAGTTCGCACATTTGAAAACTGTTATTGAAACAAGCGAAATGAAGAGAAGTAAACCTTTTGGAGTTCTAAAGAGCAGATAAATCAAATAGTCCAGATCTTAACAAATTGGAAAATTGCTCGAGATCATTGGATTAAGCAAAACACAGCAAACGCATCTCTGGAGAAGAGTGATCTATGGGTGATTAAATGTTGGACCCAATAGTGGGAATCGATGGAATTAGACTACTATCCCTATCCCCTGAATATAATGTCGAATTTGATGGATTTAATTGCATTATTTATTAATATACTAAATATATGTCACTTCTTCTTGCCCTTTTTTCCTCCAGCAGCTCCCTTATCGGCAGCACCACCAGCAGGAGCAGCAGCCGCAGCAGCTGCAGCCTTGGCAGCTTGTTATTTTTTGATTGCTTCCAAGTTGGCTTTAATCTTAAAAATCAAATTAAAAAATTACTGTTGCCTCATCCATTCTAAAGGTTTGGTGACAAGTTCCACAGTAATGTCTGTCAAAGTGTTTAGCCATGTACACACCTTATGGACATTAAGGACATTATTTGTGTGATCTCTAAACTACTCCTTTGTTGTCAACATTGTACAATTTAAGAGTAGCCAACTTAACTTTTCGGTGTCTATGCTTCTTCTTCTTGGGCTTTGCGAAATTCTTCTTCTTCTTCTTCTTTTTCTTTCCTCCTTCTGCATCAACTGTGACATAATAGATTCTGTCTCCAGCCAAAATCGATGATGCATTCACTAATTCACCACTTTAAACCAATTGAACTTCACATGCTAATTCGGAGTTCAACACATTCATTAATTCATTAGCAGTGCTTTAATCTGCCAAATTATATGTTCTCACCTCTCCATTAAGGTGACCCACCTAGATGATCATAATACTTTTAAAAAAAAAGATTTAATTTATATCTCAAATTTTCATAACTATGCTATATATTATTAATTCAACTCATCTCTCACATTTCCACTCCAGTTTATAACTCCTTCATAAATTCCCAATCCTCTTGATCGTATTATTGCATCTCAATAACCCTGTAAAATCAATATCCAATCCTATTATGAATCCTTCTTCATCCTGTTTTTATCACTTTAACCTTTTGAATACAGTATTGAACTCTTTCACTTTATTAATCCCAAACATTACCCTATGTAGAAATACAACCAACTTTTAAAATTTATAAATATTATAAAATGGATTTTAGAGATCAAAGTTTTATTGAAAAAATGAACATTCTAGTTTTCTAATTATAATTGATTACTCAATTGCCAATAAAATAATTTCAGAGAAAGTAATGAGATTTCTAAGTACACAAGATCCATCATGATGAGTAGAATACTAAGTGAACAGAAATCCATTTAAATGATAAAATTAGGGATTTGATTAAGAATAATTCAATAAAGAATCAATGATTGCTCATTTAATTAGCTTTGCTATTAACTATTAATTAAATTATTAATCGAATTTTTCCTAGAATTTCTGAGAATAATAAGATTTATCCAGCTTTACACCTTAAAATCTTCTTCCCTCAACAATTCATGAGTATACTTTAAAATGAGTATCCAGATTTTTGAACAAATCCAATTTCTAAGGTTCAACAGGGATTTCAACTTTAGGCGCACAGATATTAAGGGGTTTTATTAAAGAATTGAGGATTTTTAAATAAGGTATTTTTAGGAACAAAAAGGAACAAATTGATAAATCTTAATATATTAATTCATTCTGCATTGTTTTTGAAGTGGGACTATTTACCATCTCATATTCCAAATACATCATCGGATAGGTTTATGTTTTCACAATAGGGGTCATTTAAATTGAATTTGAACTCATTAAAGAGAAGAGGCGAGTACTGATCTTGGTTTATATTATCATCCGAATATTATTGGATTTGAATTATTGGTTCTATTTGTTATTAAGTCTAAATTTGGCTCCATTAGGGATTTCTATCTTTTTCAATTACTGATGGTTTCGATTTGGGAGTCTTCTTAACTAGTTTTTTTTGGATGGGAATCAGTTTCTTCTTTTGCGATGATTTTGAGGCATCCTATTATTGGCGATAATTCTTTAACAATACAAAGGGTTCTGAAAGCATAATTATTATTTTAATAACTGTATATAAAAAAAATGAAGCAGGATAAAGAAATGCCATTTAATGGAGATTTCGAAGATAGTGATGCAGATGAGGATGATGTCTCACACGACTCTGAAAGCGAAGAAGAACAAATATAAGTAAAAAAGAAGAAGAAGAAAGTTGTAAATTCTAGCAAGAAGTTAATAATGAATGTTTCAGGTATTCAGGACATAATTAAATAGACACTTAGTATCCTGTAGTTAAATTTGTTGGAAAAATGATTTATAAGTTCAAATTGTCTTATGTTCCTTATCTAGAAAACAACAATTGGGACTTTTGTTGGACTGACAATGCTGTCCTGCCTGAAACACTCTCCAAAATGCAACGTATTAATCTAATTTCTATGATAAGCTCATTAAAGAATCAATCATTTTCCAGGTATGTATTCTCTGGCAAGGAAAAACCACTTGGGTCGTAATCTCAATAAAATGCAAAAATAATATCCAGATGAATACGACTTTTATCCAAGAACTTGGATGCTGCCAAGTGAATACGGCGATTTCAAGGCTTAGTTCCAGAAGGGCAAAGCAAAGACCTTCATTGTAAAACCTGAAGCCTCTTGTTAAGGAAAAGGTATCTAATTGATTAAATACAAAAGGGATATTTTTGACTCGCTCTATAGATTAGATTAACCCCCAAGAACATTATGTTGCGTAAAGGTATATTCATAAGCCATTATTGATTGATGGATTAAAGTTTGACCTAAGAATGTACGTCATGATTTGTGGGTGTGATCCCCTTAGGATCTACTTGTATAAAGAAGGGTTGGCTCGTTTTGCTACCTCATAATACTCCTCCCCTCATTCGACTAATCTTGATGATGTTTGTATGCATCTGACGAATTATGCAATAAATAAAGACAACCCAAATTTTGTATTTAATGAAGACGAAAAGAAGATGGATGTTGGACATAAAAGAAGTATGACTAGTGTTTTTGAGTTGCTAAGAATTCAAGTAAAAATAATAACAAATTATATAGAAATAAAATGTAGATTAATTATTGAGTGACATCAAGGATTTAATTATTAAGACCTTTTGTGCTGTTCAACCAATTTTATAATAAAATTACACGCAGGTTGAAAATTATGCAAACAATATGTGCTTTGAAATTCTTGGTTTTGACATATTAATAGATAGTTCACTTAAACCATATTTATTGGAAGTCAATCACACGCCTAGCTTTACAACTGACACTCCTCTAGATTCTTACATTAAAAAGAATCTCATACGAGATGCCATTACTTTAATGAATATCAATGTGAAAACAAAGAATGAAATCATCTCATAGACGAAGGATCAAATGCAAAAACGAGTACTTACTGGGAAAAAGGCTAAATTATCATTTGAGGAAAAGCGAGTATTGAAGTTGCAAGCGTAGAAAGAAAGAGACGAGTATGAATGTAAGAATAAAGGGGACTTTGAATTGATATATCCATGTGATAAATCCTATGAAGAATTCTTACAACATTCTTAGAAATTATACGAAGATTGGACTGGAGCAAGTACATTACATTTTTATCGCCTTATTAGACATAAGGAGGAATTTGAAAAGAGACACTATTTCTGAATAACCAAAACCTTAATCCTGTTCGCAGAAGCCAATACTTACATAGAAAAGCTAATTGTATAAGCATGTCTAAAGCAAAGTCAATACTAATTTATACCCTACTAAAAATACAAAGGCTGATTAGGAAGTCACTTAAGAGGAGCCAGAGCAAACCTTTTAGCATGCGCATGAACCTATTTAATCCTAACCTCAGCTTGAACCAGATAATTTTGTCACCTATGAGGATTATCACTAATCAGAGTCGCTAAAAGACTTGTACAACTTTGCAGAAAAGAGAATCCCAGAAATACAGCTTATCGATTTGATTTAATTTAGAAGAGCAGAAAGCAAATAGGATAATTCAAGTTTCTAGATCATTCAAATGAGTCAATAGAATTCCTTATCGAACTTGTCTCCATTAATGTAGATCAAATCAATTCAAGATTCAAAGAATGAGAAGAAGTTCTCTATAAGGAAAAAAAATAAACAACCCAAATAGATTGATTAAGAACAAGTAAACCATATGATGTTAATTCTAGTTATACTTTCAACCACAACCCCATTATCAGCCTCCGATCTAATAGCATTCAATTTCTTATCAATAATAGGTGTAGATGCAAAATGGTTCATTTATCAAGCCAAAGGTTTTTAGTATAAAATTGTAGCATCCTCCAAAGGGATATAAATTGTAATCACTTCCCATTTTAATGTAATAAAATTATACAAAATAACGGTATGAGTAAGGAGTATGAATTTCGTTTTTTCTTAAATAATTGTTATCATATATTATATCATTCCTTTACTTCTTTCAGTAAAGACATAAGAACTCTAATTTTTAATTTCATTTTTTAAACCATATTTTATAACAAAATTAATTATAGACCTAAGCAGATAAAATTTTTTCCAATTTAGCTTAATATATGTAAGATCGATACCAATGAATTCAAGTATTTGTTATATATCAAACACAAAATTATCGATTTTTTCACTCTATTCATATGCTTTTATAATGATAATAAGCAAATCTGAAAGAGTGATTAACCGTTATTAGAGTTATCGAGTTCTGTTACAGCTTTGAGGTAATTGAAAATGAAACTTAGACATTTAAATATAAAAAACGTATTTTTATCATACAAGTATGATGTTAAACAAAGATTTATTATTATAATATGATCGAATAATTTTAAGTTCAAGGAGCCAAGGACAAGTATATTGTCTATAATAAAGTCTTGGGAAAGGGGGCCTACGGGGTTGTTTTATTGGCAAAGGCTGCTAACTTAGGGAGTTATCACGCTGCTAAAATTGTAAATGTTTTTAGTAACTTCTTAAGATTAGTAAAAAATCTCTTTCTTAGACAGACATTTTCAATTTAAGAAATGAAATTAATATATAATCCAAGTTGGCCCATCCAAATATTGTTGCAATGGTCGATGCCTTCGAAGACAATGAATATTTATATATGTTGCTTGAGTATTGCAATGGAGGATGTCTATTTACAAACATACAGTTAAGTGGGCCTCTAAGAGAGGAGAAAGCTTAGCAATATTTTGTGCAAATTTTGAAGGCTGTCCAATATTTACATTCAAAGAATATTTTACACAGAGACATAAAGGTAAAAAACTTAGAATATTGAAATAGCTGTCAAATTTGCTTTTAACATCTCAAGATCAAATTAAATTAGCTGATTTCACTTGGAGCACATCTCTTTAAGGAGGATACGTTGGTCCTCAAATTTGTGGAACACTTGAGTATATGCCACCTGAGGTTTTGGGAAATAAGGTCTAAAATGAAAAACTAGACATATGGAGTTTGGGAATTGTGTTATATGTATACATCAATAAATAATATTATAGGAAATGCTTCACAATGACTTTCCAAAGGTTGGATAATTGTTTTTCAAATTCGGAATTAGTGAAGAATGCAAATCATTGATCAAATAAATGTTGGAAAACGATCCGTATCGAAGGCCTACAACGAGTGAAATACAAATGAGTCCTTGGATTAAGAGATATCATAGATATAAAGAACTCTCTATCAATATCATCAAGAGTTCAAGCAACTTGCAGGATCAAAAAGCAATTAACTCTATGTCTTTTGTAGCAGGGTCCCCCTTAGGCTCTCCATTAAGATCAGGATTAGGAACTCCTCAAATAAATACATTAGGACCTCCTTTGAGAAATAAATTAGGCTCTCCCTTTCGATATTCATTCAACAATGGCTTTGAATCTCCGCTTGGTTCTCCTATGCAATCCCCGATGAATTCACCTCTTACAAATGTGGGTAAACGTGTTGCTACAGAGCCAACTAGAATCAGTGCTTAGAAATTGGTATGAAAATTACATTTCAACTTCTTTTAATTCAATCTTAAGTGCTTATATAATATATTATTATTTTCTTAAAATATTAATTATAACATTCGGAAAATAATTTCATTATTCCTTCCTAAATATTTTAGTTATGTGTTGTTAACTTTATGGAATTTTCTAAGAGTTTGATTAAACCTATGATTTAATTTGAAAAATAAGATTAGTTAAAATGTCTATCTAAATTTAAAGAAATGATTAAAATGCTTTGAACATATATATACAATAGTCAAATCATATTCTTATCCAACTAGTTGAATATATATATATCAATATGATGTATTTTATTCAATAATGCAATATAATGCTTTTTTTCTTTAGATTAATTCTACTGTAGACAAGTAAATAATTATGAATTTGAAGGGGAATGTGCTTTAGTTAATTCTCCTGAATAATTCTAGGAGTTTTAATAGAATAATGGTAAATTATGTTTAACAATATTAATATATATTAAAATTTGTTGAGAATAATTTAAAATTTTATTATTACATAAGTATGATGTATATAGATTTCGTTCTTTAAAAATCCGATGATAATTAATTGATTTAGCAATATTTAAATTTTTAATTAATTAGGAAATAATATATAATGTAATCTGGAAACAATATTTTTGTTTTCACTCAACAAGACTTCTAAAAATGTTTTGTTGTGAATTTGAACCCGCCTTTGGGTCAAGGACATGATGCGAGAGTTTATTTGGCTATGCATAAGAAAACAGGAGAAATGTTTGCTTTGAAAGTGTTAACAAATTTATCATAGGATCACATAAAAAATCTCCAGGTTTAATTACAATTTATTTAGCGAACGAAATACAAATTCTTAAATGCATAGATCACGCAGGGACAGTTTTGTTGAAAGGGTACGCTTAAGATTACACTTGCGTTCTATTGGAGTACATGCCAAATGACACATTCTTAAAAGTCTTGAAGAAAGGTCCATTCCAATTGTCGTTTGCTAAGACTTTGGCAGCCTATCTGACAAGAGTGCTAGTCACCCTCCACACAGCTTTGATAGCCCATTGTGACATAAAGCCTGAGAATATTTTAATAGCCGCAGATTACAATTTGAAGCTTTGTGATTTTGGTTTTGCTCGAGTCTGTAACGAGCCCTTAAGACCTCCTGGAGGCACTCCTGGATACACAGCACCTGAGATGTACATTACTCCATAGGTAAACCTATTTAAGTGTGACATTTTTGCATTGGGTGTCGTGTTATTTATTGTAGTCATGGGATTCCCCCCCTTTCAAAATAATGACCCTAATGTGAAAGATGGATGGTGGGGTTTAATTCAGAATAAGCAATTCGACATTTTCTGGAGCAAATGCGAGTCATTCAGACAATAACAATTTCCACAAGAATTCAAGAACTTGATTATGTCGATGTTGGAATGCGATCCAGAAAAACGGATATCTTTGTAGTAAGTGTTGGAACATGAATTTTTATAGAATGGAGCTTCAGAGGAGGAGGTGTTACAGGAAATTGAGAAACGAGTTAAGGAATGAATTGAAAATTTAGAAATAATATTCAAAAATATACATTAATTTAATATTAAATTATGAGTTCATCGCAAAACTCTTATGAAAGTGCATCATCGGCATTGTCGAACACTGAGGACTTAGTCAGCAAGTTGAGTTAGGGAGTGGTAGAGGTCTTGGTAAAGGGAACAATTTGCGGAATGGTCCATTTGTTAGTATTTACAGTACTAAAACAAAAATTCATTACCGATAAAGTGAGGTGAAAAAGAATATCATTATTATTAAAATAACATTATAATTATTTTATTATCATCCAGATGTAGAGGCTCTTGAAACCTATTCAGATATAACAGCCTGTCTTGTAGAGAATGGAAAATGCAAGATCGGATTGTTCGGCTGATGAAGACCTTAGTTTTATAGAAATTTTAAGAGCTGAAGCTCAAAACCCAATGATAAAAAACTTCTCAAAGGAGGATTCTATTGTAGATGACACAAAGGATTTGGAAGAATTCCTTAATTCTCTTGATTGAAATCAATGATGAAAGAGGAAACCCACTTCATAGTGAAAACCTCTTTTTCGACTGATTATAATACATAAACTTTTAATCAAAAATACCTTCAAAATCCCTTATTCGCATGAAGCCATTATCCATTTTGCTTCATATTCGGTTTTTTCACAATAGGAATTTCCAAATTTTCACCAAAAACAGTGTTATTTCCATTATTTTTGAACTATAATAATTTTCCACAAAATTCTCATATTTTCAAAAATTCCACTAAACCCAGTCTCAGTTTTTCCTTTGAAATGCCATCCTCTACAACTGTGAACATCAGAGTTTCTTTATGCATTAGCAGCTTCAAGTGTTTATTAAAATAAGTGGATACGTTTTTGGAATTTGATTCAATAAGATGTTGGAAATTGAAGAAGATTAAATTATTTTCATCCATGAGAGTGCTTGAATTGTCTACAGATTAAAATAAAATTATAAATAGTTAAAAAAACAGGAGATAAATTAGGTCAAACAACTAGTATTTAGATTGATAATATTGCAGTGAAATTTTCAATATAATTCTAAATAATTCATGTTAATAATTGTCAAAATAAATTTGATAGACTATTTGAGAGTGTCTCTTGTTATCTGAGTGATTATTTTCAATCAGTGGATTAGGAAGGCTGTGGTCGTTGAAGTTGAGAATATATATATAAATATAAATTAATTATTAATGAATAAGGATAAATATAAGAAGGTAAAAGGAGATCCAAATCGTTCTAGGTCACGAGACAAGGAAAAGAATGAGGTGCTGAGATTCCCTCCAATAAATTAAGAACAATTTAGAGCGGTTGTTATAGAATTTATGCTGAGTGATTAATTTGATTACCCTATTTCAGGAGGTGAATTATACACTTACATAAACACAATATTTTTAGTATTGCATTAATTCATTCATTTAAGACTAAAACAAGTACTCCTTATTTGAGAAATCTCTAAATTGAACCAATCTTAATTTAATTGTCCGAAGCCGGTGCAATCAATCTATCAAAACTAGCCGTAGGTACATATTTACAGGATTTCATTTTATCAATCTCAAAGGAGAAATTGGGATAAATGAACATATAATATTCTAAGGATAAACCAAAACAAATGCCAACAGTGGAAGAATGGATCAAAGAGGAAATCAGATCAATTACAAGTGGATAAACATTTCTAAAAATTGATCACTTATTGGATGAAGCTAGAAATTAAAAAACTAATGTTAGTTTATTACCCAAGATTGCTGCTCAGAAAAAGAGATTGATTGAAAATGTAGGCAATATTAGTTTAAAATATGAAGATAATGTTGTTTAATTGGCATTGGAAAGGAAAAGAGCAGCTTTGTTGAAAACTGAAAATTATGATGAGGAAGAAGCAAAAAGAAAATTTACAGAAAGAGGACTTCAAATATGTGAAAACTTCACAAGAGACAAATGTAGAAATGTTTAATGTCAGAAAACTCATTTTAGAAAGATACTCAAAGCAAATACATAAACAAAATTAGGTAATTGTACATATTTGGATTAATGTCCTGAGTAAGAATAATGTAAATACATACATTACATTCTCGATGGAAATGATGTTGATTGGCAAAAAAGAATTTAGACAGCATTATCTAATCATAAGAGTATGCCACCTCAATGGATTAATTGTGATTTAAGAATTTTCGATTTTAGAGTCCTAGGAAAATTTGATGTTATCATGGCTGATCCTCCTTGGGATATCCATATGAATTTACCTTACGGAACTCTAAAAGACAAGGAAATGAAAGCATTAAGAGTAGATTTGTTGCAGAATGATGGAATCATTTTCTTATGGGTCACAGGCAGAGCCATGGAATTGGGAAGAGAGTGTTTAATACTTTGGGGTTACAGAAGAGTTGAAGAATTGGTTTGGATTAAAGTAAATCAATTGCATCGCATAATCAGAACAGGAAGAACTGGCCATTGGCTTAATCATAGTAAAGTAAATTATTATCTCATCTCATAGGAACACTGTTTGATTGGAATCAAAGGAAATCCTCAATTAATCAAAGGATTAGATTGTGATGTCATTGTCTCAGAAGTTAGAGAAACCTCCAGAAAACCTGATGAAGTTTATGGTATTATAAACAGAATGTGTCCAAATGGAAAAAAAGTAGAATTGTTTGGAAGACCTCATAATTGTAGACCTAATTGGATCACTCTAGGCAATCAACTTCCAGGAGTATTTCTCAAAGATGATGGAATAAGATAAAGGTAATTAATTTACTTATTATATAGGTTTATGGAAGCTTATCCAAGTGTAGATATCTCAGAAAACAACATGAATGATAATTTGGTTTAGATGTCGAATCAAGAAAACTTAAATGTTATTTATAACAATCATATCGGTAAAAAAGAATGAATTATAAAATAATAAAATTAACAGACTTTTCGTTATTTAATTTGCAAGCTTATCATAAACAAGTATAATCATCAAATAAGTACCAAGTTCATCAGATCTCTATGCTCTCGTATTGTTTTAATCTCTCTTCATAAACTTCAAATACTTCCTTTTAAATAAATAATTCGTAATTCAGCATGTTCAAGAATTCCTTCTCCAGTTAATTTATCTCCTTTAATGACAGTCCTCCAACCTTCGCATAATATTCATTTTTGTAATACTCATCATCATAATACTTTATTGCCACCATTATCGACACTATCATAAATCAAAGCATAATTAAAAATTCATACCTATGTATACAATTTGAATTAAGCACTACATTTTAGTGCATCTCCTAAATTTTATCCAGATATATTAATGCAAAGACAAAGCAAACACTATTGCAATGTGCATATTTTGCAATCCTCTGAATGTAATTCTCTATTGAAATAGATGGGGTTCGTGAGGTATGGAATGGAGAAGCCTATTACAGACTCAATGGATCTGTTTCCGTTAAAATTTCTTCTAAAATTTTTGCTATTGTGAGAAGCAACTAATTAATTGGTTGCATTTACAAATTAGATATTTATCGAATGATTATGATTGTTTATACAATTAAATATCTATATATTATCCTCATTCGTAATTAATATAACTCATTAGCATCTCATAGACAGAAGGCTGATTATTAATATTTGAATTCTCTTATTGAGGAGCCATTTAAAATTAAGGAGCAAACATTGAACTCTTGAACTGTTAATTAAAAGGTTGTGATTATGAATATTCTTAGTAGAGAGATTGATTTTAATAATTAAATTATTATGATTAGTTTAACAAAATTTTTTATTATTCTAAAACTAATTATTCTTATCTTAGCTACTCTTGTTTAATTTGTTCTTATTTAAGTTACTCTTATCTAACTAATTCTAATCTAATTTATTATTATCTAATTTATTCTTATCTAATTTATTCTTATCTTAATTATTCTTATCTTAATTATTCTTATCTAATTTATTCTTATCTAATTTATTCTTATCTTAATTATTCTTATCTAATTTATTCTTATCTTATTTATTCTTATCTTAATTATTCTTATCTAATTTATTCTTATCTNGAATTGTTTGGAAGACCTCATAATTGTAGACCTAATTGGATCACTCTAGGCAATCAACTTCCAGGAGTATTTCTCAAAGATGATGGAATAAGATAAAGGTAATTAATTTACTTATTATATAGGTTTATGGAAGCTTATCCAAGTGTAGATATCTCAGAAAACAACATGAATGATAATTTGGTTTAGATGTCGAATCAAGAAAACTTAAATGTTATTTATAACAATCATATCGGTAAAAAAGAATGAATTATAAAATAATAAAATTAACAGACTTTTCGTTATTTAATTTGCAAGCTTATCATAAACAAGTATAATCATCAAATAAGTACCAAGTTCATCAGATCTCTATGCTCTCGTATTGTTTTAATCTCTCTTCATAAACTTCAAATACTTCCTTTTAAATAAATAATTCGTAATTCAGCATGTTCAAGAATTCCTTCTCCAGTTAATTTATCTCCTTTAATGACAGTCCTCCAACCTTCGCATAATATTCATTTTTGTAATACTCATCATCATAATACTTTATTGCCACCATTATCGACACTATCATAAATCAAAGCATAATTAAAAATTCATACCTATGTATACAATTTGAATTAAGCACTACATTTTAGTGCATCTCCTAAATTTTATCCAGATATATTAATGCAAAGACAAAGCAAACACTATTGCAATGTGCATATTTTGCAATCCTCTGAATGTAATTCTCTATTGAAATAGATGGGGTTCGTGAGGTATGGAATGGAGAAGCCTATTACAGACTCAATGGATCTGTTTCCGTTAAAATTTCTTCTAAAATTTTTGCTATTGTGAGAAGCAACTAATTAATTGGTTGCATTTACAAATTAGATATTTATCGAATGATTATGATTGTTTATACAATTAAATATCTATATATTATCCTCATTCGTAATTAATATAACTCATTAGCATCTCATAGACAGAAGGCTGATTATTAATATTTGAATTCTCTTATTGAGGAGCCATTTAAAATTAAGGAGCAAACATTGAACTCTTGAACTGTTAATTAAAAGGTTGTGATTATGAATATTCTTAGTAGAGAGATTGATTTTAATAATTAAATTATTATGATTAGTTTAACAAAATTTTTTATTATTCTAAAACTAATTATTCTTATCTTAGCTACTCTTGTTTAATTTGTTCTTATTTAAGTTACTCTTATCTAACTAATTCTAATCTAATTTATTATTATCTAATTTATTCTTATCTAATTTATTCTTATCTAATTTATTCTTATCTTAATTATTCTTATCTAATTTATTCTTATCTAATTTATTCTTATCTTAATTATTCTTATCTAATTTATTCTTATCTTATTTATTCTTATCTTAATTATTCTTATCTAATTTATTCTTATCTTATTTATTCTTATCTTAATTATTCTTATCTAATTTGTTCTTATCTTAATTTTTCTTATTCTTCTTATTTTTTAATCTAATCTTATTTAATTTTATCTTCAACAGCAAAATTTTATTTACTATGTTATTATTGTGAGTCTTTAGAATGATCTACATTTAATTATTAATTGATAGTCTCTACATTTTATGTATTTCCATTCAAAGTTTATTCTTCCTATTTCTGTTGAATTATATTCTACGTTTAAGTAATTATTGATTTAGGCACATAAGGGCAATCATCATCTTAGTGTTTTGGAACATAAATGTATTTTGGATAAAATGAGTTTTATTAAGGTATTTTAGGTTTTTAATTTAGTTATTATTTTCTGCGTCCTTCATATTTAATGTTGTTTTTATCGGAATCAAATTTTTCATATTTTCGATTTTGATAGTTGTATTTCCGTGGAGAAACTTCTCTTCTTCTATCTCCGGAATTATTTCTTCTTTAAGTTCTTTAATTTTCATTTTATGAAGGCTATCTTTATGGGTGATAATCTGGGTCATGTTTATTAGTCACAGATTATGATCTCTTTGGTTTTTGATTATTTTCACTTGATTTGGTAATCTTGTGAATGAGTGCCTTCCTTTTGCTTGTTATTTCAATCCAATCATCGTCTCCGTTGTCTTGTTAATTTTGATTTTAGATTTAAATGCTAATGAATTCATTTGCAATCTCTCTATTGAAATCGAACTGCTTATAAATTTTGTACAAAGCAAATTTCTTTTTTAATTGTAAATTGAATTTACTTAGAAACTAGGATATTATTGAGAGATTAATTTAATGTCCTGTTTGATTTCCTAACTCAATTTATTTTTGTTCTCCTAATATTCTGCCTCATATTTCTCTTTGATTGCTTTATTGCCTGCTTTCAACTATTCTTCTTATTGTAATTTTTTCTTTTCAGCCTCCCTCTGTAATCTCTCTGCAATATTCATCTTCTAAAATGAGAAATAATTTAAATAATTTTTAGCTAATCCACAATAATATTTTCAAATAATCAATCATAATCATCGAGGCCAACCAATGAAAATCATTGATTTTAGCATCATTCAATCATATCATTTCATAAATGCAAGTAGATAGAATAATCAAATTTTTGGATCTATATAACCAAGCATAAAATGTGATATACATAATTATGATAATTATTTATGATAGTAATATGATAATATTTTTCTGACATAAAAATCATAAATGTTGAGATAATCACTTAACAAAATATGTAGAAAGACCAAGCTTTAGAGATTCAGCTGTTGCTTCAGCAATTATACTCAGAAGAATCCTGCAATGAAATATGATGATGAATTCAGAACAACCATAAATCACGAAGGCAAATTACTACCAAATGCAGATCATTCCTTTATAGCTGATCACGATGACAAATATGGGTTGTAACATATCAGGGATCCTGCGAAGATATTGACACACTTGAAATCAGTTGAATTCAAATATTCATTCAACGATTTGATCTACTTTTTGCGTCATCTGGTTCACATTTCAGAAGAACATGGTCTAAGATCGCAGATAATGAACAATTACAATTTTAAGGAGTTTTTGAATCACATAAAGAAATGCTTGGTGACAAATCAACATGACAAATTCCCCTTGATTGGATCCTACGCTTATTGCTTGAACAAATTGGATATCAACGACAGAGAAATGTGGAGATTACTGGAATACAAAATATTAGAAGATCAATATCATACAACATTTGATGAGAGTGTCTTTGCAGCTCAAGGGTTCTGCAAATTGCCGTTGATGTATTATGGCCAAAGTGAAGAAACCATATAAGCCAGGATTGATAAGGTTTACAAGAAATTGGAAAGAGTTATTCGCATAACCATTTGGGAAGTCAACCCTGTCCATTATCATTCCATAGCAATGGCATTGGCCAAAGTCAATAGATTTGATCCCCAAATGTTTGCCAAATTGGAACAACACATCTTGACCAATCTATCCTTGAACTACACCACCAAGATGATGATTGACATCCTATTCTGTTTTGCCAAGGGAAAGTAAGGATCCTTGGAATTTTACGATTCGATGCAATATGTCATCTTCAAAGGTCACATGTTCAATCGAAACTATTTCTTGCAATCGCTCTCGGAATTAAGTTACGATGGACATCTCGTAGCAAGATTATTAGGAATCTACAAAGAAGCCTAGGATAAGTATCATGAATTCCAATTGCATCCTGACTTTCAAAGCAAAGTTCACAATCTCATGGTCAATAAGCTGACTTATTATGATTTAGAATCTCTGGTAACAACTATGACTCTACTACCCACCTTCCTGAAAGACGATGCCAAAAATATCCAAAATAATCTAATCAATCGAATTACCTAGATTCCAGGTTAATTCTAAATCCAAGACATAATTAAATTTTATGAGTTCGTTGAGTAGAACTATGATGACATCAAGAATGCCCCAATTTAATAAATGCATTTCGTGGAGGATAACCTATACAAATACAGCGATTCTGTGAGCATGGACGATTTGATTATCATATTGCAATATTTGGTATAGAATTACGTTGATCATAGTATGAGAGACCTAAGTTCATATTGTAGCCAGATAAGTTTATTAATCAAGTCGTCAAGACCTTTGATCAGAACATTAATCTAATGACTGCAGCCTAGATAGATATGTTGACATCGCTCTTTTAGCCTTTTTTGGAGTTCCAATAGAAACAGATTGGAGATTCTTTGAATATAAAGAGTACATTAAAAAAGTTAAAGGACATTCAACTAATTAAGTAATATTATTAGAAGTAAATAGAATGAAATATTTATTGTATATAGATATTTGCATTAATTTATATAATTATATAATTATGGTTATAAAATTACTCAAATATAATTTTATCAATGCCATTTAACAATAATAAAAATGAAAAAGAAATTCATCATCATTTCTTTAGAGGGTAACATAGGAGCAGGTAAATCAACATTGTTTGAAATCTTAAGGGAAGAATACCCTTAAGCTATATTCCTTATGGAACCTTTGGAGCAATGGCAAAAAATTAATGGGAATTCCAATCTCAATATTTTAGAGAAGTACTACTCAGATGCAGATAGGTGGGGGTTTACTTTTTAAATTTACGCCTACTAATCTAGGTTAATGGCTTGGGATAGACAATTGCAATAAGTGTTACAAAATAATCAACAGCCAGTTTTAGTGTTTACAGAGAGAAGTATTGAAAGTGCCAGAGAACTCTTCTTTTAATTATGTTACAATGATGGAAAGATCAGTCAAATAGAGTTTGAGATATATGAGGAATTTTATTAATGGCTCATGAACCATTATCAATAGTACTTGATAGATTGTGTGATATATGTCAATACTCCGCCAGAAGTGTGTTTGGAAAGATTGATAAAGAGAGGGAGATCAGAGGAAGCATGTGTGCCACTTGATTATTTGAAGAAATTGCATTAAAGACACGAGGATTGGTTGTCTGAAACATCTAATAGGTTCTTAACTATAAAGATTGACGCAACTTTGAATTATGTATAAGATTAGAAGGTGAAGGAGAGTGTGCGACAACTGTTATTATTGGAGATATAAAAATTAAAGGAGTTGCTGAATTGAATTGGAATATACTTGTGATTTTATTATTATAAAATTTCCCATTAATCTAATCGTTTATACTTAAATAATTTTTAATTTATGAATAGATTATCCTAGTTGAGTGGACAATTTGATGAGGAATAGAAATTGCTCTAGCAAATAACCTAATTGGAAAAGTAATGATTCAAAATTATCTAATCATTTAGTTGGTTCAAGAGTCCACGTTTCAATAATGTTTTGCGTCCATACACAGCCAAATAAGTTGCTGAAGTAAGAGGATCAATTGTACCTAATCAATTCTCTGATTTCATGGCAAGAAAATTCTATAATCTCATGATGGATTTAAAATAAAGCAAAGGGTATTTCCTATTTATGATCATAGCTTCTCTCTTGCATGTGGAGCTTTAGATACTGTGTAAGTTATCAATATGTCTAAATACATGACATCTATTTATGTATCAGGTTGGCAGTGCTCATCTTCAGCTTCTACTACTAATGATCCAGGACCTGATTTTGCTGATTATCCATATGACACTGTGCCTAAGAAATGTGATCAGCTAGTCAAAGTAATCATAAATTTGATGGTAGATGCAAAGATTTCAAGACAGAAGATAGTAGTATGAAAGAAGTCTAATTACTGCTGAATAACGAAAATAAAAAAAACCTTATGATTACCTCGTTCCAGTTATTTGCGATGCAGATGCTGGATTTGGTGGTACCAGCAGTGTAATGAAATTGACTAAATTATTTATTGAATCTGGAGCTGCAGGAATTCATTTGGAGGATCAGAGACCTGATTTAAAGAAATGTGGTCACATGGCTGGAAGAGTTGTCACTTCTACTAATACTCATGTCTAAAAACTCATAGCTTCTCGACTTCAAGCCGACATTATGGGAAATGAATTATTCATAATTGCAAGAACTGATGCATTAGGAGCAAGGTTCATAGAGACCAATGTGGATTTGATTGATTAACCATACATTCTAGGGGTTACCAAGTTTCATGATAAACCATGCACTTACCCAGAAGCAGGAGTTTTTATCATTGAACAAATGATTGACAAAGAGAAGAGAATACAAGCCACCAATTAATGGTTGAAATAATGTGAATCAGGTGGAATCAAAAGAGCAAGGGATTTAGCAAAGAGATTGGGATTTGAACTCGACTTCGATTGGGAACAATGCAGAAATCCTGATGGATTCTATGCTCTTAAGAGTAGTGTTCATTATTGTGCAATTAGAGCCAAAGTACTCATATAAATTAAATATAAGGAATACTTGAAATATGCAGATGCCTTATGGATGGAGACTTCAACTCCTGATCTGAAGGTTGCTAAGGAATTATCCGATGAATTACAATTCGAACTTCAGAATAACAAGGTGCTATGTTATAATTGTTCTCCAAGTTTTAATTGGAGCAAATTTGGATTCTCAGACAGCGAACTCAAAAACTTTAATTCAGAATTAGGGAAGTTGGGATACACTTGGCAGGTTCTCATTTACTAATATCAATGTAGTTCATTACGTTAGCAGGATTTCATTTGAATGCTCTACAAAGTGAAAGATTCTCCAAGGACTTATCAGAAAGATATATGTTGGCTTATGTGGAAGATATTCAAAGGAAGGAAGAGAAACATAATGTTGATCAATTGAGACATCAAAAGTAATCTTCATCATATATTATTCTAGATGGTCTGGAGCTGAATTAATTGATCATGTCATGACTATTGTTAATCAAAGTACATTGATATCTTCAGGCGAAGACTCAACTGAACATTAATTCGACAATAAATGATTACGTGTTAAATAAATATATAATGATATCATTATGTCAAAATATAAGACAGGCAACATACTCATCAGCTCTAACTGCCTTATTCTTCTCAAAATTCAATTGGCAATCCTTCAAAATCTAATCCAACTCACTCTTGCTTGTGATTGAGCCCAATGCAGTTGTCAATGTTTATTTGGCGTAAAAACTAGAACAATCATTAAATTTATGATCCATATTCCTTGGAGAATAGTATTATTATTAAGCAACTATCTCTTTCACTGTCACTTAAGAATCTTATAACTAATTTTATCCTAATTTCGGTGTTTCCGCATTCAATTCTTTATCCTTTTCTTTCCTTATGCATTCTAATACTCTTGCCGTATGGACAGTGATAATTTTCTTATTTGTTAATTCCCCGTCTGATGCGTTGTATTTGTGATCTTTTTTTACGGTTTGAGGTTCTGTCAATGAAAATGCCCTCTTTTTGGATTTTTACTAATTTCCCTATTAGAATAGATATTATTATTCCTCTTGTCTAGGAGATTGAGCAAATGAGCTAAATATGTGAGAATATTTATTTTCACTCACACTTTGAAGATTGTCCAATGGGACCATCTTAAAAACGGGATTCTAACTATTGTGAATACATTTTCATAATACAATTTTGTTTTGTCATTATTATGTATTACATTCGATTGGGATGAATCTACCCTTACACTCTCATTTGAAATAGACTTTGATTCTTTTATTTTCTAAACAGTATTCAGAATTTATAGCATTTATCAGTTAGATTTATGGATTATATTTATATTATAATTCCCCTTTATTTATTTTTATTATAATTTACTCAACTAAAATTTAATTAATCAAATTTGAACTCATTCTTGAAATTCATGTAAAAATGCCTTAAAGGATTCTATCTTATATTTTAAACACAAAGAATTATGTTAATCAACATTCATTTATTTGGCATAGTGAAATCTGATTATTTTGATTATTAATTCAACTTTTTCAATATTATACAATAGACAATATCTTTACGATTTAAATTACTTTATACTTGTAAATAAATTCTTCACCTTCGTTTAATCCCATTATTATTTATTTTTATGATTGAATTAAACATAAAATTGAATTGAATATAAAACATATGAAATCTTATTACTACTGGCACTTTTGACATTTCTGATTATTTTCCTTTATGATAACTTCCAATTGTATTGTTATTTTCCTGCAAATTGTATTAATTTAAGTAGTAGATGTCTAAAATTATTCAAAAATTTATCTCACTCTTACTTTATGCTATAAAGTTCAAATCTTACAAGCAAGTTTTCAACTATACATCATAACCAAAATAAATAGTCAGACTCATTTTACTCAACTTATATAATAACTCCTAGTTAAGATATTTATTATCAACAAAAATGGTATTAATGATTCTATTCGAATGATATATTTACGTAATATAAGACTGTTTGAAATTTTGATTGGTTAATTAAATCGCTATAGAGTTGGTAGAATTCAACGATAATTCTTTTATGAGATTGAAATTTGTTTTCAGTTTTTAGATGATTGAAAAAATAAAATAATTAAATTGATATTAAAAGAAATTAGCTGGGCCAAGGAAATGGAACTCATCTTGAGAAAGAAAATAACAGAAAAAATGTATATGTTGCCTATTATGTTTATATCCCCTCATAGGGAAATCAATCAATTTTTTCTTCTTGTTATTATATTTAATTATTTATTTGGCTTTCTATTTCTTATTTCATATTTTCATTTTCCACTTTTAACTCAGATATCTCTTATCTCATTTTTTCCATTTCCAATTTGTCACTTTAGTCTAAAGTCTCTTGTTATTCACTTTCGGATCTCTTATCAGGTTCTTGATCAGATGATTGACTATTATGTATTTCTGGATCTTCTGATGATGAAGATACACTGTCACTCTGCTTTTAAATATTTAATATTTGTTGTTAAAGCCCTTTTTCTATAATTTGCAATCTTTTTAACTTTTCCTTCTGCTGCTACAACGTAACTCTCTATTCAACTGTATGTTACAATAACATTATAAAATCAAATAATTTTTGTCGATTTTACTCTTTTAATTCCTCTTCGTTGAGTTATTCATTAGTAGCTTAATTTGTATTACTAAATGAATCACTGTCTTCTTATTTAGATTATTATTATAGTGATTATTATTATTATAGAAGCTCGAAAATTTTATCTTTTTCTAATTTTTAATAGTATTCACTTAAAATCTTAATTTCATCGTAAACTTTCAAAAGTTCTAGCGAAGTATTTACATCATCTTGATTTAAGAATTCTTCAATTTTGGTTTCAATCTTACCCATTAATTGATTTATATTTTAATTAAGCAACACAAAATCTATGAAATCTTGACTTTCTTCTTCTTTACAGTTTTATTTCTCATTTAATTATTCTTTCAATTAGCTAAATTCATTCATAAGTGATTGAGCTTCCCAATATTTTATTTCCTGATTTTTTTTTTCAAGAGAGGAGATACTTTTAGGTTTCTGCATCTCTCCTTATTAATTAGCTTGAGTTTATTTTTATTGTTAATCTTACTAAACTATTTCCGATGTTTAGGCGTTTGGAAGCTAGATATTTTTCCTTTAAATCTCAGAGTAAATTGAAAGTATCTTTGTAAGCATAGGAGATGTATTATTATCGACCATCTCCTTTTTGATATAGTAATATTAATCTGGAAATTTTACCTTTTTCTCCAATAGTCTAGTATATGTCTTAAAGAAGGCTGATTATGTCAATTAATCGCTTTAACAAGGGTACAACTTAGCCCATGCTTCTAGGCACTCTAAAGTAATTTTTAACAAACTATTTCCATATGAGATCTCTTCTTTATTTGGAGTTTGTGAGTAATAATATTTTCCTCTATTTTCATCTTGATCTTCTTTTCTAAATTCAGCTATCTTTTCAAAATACGGCAAACAAAGTTCCGAGAACATTTAATTGAAATCTGTATTTTTTTTCTCGACTGTGTCCATTCCTAACCTAGCAGCAAACAAGTTAGTAACATGCTCCTTAGTTGAGAGACCCAGAATAATGGCATGACATATTGGCTTATAAACAGTCCTTAAATTTATTCAAAGTTTACTAATCTTTATTGCTTAATCTTCTTATATATGGCTTAACATTTTGGTAGGTTTCTTTTTTTCTCAATAGAGTAAAAATTTATGTTGTCAAAATCATTATTAAGAAATAAATTATTTTAAATTTTATTAGAGAATGGGATGTTTTAAATATTAAAATCACTACAATTTAATTAAATTATAGAATAATTACTTTGTATATATTAAACCCAAAATTTTTTTCAATTTTATAAAAGCTAAATAAAAATGTATAATCCAATCTCCTTTAGGAAAATCACTTAAATTTGCAATTTAAAAAGTCAGGATTATTTAGACTGAATTAAAAAAGGAATTCATAAAGAACTACTTTGATTATATTAAAATTCTTCAAAAAGTGGTCCTTTACTAAAATGCTTCCCAATTAAAGTTAGGGATTCTCAGGATATTCATCGACTTCTCTTTTACTGAGGGGTTTTGGCAGAGTTTTACTCAAAGAGCTCAGCCAATCCAAAAGACAAGGATTTATAATTTTTGAATTTATAATATAACATAGAATATGAATTTTATTGTAATATGAATTATTTTGATCAAAGATTGATTATCATAGATGGCCTTGTAAATGTAAAATACGCATTTTGTCAACAATTCTCTGAGTTTTAATAAAATTATTAGCCCATTTTTACAAATTTTTCTTGAATTTTTCTTATTGCAGTTAAAAATTCTCATTGTTGCTCCTCTCAATTAAGTTTTGTTATTTTTCAAGTTTAGTTATATATTTTTTGACTTATTTTTCTACTTCATCAATTGATTTTGATTTCCTTATTCTTTTTTTTTATTTTTTTTCTAATTAAGACATATAGATTTAAGATTGAAAAAATAATAATTATAACATTATTAAAATGTGAAACTTTTGAATAACACTTGCATGACGTCACTTTTACTAAGCAATCGTGCAAAACACGCAGTGAGTGCTCTTTTAAAATTTAAATATAAAGGCTTTCTGCTACATGAACGATTGATTATGTATGAGATCGATTACCAAGTATTTTACAAACATCTAAGCAATCTTAACATGATACAATACCTATTTGAGATTCTAGATGAATAACTAGGATTCTCAAACCAAATCCAATTACCTTAAGACTTTGCTATAACCGTAATATTAAAGAAAAATCAATTTTATTAATATCGATTAAATTAGGAAATGAAAAAATTCTTATTATTGATGACATCAGTTATCGGTAGTTATTGCTTTAATCCAAATGACTATGTAACAATACCATTCCTCAAATTCCCAGATTCGTTGAGTTACAACGTTTTAGAGATAAATTCAATTTTTGAATATTTGATAGCATGCGTATACATAGGGTAAATTGATGACCTGATATATAGATTATTCTACTATTCAATGTACTTCTGCATCAGTCAGATTTTGGTTTGGAGTCATCCTGCACCAAAGACACCAGATAGAATAGCTCAAACAAGAGAAGAAATGAGGAGAGGAATCAAAGCTCTTTTTTATGTAATTTTGTTGACAACGGGAATAATATGGAAAATACAGCCTTTGAATCCTTATTATGGTTATTATGAGACACATGAATTTGGATTGAAGGAATTCTTCATTTCACTAATCGTGTAAAATTATATAATTATGCATAAAGATATATGGTGACTTTCGATGTGTGGTTTTACACTTCCCACATAATTGGACATACTCCCTTCTTTTGGAAGCACTTCCATGGGGAACACCATGAATTTGTCGAACCTGGAGCTTATGCTTAAGATGCAGTACACCCGGTAGAGGCTTTAATATAAGGGCCAATTGGGCATTTCTTGCCGACATTCATTTATCCATTCCACCCAGTATGTCATCATATCTTCGGGTTGTTGACATCAATCTATGCTCAATTAGCACATGATGGAAGATGGGATCCAGCCGGTCACACTTTGCATCATTATTATTATTCGTGCAATTTCAGCATTTGGGGATTTTGTGATTTTATATTCGGAACAGGTTACAACTAGTAGAAGTATCCCATTCCTTATATTCCAACTTGGCTCAGAAGCAAAGTTAACAAGAATAAGACTGAGGATAAGAAAATTATGTGATGAATAATGATATATTTGATAATGCAGATCATAATCTAGCTTTGTTGTTTGGGAATCCTAATCCTTAAGCAATCTTCTCTCCATACTCTGGGTCACATTTAGTAAACACTTTGACTTGTCTCTCTTGGATTACTCTGTTGGCATTCTAACATAATTAATTAAACAAATACCTTCAAATGTCCAACAATATTGGTTATTAACCATTATCTTTCAAAGTCATTCATAACCTTTCTGTATAGAACTCCTGGTTAAGCAAAATCGTCATTTGGATGTGATGGTTTATATCTTCCTATTAAACCAGTTACTCTATATTAACTAGTCTTGGTTTCTGGAATCATCTTCAATGGTTAAAATGAATTAGGTTCATAGTTTGGTCTATTTCCTTAGTTATTGTAGGATTATGGTCCATCTCTTTATTGATTGATAACTCTTGCTCTGTATGGACAGTTGACTGGGAGTTGGGTATAATTGGTTCCTAATCTGTGTCTGTGAGTATCTGGATAGGAGAACAATCTTCCTTATAACATCTTATCCAATGATGGTTCAATTCCTGGGACTAAATGTCCTGGACTGAAGGCGGATTATTCAACTTCTTAGAAGTAGTTTTCTGGATTTCTATTCAAGACCATCTTTCCGAAATTAAGACATGGGTAATCACTGTGTGGCCATACTTTGGTGACATCGAAAATATTCCATTTATATTTGAATCCATCTTATTCTGGCATCACTTGAACTTAGACTGTCCAAGTAGCTGTCTTACCAGTAGCAAGATGTTCAAACAAATCTTGAGTAGCATAATCTGGATTTGTTCTCTTTAATTCATCAGCCTCAGCGCCTGTAAATGTCTTATTACCAGAATCTGTTTTGAAGTGTAATTTAATCCAAAATGCTTCTCCTTCCTTATTCACCCATCTGAATGTGTGTGATGTATATCCATTCATATGTCTATATCCATTTGGAGTACCTCTGTTTGAAAAGAGGATGGTGACTTAGTGAGCACTTTCAGGCACCAAACTCAAGAAATCCCAGAACATATTAGCATCCTTTAAGTTAGTTTAAGGATTTCTTTTTTATGTGTGAATAAAATCTGGGAATTTGCTTGGATCTCTTATGAAGAAGACTGGTGTGTTGTTTCCTGTCATATCATAATTGCCTTCCTCAGTATAAAACTTAACAGCAAATCCTCTTGGATCTCTTTCAGAATCTGCTGATCCCTTTTCACCTCCCACAGTAGAGAATCTTGTGAAAATTGGTGTTCTCTTTCCAACTGTATCCAAAAATTTGGCTTTTGTGTACTTTGTCACATCTCCTGTCACTTCAAAGTATCCATAAGCACCTTTACATGTCAAAGATATCAAATACCTGCTCCTTTGGCATGGACAACTCTTTCTGGAATTCTCTCTCTATCAAAATGAGTTAATTTATCAATGAGATGAGTGTCCTACAAAAGAATGGGTCCATATTCTCCTGCTGTCAAAGAGTTTTGGTTGTCATCTACTGGACAACCTGTAGATTGGGTCAACACGTTATCTGAATTGTCTGACATATTATTTATTAAATTTGCGTAATAATCAGCTTATACTCAAAAATCTTTATTTCTGTAACGAATCCAACTTTTCATAATGCTACTCAAATAATTTATAAAACTAGCTGACATTTAACCTCAACTTATTGTGATCAATTTCCAAAAGTATTCCAATTAAATAACTAACAATTTTATCAATTCATTACTTTAATATATCATCCGATATTTTGCTTAAATCAATCTAAGAGGGTGATATATACCCATCCTTGTCATTATCCAATAAATTGAATAGCTTGTTGCTAATCTTTTGTAATTTGTCATCACCAAACATTTCAGTCTTGCATCTTGTCCTTCCTATACTTGAGGCTCTTGAAATTGATAACTATCTTAACGGCACCACCTATTAATTCTTGGTACTTAATGCCTACTGTTTTATCTGCTGCAAGACCAAACTACTTTGCACCTTGTTCCCATTCTCAAAATATCCAGACTTATTCAACAGTGGACTCTTTTGAGTAGAATTATGGGGAGATTTGCTTTTGAGTTTCTCTTGGCTCTTTTATTATGGCCTATTGGCCTAGAGCTTGTTGAGTTGTAATTATCTCTGTAACTTCGAGATGTTTTTGGTTGTCTAACTATAGCTGATCATATAACCACAATCAGGTGTTGGCGATAAGATGTTTTAATACAGTTTTCTGCTCATATCTTCCAACTTTTTGGAGTCTATCTGCGAGCCTGCACTCAAATGCTGAATCCCTTCCTTGGGACTTTTGTAGATATCTACTGATGGTATGGGGTTGCCTAATTTCTCATCTATTTGAGTTTCTTATTAAAATGAATAATATGAGTTTTCTTTTTCTTCCTGATTCATTATTTCCTCCAAAGAATACTAAACTTTTTTCTTCAAAGGTTCTTAGTTGCTGAAGTATTTAGAGAATTATTTCAATTGTTTAAATTCATCAACATAAGCTCTAACTGTTATAAGTGGTTAATCTTACAAATTCGGATTATCTGGTTACTAATTGTCTTGCACTTTCTTAACTCAATATTATTATCGCTGCAAAACCTATGAGCAATTTGTAAAGGAGTGTCAAATTATTTGATTTAAATCGGCTTCGAATTGCTAACTTTGATAATCAGCATTTGATCGTTAGTTTCTTGCATTTAATTTATGTAATAAAGAAATATATAATAACATTAGGGTCATTAATTTACAAGTAGAGCCCATATAAATTGCCATCAAAAAACTCACTTGAAATTTATATTGAAGATGGAAGAAGTTGGTAAGAATTTGTAATATTATCATGAAATATATTATTATTATTATTATTATTATTATTTGTAATTCTATTAATAAGAAATGATCTAAGCTGGATATAATCTCAAATAAAACTTCACTGATCTTGGTTAAATAGGAAATATGCAAGTTGTAGAAAAAATAAAGACAGGTGAATTATTTTGCAATAAAATCATCGAAGAAGAAAAATATAATAAATGTAAAGAGGCCATTGATATTATAAAAACTATTAAGCATAAAAATTTAGTTCAAATTACAGAAGTTATAGTGGATGATTTAAAATAAGAGGTTAATATAATTATGGTTAAATATGGGCGGAATTTAAAACAGTTAATTTAGAAGGATCAAGAGTTTTTTAAAAATCAAGACAATTTAGAAGACTTTATTAGATAAATCATAGATGGTTATTGGCAATTAATCGAAGTCAAGGTTATTCATAGAGATCTTAAGCCAGAAAATATACTATGCAAAGAAATTGAAATCAACCAATATGAATTCAAGGTATAAAAGTATATTTAATTGAAGATATCAGACTATGGGTATTCGAAAGTTATTAGTTCAAATATTCCTCATGATATGACCCATTTTGAAGGAAATTTTGATTATAAAGCTCCAGAACAAGCAGGGGATGATTATTCATTTCGATGTGATGTTTATTCTGTAAATTACCATATCATTTCAAGTTTGGTCTCATTTTAGCAGAAATAGTCCTGAATAGAAAATTAAAGGAAGAAGAAAATAAATAGCAACTTCAGTTCCAACCAAATGTAAGTGAAGAAATACAAAAATTAATAAGGTCTATGCTTATATTAGAATCTTCTTAAAGGATTTCTTGGACTTAACTCAGATTAAGATACTTCTACAATAAAAAAGAGCGTCATTTGGATAAAAGGTGTAGGAGTGAAAACGTTATTACTCATGAAAAGGTTTGGATTAAACCAATATGTAAAATAGAGCATGGAAATATAAATAATGAAATTAATGAGATTAAAATTAATTTTAAATTAAAGAATAACAAAGAACAAATCAATCATATAGTCAAAGTTTTAGAGATTTTAAATGAATATTCTTATGGATATGCCTATTTGATCATGGAAGATTGTGATGGAGATCTCAAGGAGCTGTTAAAAAAATAAGGTAACTTCACATATGAATAGATACTTGAGTTTCTCGAATAATTGTGCAAAGGATATCAATTTCTAATAAATTAAGATATTCTTCATCGTGATCTAAAACCTGAAAATATACTTTACATCAAAACAGACAAAGGGTATATATACAAAGTAAATAACTCATAATGTTCTAGCTTGCTGACTTTGAACATAGTTTTGATTTGAAAGAGAGAAAGAAATCTGCAAATACAAAAACTGGAACACTAATGTACTAAGCTCCTGAAGTTGATGAAAACAAAAACTATGATTACTAATGTGATATATTTTCAGTAAGAATATTAACCAAAGATAGTTAGGAATCATAATATTGGTATTGTCAACTTCCATAGAGATTTCAGGAGATTAAATGAAAATTATGAAAAAAAAATTAAAAGAAGAGATATGTATCACAAGAATACTTGAAGATTCACCCTTTGAGTTGACGATTTCTACAATGAATTAGAAGATAAAAGAATTGCTTATGCAAATGATAAGATATAATCCTGATAGAAGAATATCCTGGGCACAGTTAACTAAAAATATTTAAGATCTAAAATAATAAAAATAATCTATTCAAAGTTAATTTTAATCTAACAAATGCAGCTCTGATTTCAATAACCGAAATTTTTAAAAGTAATAACAATATTAATAATAAAAAAATGAATAACAATTTAATGGATAAAATCCAAAAATTTAAGAATCTACAAACCAAGAAAAATAAGCCTAAACTTAGTCTGTTAAAACTAATTTTAATTCCAACTAAAATTAACAAAATAATTAGAATAGTATAAATAGTTAAGTGTAAGGTCGGTTCCAATAATCTTAATAACATCCTAGATAAAGTAATATGGCGAATTAATTTGAAATCTCGAAATAGCAGAATTAATAACCCTAGCACGGAAGGACCACACTTGAAAACCAACCTTTATAATAGTGGTCGATTTAAGATTAGCATCTAGAGAAATTTCCATAAAAATAATGCTTTAATTAATTCACATAAATTAAAAATTTCCAGGGTTAATTTTAATTACCGGCAAGTCAAGATAAATAAGCCTAAAGATAGAAAGATGAACTTCATTCTAATAATACATTTTCATTTCCAAAACCTGAAATTCCTGATAATGCATCTTAAATTAATGATAAATAAATACATTAATAAGTAAATTAAAATTGCTAAGATAATACAGGGTTGTAATAAAAAACTTAATAAACTTCACTCTAGCTACAAAGACTATTATGCGGTTCAACTAACCCATTAAGCAAATTGCCCAATTAATAATCTCCAAAATTACCTACTTAAACTTAATAATTTAGCTGTCAGTTTAACTATGTTATTCAAAATAAGAATGATGCTAATAAATCATTTCCAAATTTTGAAGGTTAATAATAAACAAGTAAGAATTAATGTGCCTAAGTCTGTAATAATGCGCAACCATTTAAGTTTAATCCAATTTCTACTCCTTAGCAACAATAATAACAATAATACAATAAATTTAAATACCAAACTTAAGACAATAAGTAGTTTTAACAACATCAAATGAACTTTAACCATTCATCCAATTTAAACTAAGGACAATAAAAGGGAATTAATTAAATTCTATTTACACCAAAAGGTACAAATCCATAAAATAACTGAACCCTTTATAAAAGTTAGAATAATATAAGTCTATACACAGATATATATATATTCTATTTTCATTCATTTTTATTATTCATTAAAAGCATTTTAATTTAATTTTATAATATTAAATAAATGATTAGTATTTAAGTTATTTCACCTAAATTGAGAAATACAAATCATAAGGCAAATTTGAGTTAACCTACAATAACTAAATATAATAATTTAAACAGCTTCAAAGATTATTTTAGAAGTCAAAAAATCAATGAAAAAGTTTTTCGGCATCATTAAAGAATAAGCACTACTGATAGTAGATGTAAAACAGATTCTCGTTTATTTGAGAATTTTTCAAGCAGCACAAAGAGGCTTTCAATGCAATCATCTACTTTATGCTTGTCAAATTCAAAATCCTAGAGTACAAGTCCAAAAACAAAAATAGATGTAAGTCAAAAAATGAATTTAAATTCCTCAATAAAAAAAGGCCTGAGATCTTCAAAGAAACAAAAGCAATAGTAAAGTTTAGATTAAACAGTTCCCTTATCAGATGATTTTAAAAACAAGTTTGATGCGTTAATTTTAAAAACAAATTCACTGATTTAGAATTTCAAATCAAGAGAAAAATCATTTATTAAAAGAGAAAAGGAATTGAATTAAGAAATCTTAAAACTTAAAACTAGAATAGAAATACAAAATAGACTTTTAATTAGTTATAACATACCTCAAACAAAATTTTGAAACATTACTTTGATTAAATTATATATACATAATATAATCTTATCTTTTATTAAGATAATAGATAGTTTTTAAAAGGAGATAGTTGTAATCACAGATTATAATAATTTTATGTCTCTTAATTTAAATAAACAAAGTGCTTGATCTCAGATTTGATTTACCAATAAATTCGAAAATTGTTAAATTAATATTAGATTTAGTAACTAAGAATTAAAGACATTTTAATATCTTCTTTCTTTCCTTATTGATGATAATTAACATTAATTTTTGTTCTTAATAATTTGAAATTAACATGCATATTGAAAATTCTGTTTACTCTTCAATACAGACTCCATACACTCAACCTTATATGGCACCTACAGCTAATATGTAAAGAAAAGAAATTGGAGATTAAGCTATATGGACACTGTCATCTGCAAAAACAGGGAATGGTGTAGATCAGTTAAGGGATGATAATTTGAATACCTTTTGGTAATCTGATGGAACATAACCGCACTATCTAACAATATAGTTTTTAAAGAAAATGAGAGTTTAGGAAATTGCCTTATATTTAGATTTCAAATAAGATGAAAGTTATACTCCAAATAAACTTTCCATTCGAACTGGAACTAATATTCAGGACATGAAGGTATTTGAGATGATTAGAATAAGGAAGTTTAATTTATTGAATTGAAAGAACCTTATGGATGGTATTTAATTGCACTCAAGACTAAATTGCTAAATGGTTAAGAAAAGTAAGAGCATTGATTAAGATAGACCATACGTTTCTACAATTAATGTCTAAATTGTAGTTTTATAAAATTAACATAGTGGAAAAGACACACATATACGATAAGTGAAAATATTTGGACCTAGAGAGTAATAAGTTTTCTTAATGTTTTAGGAAGCAAAATCAAGGGTTGAGTTTTCCTGACTTTAAAACACCTGAACTTACTTAATATGCTTCAATTCGTTGATGTTTATAATTATATAATTATGCTTTTTGTTGTTAAGAGAGATCCTGTTTTCAAACGAAAGAAGGCTGTTTCTGAACGCGTATCACCCGAATAGAAAAGTATTTCTCTGTTGTGAATCTGATAGAATTGATGGATGACTATCAAATTTTTACTTACCTCAAGAATGAAAGAAATAATCATCCAGCTTCATTCCATGTTACTTCGCTTCGTTAAGTTCCCTTGACTCAGAGATCTTAGAAGATGAACACCCAAACAATCATAGAGGAAGGTGGGAAAAAGCCGAAGAGTGCGGATAACAAAGAATAAATCAAAAAGAAAAAAAAGAGCTATTTTTAAATAAAATTAGAAAGATATCAAAAAGAAGTGAAAGAATAACAAACAAAAAGAAAATAAGAGCTACTGACTAAATCAAAAAATCTCTTAAAGAAAGATTTAGAGGACATCTAGAAAATGACTAGCAAAGGAGTCAGAGAGTTTGAGGAGAGATGCAAGTTATATAGTAAATATTATTCAGAAGAGTTGCTCACCCCAACTGGAGTGTAATCTTATTTTTTTACTTAGACAGAAGGCAAGAGGACATGAATCTACCTATGTATAAGTACTCAACAATTGAAAATTAAAACAAATACAAAGTGTTGCTTAGAAATGACCCAACTCCTCAACCAAAATTTACATCAGAGTCAGTATTTGACTAATACTATGGTGATCCTGATAAAATCAAGTAGATAAGTTCATAATTGCACAAATTAAATATCAAAGTAAACTACACAATTTAATTTAATAGCTTATAAAAAGGCCAAATGTTTAAGAAAATCAACTTTTTGATGCCATTATAAATAATGATAGTTTTACAGTTAATAAGTTACTAATGGAGAACAAAAGTTTAATAAATATTAGAAACAGGGTATTGCTTAACATAAATTTATAGATTTAAGAAACTCCATTGCATTTAGCATGCAAAAGAAATTTGAAGGAGATTGTTGAATTACTATTAAGATATTAGGCAGATGAATCATTAAAAGATTTATGGGGACAAACTCCGAGATAACTGGCATTGAAATTAAGACATTTAGAGATTTTGAAGGTATTATCTTATTTATGAATCCTTTAATTACTCATAAAATATAAAATTTATAATTAATTATACAATATATGGTATGACTATCTTATATAAAGAGGCTGCATTACTAAATTACTTTCAAGTAGCTCCAATACTTCATATATATTTAGATGGATTGGAAACTAGGAAAGCAGCAATATTTAATGATTAATAATAAGGCTTAATTGTATTGCCTGTATATTAAGTAAAACTTACATATAACTACTGAGGATAATGATGATATCTCAGGTGTGGTGGATTTGAGGATGGATAAGAATAAAATGATTGATCATTTGGGTATCCGAATTGAATTGATTGGGAGAATAGGTAATCTTGATGAAATTATGTAGAAACCCTTAATGATTAAAAAAAATAATCATCAGAATTTATATCATTAATAAGAGAACTGGATGCTTAAGGTATATTAACGGAGGATAAAACCTACAAATTCTCATTTAACAAATTTGAGAAGCAATACGAAAGCTATTATGGCAAATTGGTTAAATTGAGGTAAGTTAGGTTATAATTGTATTTAGTTATTATTTGCGTGCTACATTGAATAGAAATTATGGATAAGTAAAAAAAGAAATAGAATTTGCAGTCTAAATTGTAAATAGAGATGAAGTAAACCAACCTTAATCTCCTTTAAAGCTAGTTTTAGGAGTGGACGATTATTTGCACTTAATTTGTGTATACTGTAAATCGAGGTATCACATTTAAGATGTTGTAAAAGGAAGGGTGAAGTTCTATATAGTCAAAATAAATATAAAGTAAATGGAATTAGCTGTGGTTCGTTAAGAATAGATTGGTTAAGGTGCAACTCAATAAACTCACAATTAAACCCTGGCGAAGTACGAAATGATGGATGGATGCCCTGGAATAGGAGAAGTTGTACCAATACGTATTTTATTGAGTGGTATTAATCTGTCACCCAGTTTTAAAAATGTGAGTGGCAAGTTTAGTGTGAAATATTTTTTCAATTTGATATTAATAGATGATGATGATAGAAGATATTTTAAATAACAGGAGTTTACAGTTTATAGAAAGAAATGATAACTAAATAATGTATTTTATGAATATAAAAACGGATTATATTATTAATAATAATGAAAACATTTGTCTTGATTGTTCTCTTAGGAGTGGCACTTGGAGTATAAGTTAATGAATAAGCAACAATTCTGTAAGAAGCTCTAACAAACAATTTGAAGGCCACAAGTATGGGCAGAGCAGTTCTTGCTATGGTGGAATTGGGTTCACCTAATTTCAATCCCTTATTTGATGCGTTGGAAGCTTGGGCTTCACTTATTGAAGTAAATATATTGATTAATTTCAGCAAACCATAGCCGATGAAAATTCATCATATGGAGCATTTGTCTAATAAGTAGAAACAGAAGAAACAAATTATAAAGCTCTTATTGCTCAATACGAAAGCGAATTGGCTGAATACAATATTCAAATTAGAGAGATCTTAAAGTCAAGAATCTCTCTAGAAGAAGACCTAGAAAAGACTAGAAACGAATTAGGAGCCACTAAACAACAAAAAGCCAACATTGAGAATTAATAAAGATAAGATTCAGCTGATTTCAAAACAAGAACCAGCTAGTTGAGTGCTGCTATTGTCGTGATCGATGAAGCATTGAAAGTATTAGACAAAGCAAAATGTAAATCATCTATTAATGATAGATTCATCATTTGTTGAGGAAGATGCTAAATAATTATCCTCTTTAGTCTCAGGAACACCAGAATTGCATACTTTATTACTTCAATTAAATACTGAAGATTACAAGAGTGCATAAAACTTATAAAAGTATTCATTCTCACTCACATTTTTAGAGTCATCAATTTATTACAAAACATTAGAGATTAATTTAACTAAAATATTCAGACATTACAAGCAGGATTCACAGCAGCCTAACAATAAGCTTAAGATTTGTTTGAATTATTGAATGCTAAAATTGATTCTTTAGTCAAAGAAGTTATACCATAATTGTAATAGGATATCTAAGGAAAGGATAGTAAGAATTTGCTCTATATTAAGGTGAAATTGATTCAAGAAGATAATTAGCTAATGAAGCCTAAGCAAATTTGGATTCTGCAAAAGAAAGTTTGAGATAATCAATTTAAGAGAAAGGATTAGCAACTAATAGCCATAACATTCTAATTTCTGAATATCACAGCAATTTAGATACTGTAGCTGAATGCATTAGTGCTCTACATGGAAGCGGAATTTAAAGATAATGAAATAGATACATAATAATAAATAATTTTACTCAGTAATGATCAATTTAATATGATCTCGCTAAATGATCGAAATCTATGTTTGCATTCTGGTTCTTCTTGTATCACTCGATCTACTCTTTCATAAATTGTTGAATATATCTGCTATGCTGTTTACAATAAATATTTAATCGATTATTCTTTACTATTTGGCATATAATAATAAACATTGGATGTTTATTATTATTATATCAAAGTGTCGTTATTCTACTTTTAAATCGGACTTTCCATTTCATCAATATCAAATTATTTAGATTAAGATTATTCTTCTTCAATTTAATGTGTAGATGTTTATCTATATTGATTACTACTTAATGACGTGGTTGGCATTAAATCTTTATTATTTAAATAAAACTGATGTAAAAATTTGTAATTTACACTCATCTTCTTAGCTCTCTCCTAATAACGAAGATTTGAATTTGTGAGTAGTTTTATTCTATGCTTATTTTATTATTTAAAATTACTTCCATCTCATCGCAGCACCTCTATAATTCATCATTATGGGCTTATAGTGTTTTGTTTAATATCATTTCTCTTTAATGGTTTTTTCTAAGCTCATCCAAAGCATTTTCGAGTTTTTAGATTTTTTCCATGCTTTAAATATCATTTAGTGGTTTTTGACTCTATGTGATGAGTCTTTTAGCATTAATCTCTTGTATTTATTTAGGTATTGTTAAGTTAAGCTTAGGAATGACTGTTCCTTTTTTTGGATTCATTTAACATTATTGTTATCTCTTAAGCGAATTACTTGAATCTAAAGGTGGCTCTGATTCTTGAGAGGAATGTGATTAAGAAGAAGAGGAATTGTTAATTAATTTAAGGGCTCTAGTCTAAAATTCAACTAATTGATCTGGATCCTAATTCATGAAGATTAGTTTATTACCAGCATGAGCTACACTTCTTTGTTGCAATAGTTCATTCATTAATCTCTTATAAATACATATAATAATTTACTAAATTTAGTCCTTATATGTTTGATTTCTCTTTGATTAATTTTTATTTTTGTTTTTACTCAATTAATAATTGTTCATTTAACATTTGAATTTCATTATGCATTTTAAGACAAATAAGATCAGGATTGCAAACTTCTTTAAACTTTATTACCACACCAGCAACTTCATCATATTCTGGTTTCAACTCTTCCATTTTTGCCAATTTGTTTTCAGCAAACCTCAGATTTTCTTGCATGCCTTGCATTTTTTATTATAATGATGCGATTAATTCTTTCTCTTATCTTTAGACTTATTCTGTAATTTGTTGATTGATCAATTAATCACTTTAAGCTTCATTCCGCTCTTTAACTAATTTCTCTATTGTTATTTGTAGAGTTTCATTCTCTTCCTACAAATTCTTCATTACTGTCAATAGTCCCTTATGTTATTCATCATTTGTTGTTGGCATCAAAACCTTTAAAGCTTACTTATTCAATTAGAGTAATCCTTAGAGTTCACGAACCTGCTCTTACAACTATTAATTCTCTTACTTGAGATAATCGAGAATCTCTAAACTCATTATAAAATTTATTGTTTTTGAATTTTTACATAAAAATTTGCCTAAATTTAAAGATTATCAATTATAATTCTTAATTTCTAATCATATTTAAGTATGCCTGTTATACTATTTATAAAAAGCATAATGTCATAACAATATATATTAAAGGTTATTAGTATGAGGTGATTCAATTACTAAAGAAAGTTGCTCCATAATGGAAATTCATCAATTAAATGACTTTATTTTATAGATGATATTGAGCAGAAGTCTTTATTAAGAAGGGAAGATTAATAATAAAATTAATTAATTTAATTGTGTATAATTAGTTATGTTAAAGCTAATATTCAATTTCTCCAGAGCCATTTAAAAATCTCAAAACCTTTTGAATTAGATGAGAAAGAATCGCTATTATATTGATGATCCTATTGTTAGTTAAAGGAGGGAAGCATAACAAATAGTGGAATCATTATATTTTAATTAAAAGAATAATTTGCAATAGAAGCTTGAGAAGGAGGAAGAAAATAAATTGGAGAACGTAATTGAAAAGTTGGATGAAGAGATTAATTTTAGAAGATTTTAGACAGCACAAGAGTTATTAGAATTTTATGAAGCTAAACCCTTAAAATCTAGAGAATAATACTTGGAATGGTTCAATCAATTGTCATATTGTTTAAAGTTTCAGGATTAAATTTAATAAAACAAATTGAATTACTACAAAAAATTAGCTGGTCAGTACAAGGCCTAATATAATAAGGAGTATGAGATGCCAAATATAGTTTTCTTGACTCCTTCTCAAATCTTAGAGAATTCAGTTTTTAATCAAATAATTGAAGACTTTGTCTCTAATTGTGAAGTAATAGAATGGCTGCATGTTAGAAAGTAAATCAAGAAATCTTTCTAAACCTAACTCTATTCATTGGATTATTATGCATTATAGAGATTATGGGAAGAAAATGAATATCCAATCCAAACTATTTAATATCTGTCATTAATCATTAAGGACATAAGTATTAGATTGTTTATATTAATTAGCTGAATCGAAGTTTGAGAAGGATCAAGAACCTCAATTTATGGAATTATTTGATGGTAAATTTTAATAAGGATAATCCTTGCAAAAGATATTAGAATAGCTTCTGTTATAGAAAATGCAATAGATAAACTTTTATGATTTAAATAATTAAGAATTTGCAGATTTCGTTTTTATTTACTATTAATAATAAAAATTGCCAATTTTACCTACATTCCTTAAAGAATTAGTGGACAATGTCAAGGAAAGAATTAGTACTTTGAGTTTGTTGGAAAATATTAAAATATTGCAAGCAATGTTAGTAATTGAAATCGGGGATAATTAATCGTATTGTTACCTGTTGTGGAATATCATACGATTGAAAAATAGAATCAATACTGACTATGCAATCATAAATGGGATTATTTTCATATTGTTGCATTTTAAATAAAACATGCTCTATATGAAAGCACGAAGAAATTATGCAAAACCTATTATTGTATAGGATGCCATGGTGTTCTCAGAAATATTTAATCATATAACAGAGGACTTGAAGATATTTGATTTTGTCCAGCTAAGTCAGTTGCTTGCAATAGCAAATAACAACTTCGCAGACCCACCTAAATTAAATGCCATTATAGTTTCGCTCTTTTAGAAACCTGAAATAAATCAGAACATTTAGATTGATAATAAGATTGATTTATACTACAAGGCAACACAATTGGGAGGTGCTATACTTGATGTTACTCAAATTTTAAAATATAAAGTACAGCTTCTACAATCCCATTCAATAACAGGTTTCTTTGAGAAGGATTAGCGATCAGAAGGGAACCAGATTGCAGGATATTACCCTTATTACACAATTTTATTGAGTAGTTTGATCAAATTGATTTGGACGAGCATCATATAAAATAGCAAATGTTTTGAAGACATTAATTATTTAATATTTAAGGTGAATGAATTGACAAGATTGTAAACAGCCATAAAGATTGATAGAGTGAATTAAAAAATGATTTCTTAAATTAACTAATATATTTCTCTTGCTGGAAAAACCATATTTCCAAATAAAATAGACATGCAATAGATTTTGGATAACAAAAATATTCAAAGAAGACTTGAAAAATATGGAAATCCAATAAAGTTGCACACTAAATTGTCATTTAAAGAAAAATAATATTTTGCTTAGAAGTATGAGAAGGATTTAGAGAAGGATGTTTATTATGAGGATTTATTGTTAGATTTTGTTTATACAAATAGGAGGACAGGGAACAAAGCATTGATTTTATTGAATGGAGTATATTCATTATAATATCCTATTAGTAAAGCAATTACCAAATTTCTGCAGTCGGTGAAATGGTTCCAAATACAATGATTAAATTTTAAGATGATCTCTTGGCTTAGTCTGAGATACCAGTGATTTAAATTAATCTTCCTGATATGATTAAAAGCGAATCTAAGTTAGAGATTTAATTTATTAATTTTAGGTCTTTTTACGAGGAATAATTAAAGGACATTCTAGAAGATGGATCAAATGAATATGAAGAAATCGCCAATACAATTTAAGAGTTAAGACAAAAAATAAGGAGAGACTTTAATTATTTGTCAATCCATTAATAAAAGAATGAGCAAGAAGGTCAGTTAAAGGAGGAAGAGGAGCAGGTTTAGAGTGATGATACATATGCACTTTCAGATGAGGAGAAATGATTGTGATGATTATTGTGTAATTTATGTTTTTGTATTTCCATTGAGATAAGATAAATAATTTTTTATTAATGATAAGCGCCTATAGATTTAATTATGAACATTTGCCAAAAGAGGTGAAGCTAAATACTTTTGATGCCGAGAGAGGCCTAATTTATAATGAGATCATTCGCTTGTTAAAGGATTTTGAAATGAGGTAATTTGAAATATAAATGTTAGTTCTTCAAAGCATTGGTTTCCGATTATGAATTTGCTTTAAAGGTTCAAATAAATTTATTCCTTTTTAAACGAAGAAAGACAGGAGCTCGCAGAGTTGATTCTTTCGAAGTTGGGAGGATTGAAATCTTCTGTAGGACTTCAGAATGGATTTAGCCTTGTTTGCACCATTATTTAAAATAAGCAAAAATACTTGAGTTTAAAAGTTGATTGGAGATATTGGCATTAATATTTGCAGGATAAGTTTATGACAAACAAAGATAAGACAATCACAAGTTAAACATTCAGTACTCAATTATTTATGCAATTTTGCTAATTCCTGAAAACAGTGAAATATTACTTTGATGCTGATGTTGTTTAATTTGCATTCTTAAAATTTCGTGAATATCTAGGTTACTAAGACAAGCAAGTAGCCTGGGCTTACTTGATGTTGTTTGTCCCGTTTAGAACTGATATTCCCTAAGATGCCTATAAAGATTTGATCAAATATTTGATGGATCCCTTATTAATTTTTGGAGAAAAAGACAATTGTAGATTAAAATTTATCTTGAATTATCTAAGAGTCTATCCTTAATAAAT